AGAACTAACATCATCAAAATGGCGATATTACCAAAAGTTCTCTATAGGTTTAATGCAATGCCAATCAAAATCCCAACGGCATTTCTTGTAGAAATAGATAAAGCAATCATGAAATTCATATGGAAAAATAAAAGACCCAGAATAGCAAAAGCAACTCTAAGCAGGAAGTGTGAATCAGGCGGTATAGCGATACCAGATTTCAAACTATATTACAGAGCAATAGTAACAAAAACAGCATGGTACTGGTACCAAAACAGGCGGGTGGACCAATGGTACAGAATAGAGGACACAGAGACTAATCCACAAAGTTACAACTATCTTATGTGGGAAGCCATTCTCACACGTGACTGGGCAACTCCCGGTTTGGGTCTGAGGCGCTCTGGCTAATCTGTGTTGGAGCTTTCCCAGCCCTCTCCTGATGAGAGAGCCTGTCCGTGTGGGGGGTGTGACTGACCAGTGACCCCGGGGGCCAATCACTGACCCTGACCTTGGAGTGCGGCCCCCCTCAACCTTCATTGGATGGAATTGTCCCCTGAATTTCTTGTTCCCCAATAAAAGGCTACTCCCTGGCGTGCTCCCTCTCTCTCTCTCCTGCTAGCCCTGAGTAATCCTTGCTGCCCTACTGGGTGGTTCGAGGTGGGAACCAGAGAGGGGAGCCGTCTCGGACCTGGTCATAGAAAAAGGTAACTGAGTCTGTGTGTTTTATTTCGATCTCGCTAGCTAACTTTTATGCCAAGAACTTCATTAATGAAACCAATGTACTGGCCGCATGGTGGAATACAACTATCTTATATTTGATAAAGGGGCTAAAAGCATGCAATGGAGGAAGGATAGCATCTTCAACAAATGGTGCTGGGAAAACTGGAAATCCATATGCAACAAAATGAAACTGAATCCCCTCCTCTCGCCATGCACAAAAGTTAACTCAAAATGGATCAAGGAGCTTGATATCAAATCAGAGACTCTGCACCTGATAGAAGAAAAAGATGGCTCCTATCTACATATTGTGGGGTCGGGCTCCAAATTCCTTAATAGGACACCCATAGCACAAGAGTTAATAACAAGAATCAACAAATGGGACTTACTCAAACTAAAAAGTTTTTTTCTCAGCAAGAGAAACAATAAGAGAGGTAAATAGAGAGCCTACATCATGGGAACAAATTTTTACTCCTCACACTTCAGATAGAGCCCTAATAACCAGAGTATACAAAGAACTCAAAAAATTAGACAATAAGATAACAAACAACCCAATCAACAAATGGGCCAAGGACCTGAACAGACACTTCTCAGAGGAGGACATACAATCAATCAACAAGTACATGAAAAAATGCTCACCATCTCTAGCAGTCAGAGAAATGCAAATCAAAACCACCCTAAGATACCATCTTACTCCAGTAAGATTGGCAGCCATTATGAAGTCAAACAACAAGTGCTGGTGAGGATGTGGGGAAAAGGGTACTCTTGTACATTGCTGGTGGGACTGCAAATTGGTGCGGCCAATTTGGAAAGCAGTATGGAGATTCCTGGGAAAGCTAGGAATGGAACCACCATTTGACCCAGCTATTGCCCTTCTCGGACTATTCCCTGAAGACCTTAAAAGAGCGTACTACAGGGATACTGCCACATCGATGTTCATAGCAGCACAATTCACAATAGCTAGACTGTGGAACCAACCCAGATGCCCTTCAATAGATGAATGGATAAAAAAAAATGTGGCATTTATACACAATGGAGTATTACGCAGCCCTAAAAAATGACAAAATCATGGAATTTTCAGGGAAATGGATGGTACTAGAGCAGATTAGCAGGGAGGAAGAGCAGGAGGAAAAGATTAACATTAAACAGAGACATGAGGTAGGAGGGAAAGGTAGAGAAACGGGAAATTGCATGGAAATGGAAGGAAACCCTCATTGTTATACAAAATTACATATAAGAGGTTATGAGGGGAATGGGAAAAAAAACAAGGAGAGAAATGAATTACAGTAGATGGGGTAGAGAGAGAAGATGGGAGGGGAGGGGAGGGGGGATAGTAGAGGATAAGAAAGGTAGTAGAATCCAACAGTTACTAATATGGCATTATGTAAAAATGTGGATGTGTAACCGATGTGATTCTGCAATCTGTATTTGGGGTAAAAATGGGAGTTCATAACCCACTTGAATCTAATGTATGAAATATGATATGTCAAGAGTTTTGTAATGTTTTGAATAACCAATAAAAATAAATAAATAAACTAAAAAAAGAAAATTATGTTTTATTCTGTGAATTAAAAAAAAACACTTATTTGAATTATATCTGCATTTCTGTTAACTCAAAGTCCCACTGGCAAGTCACAGGAGAGTAATGGTAACAGTGGAACCTACTAGACAAGCTAGCATGATTCTTAAAGCAAATGTACAAAATGATTTAAGTTGGCTGCAAAAGATGAAGCAAGTTCAAAATAGCTAGATCGATACTCCTGTGGCTAATATTTCTATTGTAAATGCAACTCAGGAAAATGACAACTTTACCACATTATCAGATAAATATGAATTAGCATGGAATGAAAGAGTTTTCCTCTTGCTTATTCCTTGCTTCTTCTTGAGGAAGGTTCTTTTAGTATGCTGATAGGCTAATATTTAAAATAACTAGAAAAAGTTCTCCACTCTGAAGTCATAAGGCCTAAGGTATAACTATGGCCTTCACCATGCTAGAAAGCTACAAAGGTCTCTGTGGAGAAGCAAAATTAGGCAACACGAAAGTGGAGAACACCCATGTGAGGCTACCTAGAAATGGTCTCATAGACCACCCAAGTGAAAAATAAGCATTTTTCACCTTCTTCTGGTTTTGTTGATTTTTGAATAAAATATATTAAGAGCTGCAATTAAAAGTTATTGACATGTTACTACAAAGATTATGAATTATCGACAGACAGCACACCATAATTTGACAATGAATCTCACCTGAATATCATTACAGACTTTGAGGAGCAAAGCAATGAGGTTACACAATAAATCCAAGTCTGGTGGAAATGACAAGTGTCAAAAAATAATAAATTGATAATAATAATAAACTTTTAGCATTGTACACATTCTAAACCAATACATACCATCTAAACTTTGACTAAAAATGGATACAACCTCCTTTTAATGTTAAATGGAGCTTTTCAGGAATTCTGTTTTCTATAACTCCCAGGGCTTCCTGTAGTATTGCATAAATAGTTGCTGAGAGGGAAGCATAATTCACATAAATGTGCATGGTGTCCCTACTGGAAGTCACCTGAATTTCCTATTAAGATGAAGCCATTTTTTGCCTTAAGGAAATCTAAAGTGCTAATGCTGCTTGTAGTAAGGCCCCTTTTCCAGCTTTAGCTTCTCCACTCCAGATTTTTGCACCAGCCATCAGGAATGACTTAGTATTTCTATTCTGAAGGTTTATTCCAGCAACACTGAATTACTTAACCTTCAGCTAACTGCTAAGCTCCCTTGCACACCCACACCCCCACTTTCCTGGGTTTTTCACAAGTTTTCTCTTACTAAGATATTTCTTCCCCACTTCCTTACTCCTCAATCAAATTCTTCTTCAGACTTATGATGAGACATCACTTCTTCTTGGAAACGTTGACTAATAATAACTAAAATAGTGAGAACTTACTATGGGCCAGGCATTGTTCTAAAGTCTTTCAAAGGCATTGTTTCATAATTATAAGGACAACTGCAGGAAGTAGGGAAGATTATCATATTTTATGAAAGAGGAATCTAAGACAGAGAACGAGGGTATTCCCAAAAATAGCGTTACCAAGATGGATCTTGAGTGCCAGGCGCGATGGCGGACGCCTGCGATCCCAGGGGCTCTGAAGGCTGTGGCAGGAGGATCGCAAGTTCAAAGCCAGCCTCCGCAAAGTCCCAGGCACTAAGCAACTTAGTGAGACCCTGTCTCTAAATGACGTACAAAATAGGGCTGGGGATGTGGCTCACTGGTTAAGTGACCCCAAATTCAATAATCCCCGGTACCAAAACAAAACCAAAACCAAGATGGATCATAAACTCCACGTTGAAAGATATGAATATAGGGGGGAATGATTGTGAGAAAACGCTAAGAACAAGGGACTGGCGGATATTAAGGAAGTTCACAATTATGCTGGGATGGGGATCTTCAGATGCAAGCACGCAGCTAAAAGCAGAGGACTAAAGGAGAGGTAGAGATTGCACTGGAAGTTTCTGGAGTTGGTGCAGCCTCTCATGGGAACACGGGCCTGGGTATTCTCTGGAAATGGGGGGCGGGGGCGGGAGTGGAAGCAAGTATTCTTGATAGTGCTTTTTTTTTTTTTTTTTTTTTTAAATAATTGCACTATGTTTCCCAGCAACCTGAAGAATATCTGCTACATTCTCTTCAAGAGCTGTTGCTGACTGTTTGCGGTCGAAAGCAGAACTTTTAGGCCAGCCCCAACCGAAGTCTCTGCAGATGCTTCTTGCCTTAGCTTCCGGTGCCAGCTGGAGGAACATTCTCCGCCAGGGGATGCCGCTCTGCTGTGGCTCCCTAAGCCCCAGGTGGCAGCCGGCACGCACGCTCCGTCCGCTCTAAGGTTCGCCTCTTCCGAAGCGAAGGAGAGTGTTCGCCTCAGGACTAGCGCTGCGGGGAGAAGCGTGCGGCGAGGTGCACCTGCTCCAGGCTAGCTGCCCGCATCCCAGGTGGGGGAGGCGGTGACAGCGCCAAGTCGCTCCCTCAGGTGGTCCTCGGAACCGGCCCAGAGGATCGGGTTCACTCAGGGAAAAGGGAGTCCTCGCGGGCTGCCGCCACCGACAACCACACTTCCTGAGAACTCCGACCCCAACGCCGCCCGCGTCGCAACCCGAAGGCTGTGGCGCTCCAGAGCGCTCGCCCCAAGCGGCAAGAAGGTTGGTGACCAGAGCTTCCCCGCGTTCTCTCGCGCCAGCGGCACCCACGCTCAGAACGGCGGGAAGCGCCAGCAGCCCCGCCTAACGGCTCCGGGAGAGGCGTGGCCCGCACAGGCCCCGCCCACCCGCGCGTGGGGCCCCTCGGCAACCGGCACAACACAACAAAATGGCCTCCGCGCCGCCGGGCGCCTGACGGGAAAGACCCGTGCTTCTCCGCCTCGCCTCATCCCGCGGGGCTGCTCGGTTCGGTTCTTGGACGGTGAGTGCCTAGCCTGGGTGCTGCTGTCCTCCGGCGTCTCTCCGAGCGGTGGGGGCCGGCGGCGAAGGCGGGAAGGCCTGGGCAGGCGTGCGGTGGGCCGGCTCCTGATGGATTGGGGCGGGGGCGTGTGCCTGGGGATAGGGATTGGACGGGAAGGATGGGCGGGCGCGGAACGGGCGTGGGCAGGTGGAGGCCGGGGCTGGGTTCAGGAAAGCGCTGGCGGCGCGGCGAGGACCCGGCTGTGGGGCGGGTTGGGAGTTGGGCCGCGGCGCCAGGTGGGACTGGGGTCGGGCCGCCGGGAGGAAGTGCCCGGGGTCTGCTCAGTGAGCGCGATGAGAGGGGCTGCGGGCGTCCTGCCGGGTGGAATCAGACGAATGCAGTACGTGCAGAAAGATGAGGGACGGTGCTGGGAGGTCTGGGTCGGTTGAGGGACGGGTGATGGTTGAAGCCGTGGGTCTTGAGGCTCGGGTTACTCAACCTCGCCTCGGTGACGGCAGGCAAGTTCCTTCATTTCCTGTAAATGTGTCCTCGCTTCATCTGTATTGAGTGCTCACGAGGTGTCTGCTAAGGCTCTACGTGTTTTGCATATATTGATCAGCTCCTTTGGAATTTGAAAATTCAGTGTGGGACGTTGTCATCCCCATTTAACAAGTGATAGCGCTGAGTACCAGAGGTTAAGTAATTTACCTAATGTAGCACAGTAACTGAAAACTCTGGATTTGAATTCCAGCCGTCTAGTTGCAGAATCAGTTACTTGATTGCTAATGATGCTCAGCCACTCATAAATGAGGTTGATAATTCAGATCTTATGCAGCATCTGTGAGGATTTAAATACGGTGATGTCTGTAGAATGTTTATCACGGTCGTTCAGTCAACATATTTTTTCCCCCATACAACAAAAGACAAATGGAGTCTCTGCTCTTTTGTAGGTTATAGTTTAGAAGGAGAAAAGGAATAATTATGCACTTTCAGAAATGATTACTTAATTCCAATTGTTTATATGTTTATAGAGGAGACTTATTGGTGCATAGACCATGTATAACAGGGGGACACAATCTTGTACATCTTCAGTGTAAGAACCCTGCCTTCTCAGCTCTATTTTAAAGAGTCTAGCACAATTCTTAGCACATAAAAGTTGCTCAATAAAATTGGATAACTAAATAAATTAATGGAAAGAATTGGAAACTTGGGTTTTGGGGTATCTGAATAGAACCAGAGAAATGGAAGAGGGGAAATCAGGGTGTTAATAGGTTCCAGAAGGACACAGGAGCCAGGGTGTTGGAAGTGAAAGCCAAGCAGGTAGGCAGTTAGTGGAGTGGGTGGAGTTTAGGTATTTAGTTATAGTAGGGGAGTAATTATAGGTCAGAATATTGACTGGTCAGGATGTCAGGATATATGTTAGAATGAAAGAAATGAGCAGTTTGGGAAAACAGGATGGATATAGAAGTGTTGGTGTGGGGTATTAAAACTTTAGAGAAATGGGAGAGAGAAGTACTACATTAGGGAACTGGAACAGAATTTATGGGAAAACTTGGCAGCCAGAATGGGATGAAAGGGATGAGAAGCAGAGAGGTTGACAACATAGAATGGGGAGTTGGCTTTAGGAAGAGTGCCAGAGTTAAGGACTTTGAAGAAGAATGGGAGTCAGTATTTGACAGGGCTGGAGAAGGTTAAAGAGTATTTTCAGGAGATCCAAGGTTATGAAATGAAGCAGAATTGGAGGAAACTGATAGAAACACAGTTATCAACCTGAGCTGGGTTCACAAGAGCTGGCTACATTAATAACTAAGAAAATGGCTAAAGAAGTACGAAACACACCTTTTTAAAGAAGTACAAACACCTTTTGCTTGCAGGAATCAGGGATGGCTCTAACTTAAGGGTCTGTTAGAAAGAGAGAGGGCACGCCTGAAACCATCCTATTTATTGAGGGGAAGACACTTGAGAAAGTTCCACCCAAATGAGGCAAGGGATTGGGTTTCAGGGTGGTGAGGCTCACTCCCAGAGCTGTATAATTCCTTGCCAAGTGAAGTGAGGTCCATCTGCTTTTGCGCTGTGAGCAGAAGCCAGTTCTACACCTCCATCGCTCAAGGCTAAGAGTTGTGCTCAGCTCCTGTTCATGGAGGCCCCCGACACACAATTAAAGGACTGAGGATGTAGTGTGGTGAGGGACATCACAGTCAAAAAAGTAGGTGAAGGCTGGGGATGTAGTTTAAGCTGTAGCACACTTGCCTGGCATGCGCGGGGCCTGGGTTCGATTCTCAGCACCACATAAAAATAAAATAAAGATGCTGTGTCCAGCGAAAACTAAAAAATAAATATTAAAAAATTCTCTCTCTCTCTCTTAAAAAAAATAAGGAGAAAAAAAAGTAGGTGAGTATTTGTATTTGGGTGGTCTGTTGGGAGAGAATAAGTTTTGGGGATTGTCAAGCTCTGCTTCATTTGGAGGTCCGAGAAGAAGATGGAGAGCTAGGAGTGGTAAGAAAGACTGCATGTCGACAGAATTTGTCACCTGTGAGAAACTGTAATGGATGGGGTTGTTAGATCAGGTTAGGTGTTTGGGATTGTTGGGGCAGGATGCCAGTGTTTTGGAGCCTGGTCATGTGATTCTGATTGTCAGCGCTCTTGCTCCACAGACCATCTTCTGTGCCTATACAATGTGTCTCCAGCTCTAGGCCTCTTTCGCTTGTTTTCTCTTTATTTTGCCCCTTCACGTCTTCTACCTCTCCTTCTCAGCTGTTTTCTCTTTTCCCATGGGTTGATTTTTATTCCCCTTGCAGATGACATCCTAGGATCAAACTACATCCTCATTATTATCTTAAAATTTTTGTTGAAGGGGGAAGGGAACAGGGGATAGGGAGAGGGAAGGGAAGGAGAGGTACTGGGGTCTGAATTAGAACAAAGTATATACCATACTTCTATAATTATGTCAAAATGGGTTCTACTGTTATATATAATTAAAAAGAACCAATAAAATTTTTAAAAAGTTATTGAAGATTTACTATCTTAAGACAGTAGTCTCTAAAATAATGCCAGCCATTCTCAAACACAGCAAGTGCCTAAGAACAGTTCACTTGAAAGTTAGCTATTCAATGAGATAGCTGTTGTTTTAATGAACTGCCTTTATAGGAGCTCTGCCAACCCAGGGAGGGGGTCTGGGGATGCACGGTAACTTCAGTTATTGTTTTTATGGTTCATGTCATCCATTTATCCAAGTCATATTAATCATATTACAATTATAAAAGGAAAGAGCTGATCTAGGTTTCTGAAATCCATTCTAATATTTTAAACTCTGTTAATGATTAAGACTGAGTTATACTTTTCAACAGGGAACAAAGGACTTTATGATAATCTGGGGAGATGATCATTAGGATATTAGGGAGGAGTTCTGGTCAGTATTTTGAGAATTTGGAGAGAGATGGTACAAAATAATAAAAATATGGATGCTTTTTAAGAACTAACAAAAATTTTTAAATATTAATCTCTAGTATGTAGCATACACTTATTCCAGTTTTATAGTCTGTCATTTAGGTTTAAGGAAGATATATAAAAGTATGACTGGGCCCTGTTTCTGCTTTTGTTTTTAAATTCATCACCTTTATGAAAATTATATCCATTCATTCATTTAATTTAGGAGTAAAAAAAAAAAAAACCTAAATGCATGCCTCTCAGCTCTCAAGTTTGAGAGTACTCTTATTTAGAAGGAATTCAGCTTAGCACAGAATCAGTAGTAATTACTAAGAAGCTTTTCCACTGAAGATGGTATGATATTGGACATAAAAGTTGTTTGCCACACTTTTGAAATTAGGACTAAAAGCCTGTGGTGATGGCATAAATAGCAGTTATGTGAATTGACAGGGCTGCCCAGTGAGGGGGGGCAGGGTCTGATGCATATGAATAGGAAACATGAGGAAATGAAAACATGAGGAAATGAAAGAAAAAGTATAGACCCATAAAAAGCGTTTAAAGTAGTATTCTAGGATGCCAGAGTGAGGCAGTTTGCCATATTAAAATTTATGTCTGTGAGACAATAATTAACTTTTTAAAAATATTTTTTTTATTTGTTGATGGACCTTTATTTTATTCGTTTATTTATATGTGGTGTTGAGAATTGAACCCAGTGCCTCAAATAGGTGAGGCAAGTGATCTACCACTGAGCCACAACCCCAGCCCTAATAATTGACTTTTTTTTTTTTTTTTTTGAGAGAGAGAGAATTTTTTAGTTTTCGGTGGACACAACATCTTTATTTTATTTTTATGTGGTGCTAAGGATCGAACCCAGCGCCCCATGCATGCCAGGCGAGCATGCTACCGCTTGAGCCACATCCCTAGCTCAAATAATAATAATAATTGACTTTTAAAAAACAAATGTGGCAGGTTTTTGTTCCCTTGAAATGAGTTGATTACAGTTGGCTAGGTCATGACTTCAGTATAAAATTTCCTAGTTTTCCTTCAGTTATTGTTTTTATGGTTCATGTCATCCATTTATCCAGGTCATTTAATGGTACTTATTTATGCGTAAGGTGGTCTCATGCTGGGTTCTAGAGAACAAAACAAACATAATATGAATTCCAAAAAACTCAAATTGTATAACATGGTAATAAAAAGCATGGGTTCTGGAATTAGGTCAGGATTCAAGTCTTGGCTTATGCAATTAGTTATGGTATTTTGGACAGATTAACTTTTTCATCTTTAAAAATGACAACTGTTTCATTTCATAGAGTTATATATAGTTCTTCCAATGTGATGATAGGCATAAAGAGCTCATCTCAATTGTAAGCCCTCATTAAATATTAGCCACTAACATTCTTTAGAATTAACTTCAATTCTAGCAAGTCAGCATGTTTTCAAAGAGGCTTAGATTTTTAGATGTAAACAAATTTATTTGGAGTCATGTTTACTGTGTATATCTGAAGTGATGTGTCCTATTTTCTTGTGTGACTTGTAAGTTGAACCTGAAAGAAGAAGAACCAAAGAAGAATTCCAAAAATGTTTTGAGCAAGATCAGCATTCTTAGAATGACTGTATGGGCATTGCACAGTATAGCATCTGCTAAATGCTGGTTAATCCGTTGAATATATTGATGGATTCTATTAATGGAAAATTTCTTTCCTATATACTGCATATGCCCCAACCATTTAAAAAAATAATCTTCATAATCCCAGCCTGTATAGCCTATGAAGGCTTATTACATGTTAATAGAGACATGAAAAACCCAGAGTAATGCCTTTCCTACTCTTAAAACACCATGCAATATAATACTTCCAACACCAGATGTGTGAGTTGTTTTTTTTTTTTCCCCACACAACATGTACTTCTCTAGTGGACACCTGCAACATGTCCTCTTATTTAATTGAACTCTGACATTATTACCTGGAGGTAGTGTCAGATCCCACAGGTTAAGGACTCAGTTCCACAATACTGCCACCCACTTCAGATGCCAATTGCAAGTAGAAAAACCTTGCCAATTAGAAAGCTTTGTGTTGAGGACTAATGTCACTCATAAAGATATCCCTTTGTTAAGGTGATAAATAATATTTATCACTCTTGTGTTCTTTATGACTAATTTTAAAAATAACTATTAATTATTTACTTTATGATAGGCTGTATTCCAGGCATCAAAACATCAGTTAATGATAGTTCTACTTTCATGGAGCTTGTATTCCACTGGATTAATTATGTGATTTGATCTAAACATTAGTTTCAGTGAACAATTTATTGTTAGAAGAACTTACTGTTGCTAGCATGGTGACTAACCAAGCACTATTCTGAGCCTTGATTTTCTTACATGGAAAATAAAGGAATTTGACCAAGGTCCCATTTAACAATAATTGCTTTAGTTCCTTCTGGAAAATCTAACCTTTAATAAAATTTATTTTGTTAATAAGTAAACTACTGAAAAAAAATGGATTGTCACCTTGGAGGTAAAAAAGCTAGTGAGTAAAACCTAAAAGTAGAATAAAGAGAGGTTTATTCCTTGTAGCAAGTAAGAACACTGGTGCCGGGTTTCTGTTCTCGCGACCAAAAGGCTCAGGGGTCACTCTAGTTAAACTGGGCTAATTGGGCTGCACGAAATAACCACACAAGAGACACAAATACCTTTTTCTTTGGGGTCCCTGTGACAGCTCCTCTGACCTTAAGGGTCCCTAGAGAAAGAGAGAGAGCGCACGCGCTGACCCCTTTTATTGAGGAGAAGTTATTTAAATGACGCAAGAGGTCAGGTTTCAGGGGGCTGAGTCTATCTTCATAATGTCCACTGTCAGCAGGTTGACTGACACCTGGGTAGGCCACACCCAAGGGCACAGTAAGAGAAGGGGACACACACAAGGCACTTCCATGGAAGATTCTATCCTAAACAGGGCAAGGGGTTATATTACAAAGGAACAGGTGAGCGTAGCTTCACCCATGGGGCTGTAGCAAGACACACCCATGCAGGAGACACCGACCCTCAAACCCAAGAAAGGTGCCACATTTCTGTGACTGAGAGCCTCAGCACCCAGCCGGGGAGTGTAACTCAGTCATGTGTAAGGTTGGCCTCCCACACACTGGAGTAATTTATGAAGCAGTCTCCTTGAAGAAAGCAAGCAAAGGGGTTTTATTGAAGAACCTCTGTATATTCAGATAGGAAAGCACTTGCAGGGATGGGTACATTCCTAAGCATGTTCAGTCCAAGGTCATAAATCACTTCTTTAAAAGGGAAGATGGCAGCACCTTCCTGAGCATGTTTAGTTGAGGGTCATCATATGCCCTCTGCTTCTAAGCAGAGAATGCTATATTATAATGAGTAAAGTTTACTCCAGGTCATGTAAAATAATGAGTGACCTTGGTTGATTCCTTGTAAGCTTCTTCAAAGTGTCTCAGATGAACAAAAACAAACAAACAAAAAAGGGGGGGTCATTAATAGTCTTTTAAAGGGGCACTGGCTCTTTCCCTGATGAATATAGGAGTTTACCCCCTAAAGTGCCTCTGTCTTGCTTAGCAACTAACCATAGTAATAGACACCAGAGTTTGAAGTGATCACAATCTTCATACAGCATTAGACAAACATGAATGAATTTTAGAAATGTAATATTTAACAAAAGAAGACAGATATAAAAGATATATTTATTTTGTATGATTTCTTAGGTAAAATTCAAAAACAGTTTTAGAATTTGGTGTTGGAAGTCAGGTTAGTGAGTATCCACGTGTGTGTATCAGTGATTGGAAGTGGGCATGAGGGGGCTTCTGGGTTCTGGTGATGTTCTGTTTCTGGATCTGGATACTGATTATGCAGCTTGTATTCATTATATAGGAACTCATGGAGGCTGTCTCCTGCTCTCAAGGTGGCCCACATTCTCTCTTACATGTGTCTCTGCTTTCCTAAATCTCTGCCTGTAAAAAAAGGAAGGAAGGAAACTAACTGTACACTTAAGTGCAGTTTATGTACCATAGACTGCCACAAAGACACACACACACACACACACACACACACACACACATGTCAGGAACACACTCTTGAAAGTATGGCTTCTAAGCATATTGAATTCTGTTTGTAAGATAATATAACATTCATGACCTATACCAGTGAGCTGCTGGGAGGTCAGATATTGTCCCTCTCCTTGTGGATACTGCATTATGGGCAAGGAAATAATACTTAGTAAAATATATAAATATTTTTGTACCTCTGATAGAGGTACATTCCGTGCGATAAGAAGACAAGATTAGTTTTACCATCAGGATGTGAATTTCTGGAAAGCCTTCATGAATATAGTGACATTTTAGTTGATAGAAGATGCCATTTTAAGGAGAGGAAATTTCATGAGCAAAAATTCATGATGGGTTCAGATAATGATAAAAAGACAGGCTTGAGTATAGAGTGCATGATGAGGACAGGTAAGAGAGTAGGCCATAAGTTGAGAATAGATTGTGACAGGTCCTGTAAGCAGTATTGAAATGTTTAGCTGTAGACTGTGTGAATCATCCAACTTCTTTTTGTTTTGGGTCAGAGGAAGAGGATGGATTAAGCAGTAAGGCAAAGGAGAATTGGAAGGAAGCTACTTAGGAAAGTATAGTCTAAGAAAGAGATTATGAATAATGGATCTAACATAATAGCAATGGAAATGGATAGAGTTGAATTTAGAAATATTGTGGAGATTGAATCAATCTCTTGATGAATAAGGGAGAAGGGCAATGGAAGATAATAAACACCTCTCATTCATTCAACAAATATTTATTAAATTTCTGCTAAGTGCCAAGCACTACTAGAATAGGGAAACGGTGGTAAACAAAACAAACTCATGGAACTCACAATTTGGTAGGAAGACAGATGTTCATCACAATCATGTACATGCATAAATGTGTGTTGAGGAAGAAAATACTAATAAACTTTTGGACTGGAGACTTCACTTAGTGAGTGCTAGCAGAGCTTTCCTGAGGAAGCAACAATTGAGCTGCTCTGTGAAGGAAGACTGAATGAACATGGTTAAAAAGAATGGGGTCAAGCATTTGAGATAGCAGGAAATATGTGAGGAGGTCAGTATGACTGAACCCTTATTAGAGAGAATGAATGATAGAGGTGAGGTAAGAGAGATGGAAACAGATCATGGGAGACCTTGAAGGGCTCAACAGGGATTCACTACAGACTGCAAGTTTTGCTTTTTAAGTAGACCTTCTGACAGTCTGACTATAGTAGTATGATGAGGGCTTGGAGTAGAGTGGACAAACGTGGAGATGAATGATATTTAGAAGTTAGAATTTATAGAACTTAGTGATTGAATGGGTGTGGGAAAAGGGAAGAGAGAAGTATCTAGCAAGATTCCCAGGTTTCTGAGCACTGTTCACTGGTGAGGGAACACTAGAAGAGGAATAGAGTGGGAAGAGAGGAAGGAAGGAAGGAATGGAGGGAGGGAGGGAGACTATTTGGACTGAGTTTAGGTTGTTAAGTTTAGAAGGTCAATGAGATGACAATTAAATACTTGAGAAGAAGATTCTGGAGCTCCAAGAAAGATCAGATAGAAGATATCAATGTTAGTATAGAAGTGGCATTGGGAACCATGAATGTACATTAGATTGACAAGGTGAGATCAAAGAGAAACTAGAAGGAAACTTTGAGGAGTACTGATATTTAAATTAGGCTAAATAGAGGAACAAAATGAGCCAACAGAGAAGGCCATGGGGTAGGCAGGTAGATATGGGAGGATATCAGGAGAGTGTGGTGTCCCACAAGCCACAAGAACTGTTTCAGGAGAGAGAGAGAGAGCTATCAGTATTAAAGACTGCCTCTTGTCTTTAGCTTCCTGCATCCTGGGACTTTTTAGGTGTGTAGAAGAGGCCTTGTGACTAGCTTAATCCAATCAGCTGAGAATAGAAATACAGTAATACTTCTGTCTGGAGCATGTGTCAGTAGTAGACCCTCTTAAGGTGTCTCTTCCCTGTGGTAGGTCATCAGTGATGTTCAGAATAGTGTCTGCTCTGTCGGGGTAGGGTAGCACAGATCTTCCCATCTATAGCCTCTGAGTTTATAACTTTGTGGTCTTGAAAGCTCTAGAAATAATTTAATGGTTTTAATAGTTCTGGAAAAAATAATGTTGTTAAATATTCTGAAAACCCTTGCAGGTTTTGATGGCCACCTGGCTTTACTCTTGCAATGAAGAAAGGTTCTCAACAAAAAAAATTCTCCAAAGCAAAGAGGCCACCATCATCTCACCCTCCCAGCCCATCTCTTACATCCAATATGAGATCTAGGTCGCTTTCACCTTTGATTGGATCAGAGACTCTGCCTTTTCATTCTGAAGGACAGTGGTGTGAGCAAGTCAAGTTTACAGATGAACCCAATGTGATTTTGGGCTGCCAAGACCATAAAGGTATTCCTTTCATCTGAGAATTGTGTAAGGACAGCGAGAGGACTGAGCCTTCTGGGTGAGGGTAAAGATGTCTGCTTAGGGGAGGAGAGTTTCCAGAAAGAGGAAGCTTTATTTCCTGTGGAAAAGTGCCTACACACTCATTCTCTAGTTTTGCCATCCTCTGTGAGGAGGAGGGCATACCTCTGCATTTCAGAGTGAAGTTCCTTTGGTATAAATATTCAGTATGAAAATGTTTCCACACTTAGGCTGTGCCAGTCTGCTTGCTTTTAAACTGCTCGTCTGTGGAGTGGACTGATTTCCACATTTGGGAAATGCATATGTTTTATCAACATTTTTGGTTTATTCTTAAAAGCATTCTTTTAGTTGGGAGTCTGTTTTTAAAAATTTTTTCTTATTTGTTAGATTATGAAATCACAGCCATCAAATTCTATTGATCTGAATATCTGATCAGTTTTTTAATTAATAATTAATATCAGCATTGAGTTTATATTGTACTACATCTTTGCTACCAGTTAGTTACACTTATTTCTATTTGATAGTCTAGGATATTGGTCATCTTTATTCCTAGAACAAATCAAATTAAAGAAAAATTCAATTTTTTGAACTAAAATTAATTTGATATTAACATATAAATCATCATAGGGAACCCTTGGCCCATAGCCCAGATCTTAATCAAGATTTTTTTTTCTGATTCATAAAGTAAGAGCCAAGAAACAATTTTCTTTTTATAGCTACTTTCATAAAATATGATTTTAACAGTTTTTGATTACATTATTGAGGAAGACCATAAAACAAGATATGCTATTATTCATTAGGTTAGAATTATATCTCATATGGTTTTATTCTCTGCATTTAAAAGGGCAACAAATTTAGAGTTTCTTACTATCAAAAAAGAAAAAAATAGGATTTTTGAGGACTTCAGTTTCTGAACTTTAGCATTTTAAAAAACAACTAAAGGGGCTGGGGTTGTGGCTTAGCGGTAGAGCACTCGCCAAGCGTGTGCGAGGCTCTGGGTTCAATCCTCAGCACCATGTAAAAGTAAATAAATAAAATAAAGGTATTGTGTTCAACTACAACTAAATAAATATTTAAAAAAATAAAAATAAAAAACAACTAAATAGTAGCAGTTTATTTTTAAAAACTGACTTGAAAATATTACTTTGAAACAAACTTGCTGCTGCATATAGATAATATTGTGTTAGATTCATCTGCCTTTGTTCAAGTTCTATATTTACAGCTTATGAGTTATGAGATTTTGAGCAAATAAAGTTTCTATAAATTTGTATATCAAATGTTTGTTGTACAAATTAAATTTGTAAAATGTAAGCCTTTAGCCCAAAGCTTGGCACACATCTAATATTTCTAGAGTGTAATTGCTATCATCATTATTATTAAAAATGCTGTAAGTTAAAATACTATAAAGGTTTTTTTTTTTTTTTTTTTTTACATTTGCCTGACTTAAATATTTTTTCTTACATAGTGTCAAAATTATTATTATTTTTGGAATATGTGTGTCTCCCTCTACTGAAAATGATCTTTTTTGTAATTTTAGGAGCTGATTCAAGAGTAGGAGTTCGATATATCACAGAGGCCCTCATTAAAAAACTCTCTAAGGAAGACAATTTGGCTTTGGTAAAGTCTCTCAACCTTTCACTTTCTAAAGATGGCGGCAAGAAGTTTAGGGTAGGTTACCAACAATTGCTGTGAATAGACATTGATTTTAATTACTTTGTGTTTTAAAACTGCCAATAAAATAAAAAGATTTGAATCCCATCCTCATGTTACCTAATTTGTAGCCGACCTTTTATTGTTTCTGGTGATAGTTCTACATCTGAAGTATAATAGCTCCAAATTCATAAGCATCTATTACTCAGTATTACATATAGTATTTCATTGAGTATGTTTTGTAGTACAGCTTTAGGGGTTATGAATTCTTTTGATTTTTGCATATTGTGGAAAGTTCTAATTTCATCTTTAATTCTGAAGGAAAGTTTGTTTAGTATCATAATCTTTGTAGGCCCCCATTCTAATATTTCAGGTAAACATTCCAAGCCCTCTTATCTGGGATGACAAATGAGTTGAAATTCTAATTGGCTTACCTCTAAATGTGACCTGCTATTTTTCTCTTGTAGCTTTTAAAATTCCAACCTTATTCTGCATATTAGGCATTTTTATTATAATCTCTCTTGGAGAAGATCTTTTCTGATCCTGTCTATCTGGAATTCTAAATGCTTCTTGTATTTGGATTTCCATCGTGTTCCTAAGATTTGAAAAATTTTCTGATATATTTTCATTGAAAAGATTGTGCATTCCTTTAGTTTTATATTTTGGTATAATCTATGCCAATGATTCTTAGATTTGGTGTCTTTATGTTATCTCAAATTTCTTGAATATTCTGGTTATTGTCTCTTAACATCTTTTCTTTATTACTGACTTTATTTCCAAGATTTGACTTGAAAGTTTGTCTTGAAGGCCTGAGAATATATCTTCTCTGAGGTCTAATCTATTGGTAATACTTTCAAATGAATTTTTAATTTGATTTATTAAGTCTTTCATTTCTTTTTTTTTTTTTGAGAGAATTTTAATATTTATTTATTTTAGTTCTCGGCGGACACAACATCTTTGTTTGTATGTGGTGCTGAGGATCGAACCAGGGCCGCACGCATGCTAGGCGAGCACGCTACCGCTTGAGCCACATCCCCAGCCCAAGTCTTTCATTTCTAAGATTTGTTTGATTCTTTTTCAGAATCTTCATCTTTATTGAAATGATCTTTCACTTTCTGTATTTTTTAAATTGATTCCTTGAATCTTCTTTTAGCTCATTGAACATTTTAACTATGAACTTTGTAAATTCTTTCTCTGACATTTCTTCAATGTGGTGTCAGAATTGTTGTGGACTGTTTGAGGTGGTTTGTTCCTTTGTTTTCTCATATTGTTTGTATGTCTGCTGATTGTAAAGAAAATAAAAAAAGACACAGAGACAAGATGCAGAGGCAGAAAAGATGGCAGAATGGCAGAAAGGCCAAACTGCCACGCTTTATTTATTTCAATAGGTTACTTTAGGTCATTAGTGCCATAACTACATTATTGTTTGGTGTTCCTTTATTCCCAGGAGCTGAGTGTCTGAGATCAAGGTCCACACTGATAAGACTCTAGCACAGATCCTCTTCATGAAGGATATTACATAGCAACTAGATACTGCACCTATATTAGTTAGTTATCTTACTAGCTTCTAAGAGAAACAAGTCAGAAACTGTCCCCTCACCCCCAGGAGTTGGCTCACCGGAGGAATGCTTCCCTGTATATTTCCAGGGAAATTGGTTGGGATGATTATCACTTCTACTTTTATGCAAGGGACTATTTAATAAACTTCTTTCTCTTAAGTGCCCTAGGCTAGGTGAATAACCAAGTATTAATACTCACACTCAATGTGTATCTTCTGCTGTTCCCAGTATCAGTACCACCTTGAGAGAAAATGCTAAACCCTATTAACTTCAGTCTCTTCAGAGCAGAGCCACATACTTTGGAATAGACCATTGGAAACAAAAAATTTGTTGAAAATATTCTATACAGTTCCCTTAATCTGGGTAGAAAAATGTAATAATGCTCTCCCTTTGTGGGGTATACTGCTGTATTTTGTGTGTAAGATTTTCCATTGGCTGCTTTGGCTTATTCTCCAGGATGAGAAATTAGTTATCATAGTAAAATTACTGTTACATTATATAAGGACTAAATATAATGTAATTACTATTATATTACATAGGGGAGGAGAGAAAATTTGGGGGAAAAGGAAAGAGAAAAAATAGGAAAGAATAATACAAACCAAGTAAAGAGAAGAAAAAGGTGGTGGGGGAGGGATTTAAGGCAGGAGTAGGTAATGCAACAGAGAAAAGAGAGACTATGAGGAGCAAGTATAAACCTGAGCTAGGAAAAGAGAGAATGATTCCAGCTAATGCTTTAAAACATTAGGAGATGTATAACCAAGTGGGGTGAGGGTGCAATAGCAAATAATATGGAGACATCTATTGATGCAAAATGAAAAAATAACATATAATAAGATCAAAATTGACATTAGAGCTATTTATAATTATCCATATAGAAGTTGAGAAATTTATTATTTAGTCTTTCTTTTTTTATTTCATCAAGATTTGGGGCCTTAGAAGATGCCCACTACTCTGGGTATGGAGGTGTTGATCACACCAGCTCCCCTCTAATACAATTCTTGAAAGCTTTTTCCAATGTCTAGGTACCCACTAGCTTTCTGTTGGGTCAGAGGAAATGATCTCTGATATTCTGTGACTTAGCAAATCAGTTATTCCCTGTTAGGTGGTATAGTCTTTTTGTGCCTTCCAGAAGAAAAGCTCTATGTATCCAGCACTTTCAAATCCAGTGGAAGATATACTGTGAAAATTTGGAGTGTGTGAAGTATGATTATTTAAGTTAGATATATTTTAGCCTGTTTGATGTGGTACTCTTGGGCTGGAGGGGCTGCTGCCCTTTCTCTGGAGTACATTGGTCACAGATCACTGGGCTTGTATCTGGACCCACAAATTGGTGTCTGGTGTCTGGGGAGCTCTTCTGTAAGTCCCTTTGTGGGGTATACTGCTGTATTTTGTGTGTAAGATTTTCCATTGGCTGCTTTGGTGTATCCTCAGAAATTGCCTTCTGTTGGTCTGAGTGTCTGAATGACAATGCAACTCTGGAACTTACAGCTGTGGATCATCCTAAAGATGCTGGGGCACGAGAGGATTCTTCCCTGATTGCTCTGGATTTCCTGCCAGCTGGTTCTTTTTGTCAGCTCAGGGACCTGAACCTGCATGCATGGAGGGTGCTGTGCTGTGTCTGCTGGCTATTTCTGTTGGATGAAGGGGCATAGGATATAATCACGCTGACTGTTGTGAAATATTGTACACCTGCACCCCTACACAGGACCTTCTTTAAAGTGTCAGAGAGGTGCAAATGTGGAGCCTATGATTGCTAGCTGTCTGTGGGTGGCTTATTATGCAGAAGCTTCTACCCTGACTGATGTGTATCACTGGGACTCTGTCCCTGTGACTGGAATGGAGCCTCAATTTGCCCATCTGTATTTGAGCTTCTCCTGCCCATCATTGTGAATCTTTCTATGGAGAGGTGCTATCTGAGCACTTGGTAGCTATCTGCAACTGTGGGGCCTGGAGTTGAAAGACCTCTACAATGAACACTTATAGAACACTGAGCAAAGATGATGGACGACCCATGTTCTTGGATAGGCAGGATTATTATTGTCAAAATGATCATATTACCAAAAGTGTTGTACAGATTCAGTGCAATCCCCATTTAAATACCAATGGCATTCTTTACAGAAATAAAAAAAAAGTCCTAAAATTCATTGCAAGAATAAAAGATAAAAAATAGCCAAAGTAATCCTGAGCAAGATGAGCAATATTTGAGGCATCACAATACCTGATCTCAGATTATACTACAAAGCTATAGTAACAAAAACAGTATGTTAATGGTATCAAGAGAAACAGAAAGACCAGTGGAATATAAGACACAGAATAGAAGACACAGAGACAAATACACATAGATACAGTCATCTGATACTTAACAAAGGTACCAAAACATACCTTGGAGAAAAGACAACCTTTTTTTTTTTTTAACAAATGGTTCTGGGAAAACTGGATATCCATATGTAGAAAAATGAAAATAGATCTTTATCTTTAACCCTGCACAAAAATCCACTCAAACTGCATCAAACATCTAGGAATTAGACCAGAATCTTTGCAACTGCTGGGAGAACACATAGGGTCAGCATTCCAACATATTGATATAGGCACTATCTCTTTCTTAACGAGACCCCTAAATCTGGAAGTAAAAACAAGAATAAATAAGTGGACTGAATCAAATTAAAACGCTCTGCACAGTAAAGGAAAATAAGAGCATGAAGAGAGAACCTACAGAATGGGAGAAAATCTTTGCCAGCTGCTCCTTCATCAGGGAATTAATGTCTAGAATATATAAAGAACTCAACAAACTTAATACCAAAAAAAAGCGCCAATCAGTAAATGAACAAAACAGACACTTCTCAAAAGAAGAAACAAATGGCCAACGAATATATGAAAAATGTTCAGTGTCTCTAGCAATCAGGGAAATGCAAATCAAAACTACATTGAGATTTCTTCTCATTTCAGTTAGATTGGAAATCATGAAGAATACAAATAATAATAAATGCTGGCAAGGATGTTGGGGTTAAGGTGCACTCACACATTGTTGCTGGGACTGCAAATTAGTATAGCCACTTGGTATTTTTCCAACAACTAAAATCAGCAAGCTATAGTGATACAGGCACATTGTGTTTATAGCAATGTAACTCACAATAGGTAAGTTACGGAACCAGACCAGTTACCTGTCAACAGATGAATGGATAAAGAAAATGTGGTATCTACACACAGGTATCCACACACAGTGGAGTTTTATTTAGCCATAAAGAATGAAGTTACGCATTTGTTGGTAAATGAATGGAACTGGAGAACATTTTGCTAAGCAGAATAAGCCAGACTCAGAAACAAGGATTGAATGTTTTCTCTCATATGTGGGAGCTAGAGAAAAGTATGAGGAAAGTGGGGGAGGGGCTGAGCCCCTGCAAATAGAGGAGAGATCAGAGGAGTAGAGGATAGAAGGGTGAGGAAGAGGGATGGGGAAAGGGAGGAACAGTAGAATGAAATTGACCAAATTATGCTATGTACATATGTGAATATACCACTGTGAATTTCAGCTTTATGTCTATCTATAAAGCACCAATTTTAAAATACATAAATAAGCACAAGGAAGACCAGTAGAGTAGAGGAAGGAGAACTGGGCAAGAAGAACAGGGGGAAGGAGTAAGCACTGGGAACTGAAGTGGAAAAAATTATATTCCAGTATGATTATATCATAATGAACCACACTAGTATGCATAACTATAATGCACAATAAAGTATAAAAAGAATATAATGATTATTTTTTAAAAGTTTGCTATCCTAAATAATAAATACAACATTGACATTGAAAACAAAAGTTTACTATCCTTGCTTTGTGTGTGTTTACTGCTATATTAATAAGGTATACAATGTGAACACAGTGTAATAGCCTCATTTCTTTAATTAGAATAAATAAAACTAATGTTCTACCTCATTGTTCACAGAAAATAATTCCAGAAGGTTGAAGAGCTAAATAAAAACAAAGCAGTGCAAAAAACTTAGGAACAAACTGCTGTAAAGTTATTAGGAAAGAGCTAAGCATGGTAGTACACAACTATAATGCCAGTGACTTGGGAGGCTGAGGTAGAAGGATTCCAAGTTTGAGGCTAGCCTCAGTAACCTCAGAGAGACCCTCAGCACTTAGTGAGACCCCCATTTCAGAATAAAAAATGCTGGGCATGTAGTAAAGTTGGTAAAGTTCATTGGTAAAGTTCCCTGGGTTTAATCCCCAGTACAAACAAAACAATTACACACACAATATATATATATATATATAAAGAATATGAAAGAATAATTTAAATCTTAAGAGTGGGAAAACAGTAACCCTAGTACCACAAAGAAAACTATTGATAGATTTATTTGACATAAAGGTTGAAGAGTTGTGTTTAATGAGAGATATATTCTCAAAAGTTAAAAGGAAAACAAATCTGACAATTAGTGTTTGCAAAATCTGTTAACAATATCTACATAATATGTAGGTCTCCTACAATTCCATTGAGAGAGGCAACTCATTGACACATGCAAACAGTGTGAATAGGCAGGTCAAAAGGTACTGTAAATGACTGATATTAACTTGAAAATGTATTCAGTTGTTAAGGTCAAAGAAATATGAAATAAAACAAGTTTTACAATATTTTTGTATCATGCATATCTATTGGTCAAGACTTAAAAAACTATTTCATTATTCAATAGATAAGTTCTATAGTTTAGGAAGGTGGTTGGTAATATCAAAATTTCTAATATGCTTATTTTTTATGGATTTTTAGTTGTAAATGAATCAAAAATATTGATTTTTATGTGGTGCTGAGGATCGAACTTAGTGTCTCACATATGCGAGATTAGCACTCTACCACTGAGTCATAATCTCAAGCCCCTTATTTTTTGATCTAGTAATTGTGCTTATACTCTCAAACCAGCAATTCTACTCCTTGATGTCTATTGTACTAGTATTGTGTACACATATATGCAAAAACATCAATATAGCAATGTTTATTAAACACTATTTAAATAAAAATTGGAAATAACTAAATGTCAATAAGGTATCATTTAAATAAAATATGGCATAATATATTATGAACTACTATGCCTGTACCAGGGATTGAACCTAGGGATGTTCTACCACGGAGCCACATCCCCAGCCTTTTTAAATATTTTATTTGGAGGGGCTGGGGCTGTAGCTCAGTGATAGATCACCTGCCTCACACGTGTGAGGCACTCGGCTCAATCCTCAGCACCACATAAAAATAAATAAAGATATTGTGTTCATCTACAACTAAAAAATATTTTTTTAAAATATTTTATTTGGAGACAGAATCTCACTCAGTTGCTTAGGGCTTCGTGAAGTTGCTGAGGCTGGCTCTGAACCTGCGATTCTCCTGCCTCAGCCACCCAGTTGCTGGGATTACAGGCATGTGCCACTGTATCTGGCTACTATGACTTTTTTTGAAAAGTGATTTATACCTCTATGTATTAACATGGAAATATGTCCACAGTTGTTTCAGTGAAAAAGCAATTTTAAAGCATTTCAGGGTCTCAAATATTTTTTTAAATTCTAGTTTTCTCTGTGAGTATAAATGGATGGAAACAAATAGAAATATCTGGGTACACATAAAAATGGTTTGAGTATTAGGAGTTTTGGGGTTTTGGGGGTAGGAAAGAGGATATGGGGCCTTGATGAAGATGGCTTTTTGTATTTCATTTGAATTTTTTTCTAGAATATATTCAGGTCTTCCCTTGTATAGTTAAGTAGTAAAAAAGGAAACATGCTAGAGTTCAAAACTTGCAAAAATGAAATATGAAATAAATAAATTCTGTTTAATTATTATATACCACACATATGTTAGACTGTGGAGGTAGGAATTAGCTTAGTTTTCTAAATTCAAATTTCTGAATTTAGGGCTTAGTGTGAAGAATGCCTAGGATTAAGAGGAGATAGGGAGAATCATAGAGCATGTATGATTGAGGCTTACCCAGTGAAAAAGCTTGAGGGAGCTATTACAGAAGACCCAAGAGTATGATGGGTGGAGGTTATAGAGGGGGAACTTCATGCAGAAAGTTATGATAAAACGATTATAGAATTGTCAAATAAGAGGAAACCTTAGAAGTCAATGGATTTGGCAATCAAGAAGGCAATTCTTCTGTTTCAGAAACCCACCAAGTTCATTTTTTTAGAACCTTTGCATTTTCTTCTGCTCATCTAGTATTCTCTGACCCCAGAAGTTCACGTTCCTGGATTCTTTTTATTAAGGTCTCATTTTGATATACTTCTTCTGTAAAATCTTTCTCTTGCCACACAATCACAGTTAAGTCACCCTCTTTATTTAGTCAACAGATGTTTATTTAGCACTCACTATATGCCAGGCAGAGGTACCATGGCACTGTACACAACAGACAAGATCTACCCTCTTGGTGCCTTGCATTCTAGCACAGATGTTGTTTTTACTTTCTTATTAGTATTGTTGCTGTCTGAAAATCTTATTTGCCTCTGTTTATTGTGTATCTCTGCAGATGAATACTAATTCATATTTCCTGTCCCTAGACAGCTTCTGGCACATAATCCACATTCAATCTGTGAAATATTGAATGGCAGTCTTGGGGAGAACCATTTGAATACATTGATGTAGTAGAGGATTTATTGCCTTACTAATATAATAGGAGTGAGTGGAAGGCAAAGTGAGCAAATGTAGACGATTCTTGTAAGAAATGCTGGTGGCATTATAAAAGGGAGATAAGATGATGGCTTCCTAGGAGAACAAGGTTAGTGCAGGGCGATTTGTTCTATATGGAAGAATTGTGAGCTTATTGAAAGTAAGCTGTGTGCAGCAGGGAGGGTTTGTCCAGTTCACTGCTATAGCCCATCACCTGGTGCCATACTTTGTAGGTAGCAAGCACATAGTGCATGTCTATTGTAAAAATGACTGCCTTTAAACTTGAGGGGACACAGGGAGAGAGAAGAAGGTTGAACATGCATGGGCACTGAGGGAGAAAGAGAGGGAGAGGTTATACACCAGCATAGTACCTAAAGAAGAAAGGAGGAAAAGCAGAAAGGCATAGAAAAATTGAGGCAGAGAGAATGATAGTGGAGAATTCTTGTTGGATAGTTTGAGCTTCTTTTGTGGACAGTGCTATCATTTGCAGAGGGGCAAGGAGAGTTTGGAAACTTGAGGAGAGTTGCTACTTCAGGGATTGTCCAATAGGGTTTTAAATTTTCTGATGACTGGCCTAAACAGCCCCTGATGCACATACTTAAATATTTTGCTTTATGTCATTCCATATGTCATGTAAAGAATTTACTTATTTATTTCCATTTAGTATATTGAGAATTTGGAAAAATGTGTTAAACTTGAAGTACTGAATCTCAGCTATAATTTAATAGAGAAGATTGAGAAGGTGGACAAGCTCTTAAAATTACGTGAACTCAACTTATCATATAACAAAATCAGGTGAGTGAATATTTCTTTAAGTAGCATTGTAGGGTTTTCTTTTGTTGTTGTTGTTCTTTGTTTCTTTGAGAGGTAAACTAATGTCATCCATGTTGCTGGAAGAATCCTTTGAAACAGCAAATATTTTAATAAGTATTTATTAATTTGTAGGCTAGACCTTCATAATATGATAACTTTATGTTTTGGTACTACTTAAGTACAGAATAATAGCTAGTATTTTGGAAGGAGATACATTTTTTGAATACCAAATTTTGTCTTAATTCTGCTCTTGGCAGTTGCTATCTATGGTTCACTGTTTTATTACATGAAGAATATTGATATGAAGCAGAATGTTCTAACCCTGCCATTTTGAGCCCAAAGATATTCTAACCCTTTTCATCTTAGGTATTTTTCTTCACTTGTTGTTACAAAAAATATACTTTCAATCTTGTTTCCAATGCATAATAATTTTGTGAGAAATAAACATAATCAAACTGACAATGGGTAAAACTACATTTTGAAAATTTGCTATAGACAAAATGATGCAAGAATCAAATAATGAAAATCTTTTTTTTTTGTTGTTTTGGCTTTGTGGCATTAGGGATTAAACCTGGTGCCTCACACCTGCTAATACGGACTCCAACCAAAGCTTGAAAACCTTATATCAGTATGCTTTCCTCCCACATTAGACTTGTTAAATATGATGGCCAACAAATAAAAACAAAACAACTAATAGCTGCTGAAGTTCCTACAAGACAAAAATGAAATTAAAAAATACTAATTAAAGTCTTAGTATAAAATTTGTGTAAAAAATAACTGATACTGATGATAATAATTTTGACAAAATGGAAATGAAAATAGACAAGCTTAGGAGTACTTTCCTGGTATAGAAAATTGACTGAGTTATTAAATAACATATTATGAGTAACTTGGAAAAATTTTTCATCAATGAAAGTTTATCAATATGGGTGATAAATATTTTATTAACTTAAGTATTCTATAAAAATGCTTATATTCATAAGCAAAGTGTCACTTTAGGGGCTCTGATATCCTTCTGCACAGTTAACCTTTTGGCAGTGGCCTAATATAACTATAGTTATCTCTTGAGCAGGACTACAGCAGGTAGCACAACGTGTGCTGTGGAGTTTTCCAGCTCTCTCCTGGCTGGCTGCTAGTTCTCACAGTAGCCAGTGGGACTGGCATAGACACACTCCTCTGTCTTCCATTACAGGTCTTGAGTTCTGATAGTAAGATGAGTACAGTTCCTAGGCACAGTAATAGGAGTTTGCAGTTCACTGCTCTGGTAAATTTTTTTGTAGCTACTTTGTTCTCATTAATAAGAAAGGTTGATAAATCATAATTATGAAAAGAACATCACATAGAGCCAAGGATATTTTTTGTCTTATTGGAAGTTCAGCAACTGTTTGTTGTCTTGTTTCGATTTTTTAGTCATCATATTTACCAAGTCTAACTGAGGGTAAAGCATATAGATATAAGATTTTCAAGCTTTTGTTTGGTGTGTAGCTCAGATTTAATTCCCAGCAGCTAAAAAGACATGAAAATTACAGTAGAAGGACTTCATCAGTATATTTGCTTGACTTTGTCCTTTGGTTTCAGCAAAATTGAAGGCATAGAGAATATGTGTAATCTTCAGAAGCTAAACCTTGCAGGAAATGAGATTGAGCATATTCCAGTATGGCTAGGAAAGAAGTTGAAATCTTTGCGAGTCCTCAATCTGAAAGGCAACAAGATATCATCAGTAAGTTATTCAAACTAGTAAGAATCTTTTTCAATTTCTTTAATTTACTGAGAAAAAATATTAATACTTAAATTTTACAAATGGGATTTCTTTATTTTCTATTAATCAAACACCAGATATATTATATCAAATTCAGATATGACCTAGAATACTCTATAGTAATTAAATACAGTAAGTTCACATTTTGTATAGATTCCATAGCAACTAAGAGTTTATCTCTTAGCATTTATCATTTCATTTGAGCTCTTATTCCCATTTTACATGTAAAGCCTCAGAGATGTTAAGTCCCTGTCCAAAGTTACAGCTTGAGCTAGAATCCAGACGATTGAATGAATGCCTAGAAGAGTTTTTTTTTTGTTTGTTTGTTTTTTTCCTGGCAGTATTTCCTTAAATTCAGAATGTGAATATTGGTACATATCCTTGTGTCTTTTAGATTCAATTATAACTCAGTTTTCTGCAGTTTTACTAAATTTTTTTCACTACCATTTGTATTTTTGATCTGTTCAGTTAATATAATGAAGAATGATAAAGACTTGAAATCAAATCCTGTTTTATTCACTTAGACTCTGAGCTTTGGGCAAGTCACCTGACTTCTTTCAATCTGTTTCTTTATCTGTAAAGTTAAGATAATGCGTCCATTATAGGTTGTTGTGAAGAGTTGCAAATAGAATGATATAAAGAAAATGCCCAGTACTGTCCCAATACACTACTCACATGCTGCCTTTCTGTTCCTTTCCTCAAACTGCTTTGGAGCCCTTGGTTTCACGAATAGGTTTTTTTGCTATGTTAAGAACAATTTCCAGGATTTATTATTTCCTTTAGGTAGTTTATGATTTTTACAGTAAAATATACCAATACTACTGTTATGTCATTTCAGCTTCAGGATGTCAGCAAGTTGAAACCACTTCAAGATTTGACTTCTCTGATATTAGTTGAAAATCCAGTCGTGACCCTTCCTCACTATCTCCAGTTTACCATTTTCCACCTGCGTTCGCTGGAAAGTTTGGAAGGTCAGCCAGTAACTACTCAGGACAGGGAGGAGGCTTTTGAGAGATTCAGTTTAGGTAAGATGACAGTTTAAAAAACTGAATTTGAATGAGGAAAGAATTTGTTTTCAGAACTTATCTAGAAAAAAATGTATTATAAACTTTCTGATGACATTACATTTGCAGAGATGCCACCATAAATCAATTTATTTAATAACTATTGAGCATATTCAGTATGCCAGGCACTGCACTTGACACTAAGGATACAATGGTGAGCAAGACACTTGGTGCTGGCCTTCATGCAGCTTATGGTTTTGTGGAACAGACAAAAAGCAGTTAAACCCAGGTAAAGCAACAGAGGGGAGCCCTGTTGTGGTACAGAGTGGTGTAAAGGAGTGGCTCTTGAGGCAGTGACATGGAAGCTGAAGGCAAGGGGAGGAGAGGCCAGCCATGTGAGGAATGGCACTCAGGGAGAGGGAGGAGCTGGTTCTCTGAGGTTATAAAGACCCTAGTGGGGTCAAGCAACTGAAAGATCAGTATGACTGGAGGAGTGCAAGAAAAAGTTTGGAGAGAAGGGGGAGGTTCGAGATGGAACAGGGCCTTGTGGTTTGGATTTTATTCTAGCTGCAGGAAAAAACCATGGGCAAGTTTTAAGCAGGGATGGGCCAGGAACAGGCTCTATATTAAGGAGATCATTTTGGATGCAGGTTGGAGAATGATTTGGAGCAGGGCATAGAGGAGATGGAGGGGCATGTTAGGAAGAGCTATGACAGTCATGCAGGCTAGAAGTGTTGGTGGCCTGTGCTTAGGCGATAGATGTGGAAATGAAAAATAGATGCATCACTTTTAATGGTAGAATCAGCAGCGCTCTCTAATGGAGTAGGTAATTCTCAGGCTTCTGGCTTAATTGGCTTAATTAGGTGGTGATATCATGTAGAAAATTAGGAGAATTCAGAGTTATCTTTAGGACATGATGAGTTTGAATTATGTGTGAGGTGGCAAATAGAAAATATGTGTCTGGAGTTCAAAGAGGTCTGTATCAGAGATACAGATTGAGCATCACTAATCTGAATATATAAAATCCAAAATGCTCCTAAATCTGAAACTTTGAGTGCTTTTCTAATGCTACAAGTGGAGATTGTTCACAGTCAAAACACAGGTACATAAAAATTTTGTATAAAAATTACTTTCAGGCCATATGTGTTTGTGTAACTGTATCTAAAAAAGAAATGAATTTTGTGTTTAGACTTGGATTCAGTGCCCAATGTATCTCTTTATGTAACTGCAAATATTCCAAATCTGAAAAAATAAATCAGTCCCATGATAAAGGAGATTCAGCTGGAATAAATTTGGTTTTCATTAGCATAATTCCATAGGAATCAGTTTTCTCATGCAGGCAGGGGTGAGAAGAGAAAGAAAGGCAGCCAACTAAGGAAACTAAAAAAGTGAGGCCAACAGGGTAGGAGAAAACCAGGAAATAGTGGGTTACAGAGGCCCAGAGAAGAAATCTTCAAGAGAGGATGTGGTAAGCTTTGTTGAATGTTGCTGAGGCACAAAGTAAGATGAGCACAGAGAAGTGCCTGATTGTGACAGGGATGGGGGAAAGGCTGGGTAATAATGTATTGAAGAATGGAAGGGAGATATTTGCCTGAAGATTTGAAATTTCCTCCCATAATTTCTCTCTTCTAACACTTAAATAAATGAAGGTGTTTCTTTTCGTTTTTTACTGTTTAAAAGTTAAAAAAAAAAAAAAGAAAGCTAAACTAAAAATTAATCAGTAGCTTTCAGACCAGGAAATGGGGAGGAAAAAAAATGTAGTTAACCTCAAAATCAGTAGTCAAAGAAATAAGCAGTATATCTTAAGAGCGGACTGCAGAGACAAATCATGCCTCAGTAGGATTGGAGAAAGAAGAGAGGCCATCCCTTGACAGAAGGAACACTTTCTCCATCAGAAAGGAGAGAAGATGTACAGGTCATGAGGTTTTGTTGCTTTGGTGGTGGGAAAATAAAGGAGTTCCCATGGATGGGGTCTGTTTTCTCAATGAAATGTGAGGTCATCAGCTGAGAAAGAGACTCAAAGAAGTATGGGAAGTTTGAGGAAAAAGAGGAAGATAAGAAATCACCATTGTAGAGTACTGGGTAATAAGCTGGTATGTTTAACCATTTGAAATGGATGTTAGTCCACTTTCAACCTACAAAAGCAGCAGTTTTATATGGTTTAATCCAATACTTCAGAAACATGGTAAATTTCTTATTTGTTTAGGACCCCTCCCCCAACTCTACTTTTTTCCCCTGAAATTTATTTTGGAATTATTAAAAATTTAAATAATGCAGAGTAATCATATAAATATACTGTTGGAGGAAATGTTTCAACCACTTATGGCTCATTCATGACTTCAGACTGTAATTAGGAGCCTTTAATGTGGTGAGCTCTTAGGACCCAGTAGAGAGGAGGTGGATGGAGTTGCTGTTCTCCTGAAGCTTTAGTGGGGTAGGCAGACAGTATAGTAGATCACATATTACAACTCCCTGGGTGACAAGGGCCGGAGCATAAGTTCAGGGTGCATAAGAGCTTCCCTAAGAAGCATCCAACCCAGAGAGAGGAGAGAGTCAGGGCAGTCTTCTCAGAATGGTTTGTAAAGCTCAACCCCTAAAGGATGCAGAAGAGACCTATAGGAAATGGAGGAAGACAGGTTCAGTCAGAGGATGAGAATAAGCCTGCAGCAGTGAAGAGGCATTGTCAGTATAATGAAGAGTCATTTCAGGAAAGCTGCAGAAATATGCTTGAAGATGAGGTTCAAGAGGGAGATTGGGGCCAAATCATCTTTACGGAAGCTTTATGAATCTTATCCTAAGAGTGATAGGAAATAGTTGAAGGATTTCAATACAATGTAATGTTTTGCATACATGTTTACAATATTCTCGAAAATGTAATTATTCATATCAAATAAAATACTGCATTTTTTAAAAGGGACTGGGAAAATTTTTCATTTATCAACAAACTAAAATACTTGGAAGTCAATTCTTATGTTTTAAAAATGTCATCAAAATAATAATGACTTCTTGCCTCGTAATATATATCCATTTCAAGTGCAAGATGGTTTTCTCTCAAAGCCATGGTATATAATTTTAAAAGTAAAATTGTAATTACACCATACTTAACTTCTTTTGTTATTCTTTTGAGAAATAGCCTTGCCTTTTTTCAAGTAAGAAACATAATGATAAATACACTATCCATTTTTATTGACAGAAGAGGTAGAAAGACTGGAAAGAGACCTAGAAAAGAAGATGATGGAAACTGAAGAGCTTAAGAGCAAACAAATAAGATTCCTTGAGGAAATTAAAAATCAAGATAAATTAAACAAATCATTAAAAGAAGAAGCAATATTACAGAAACAGAGCTGCGAGGAGCTAGAAATTGACCTAAACATGAAAAATGAATTGGTAAGTCTGATTTTACATCACATTGATTATATTCTCTTCAGGTAGAAAATTCTTTGTCCTTGTGTCTAAAAATACAACTTCTTGACCGTAGAAAGGGGTAGATGTATTTTAATAGAATATGTGCAAAAGGCTTTACTGACTGCAGTTGACCATGTGCCATGTGATATGGCTTCCTGAAAGATTAGTGTTCTTTGGGGCTGCCCAAAGGGGGAAGGTGATGTTCCTCACTGTGAGAAGTCAGTAAGATCATCCCTGATGTTCATTTTTTTTTTTTTTAAGCAAGAACATTGTTGGAGAGAGTATACACTGGCAAAAACTTTTAGAAGACAATTTGGGGAAAATATCCAAATTTTAAATAGACCCTCTGTCTCAGAGATTGAATTTCCAATAATATATTCTATAGAAATAGTGGCAAGAATGGACAAAGATTATATATATACCTGAATGTATATGTATGTATGTGTGTATATATAACATATAACACACATATACATATACAAGGATATTCACTGCAATATTATTCATATGATCAAAAATTGTAAATAGCCAAAATGTCCCTCAGTGAACCCTGAAGTGATAAAATAATATATTGTTTTGAATAAAATGAAGTACGGTTTTATGTCCTAAAGTGGAAGATACCTGACACTTTTTATTATGCATAAAAAAGCAAGGTGCGAAACAATATCAAAATCAAATATGATCTTATATCTCAAAGTGTATGACAGTTTCTTAGGGGAGAAATGGCAAAATATGCAGCAAACTCTTGAAAGTAGGTATTTCCAAAAAGTGCAATTACAGAACACTTTCAGTTTATGCATATCTGTAATGGCTAAATTTTATATAGTTGGGCTTTATGGTCGAAACATAAAAAGGATACTAAAACTGAAAGATTTAGACAACCTAAGTGGTATAATTTGATAAAGTAACCAAGATACTTCAAAGGTCTTGGGACCATGTCACATGAAGAATGATCAGAGGGACAGAGTTGTCCAGGCTAGAGAAGAGGAGACTCAGCGAGCTATGATAATTTCTCTCAGATATTCAAAGAACTGTTTCATGGAAGAGGAATTATAGACCAAGACTCATCATAAACCAATTGATAGGAAAATATGTTTTCATTTAATGATAAAGAAATTCCTAAAAGTTGGCCTGCAATGGAATAACTGGAATGTTTGCTATCACTGACAGGCAGAGGCTGGCCATATGCTCAGGGTTTTGGAGAAAGATCATTTGATAGGAAGGTGGGCCTTTTCAACCCAAAGAATCTAATTTTATAAACTTATTCGGCTATTTAGGGAAAAATAACTATTGGTACCCTTTTTCTCTCCCCTCCTTTTAAATAATTCCTCATTTTACTTATGTATAACTTAGGGAATTTTACTTATCCTATAAATAATAAAGTCTTTGATATATTTATCCTTTTTTGGATCTCCCTTTCAAGTTTGGCATTCTCACATTCTCACTCAGTTACTTGTTTTTTTAAGAAGAAGAATTCTGCTTAATCACTTACTTTAAAAAAAAAGTATTTCTTAGTTGTTGATGGACCTTTATTTTATTTATTTGTATGTGGTTCTGAGAATCTGCCCCAGTGCTTCACACATGCTAGGCAAATGCTCTTCCACTGAGCTATAACCCCAACCCTAATCACTTACTTTTTAAAACAAAGACAAAAGAGTATTCTCCCCTCTGTGAGGAAGGAAGTTGTTCTTGAAATATGAATTTTAACTAACTCCTACTTAAAGTCTCTTTTGCCTGAGAAAGAAAAGGGAACATGATGGAAATCCAGGACAGCTTCTCCAGCTCTGTACCTCCAATGTTCAGAGCATTTGTGGGTTCCTTTATATGTTACTTAATTTGAAGGTAGTTTTCATATATCTCAGCTGTATCCTGAAGGCATATATTAATAATGTTAATAGATGATTATTAGTGATTTTAGATTATTCAGACTCTGTTGCTTTTCAGTTTGTAATAGAATGGATTGATGAGTAATGAAACCAGTGGAGAATGGTAATCAATGTTACTTAAACAATGAACTCTTTTTGCCATTATATGACATACAAAAATAAAACCCAGTACTTATTTGGTATCATGTGACATTTGTGAACATTTAATAAATTTTCCTCAGTTATTTTTCTGTTTTAGAACATAGAATCCATTTTATTACTAAGAAAGGAACTTGATAATTTGTATATGCTGACTCCCTGAGGCATGTTAATCAACCCATTAAACACCTTAGTTAATATGTCTTAAGGCTTTGCTTTGTCCTGAAAGTATGGTTTGTTATAGTTTTCTCTTTCACTTATTTATGTTATTGTTAATATGGTTGTGCTGGGAATAAATGTTTTGTAAATTGTCAGCAGTTTTGCTCTTTTTTCTGTAACTACTTTTCTTAGATTGTGCTTTTTTCTATGTCATTATTACTCTTATAATTAATAACAATTTAAAACATTTTAACATGTATATTTTTGTAACAAGTTCAGACAACACAAATGTATACAGTAGAAATGAAAATCTACTCTTCCCCTGCTCCTTTCCTCAAGTGTTGATATAGATCCTTTTTGTTTTCTATACATATACAATATATGTAATTAAATAATTACACCCTTGAATATTTGTTATTTTTTTAAAAAAGGAATCCTATTATATATGATTATCCTGCATCTTATCTTTCACAAAGCAGTACATGTAGACAGCTCTCCAAGTTTAAAATATATGTATATATGTACATATGTGTACATATATGTGTGTATATATATATATACACACACACATACATATATATATAAATCTTTCTCATTCATTTTTTTTCTTTTTAAAATTTTTATGTAATTTTTTAATTTATATATGATGCAGAATGCATTACAACTCTTATATAGAGAGAAAGCACAATTTTTCATATCTCTGGTTGTATACATAGTATATTCACACCAATTCTTCATACTTGTACTTTGTGTTTTTTTTAATTTTTATTGTTGGTTGTTCAAAACATTACATAGTTCTTGATATATCATATTTCACACTTTGATTCAAGTGGGTTATGAACTCCCATTTTTACCCCGTATACAGATTGCAGAATCATATCAGTTACACATCCATTGATTTACATATTGCCATACTAGTGTCTGTTGTATTCTGCTGCCTTTCCTATCCTCTACTATCCCCCCTCCCCTCCCCTCCCCTCCCCTCTTCTCTCTCTACCCCCTCTACTGTCATTCATTTCTCCCCCTTGTATTATTTTTCCCTTTCCCCTCACTTCCTCTTGTATGTAATTTTGTATAACCCTGAGGGTCTCCTTCCATTTCCATGCAATTTCCCTTCTCTCTCCCTTTCCCTCCCACCTCTCATCCCTGTTTAATGTTAATCTTCTTCTCATGCTCTTCGTCCCTACTCTGTTCTTAGTTACTCTCCTTATATCAAAGAAGACATTTGGCATTTGTTTTTTAGGGATTGGCTAGCTTCACTTAGCATAATCTGCCCTAATGCCATCCATTTCCCTGCAAATTCTATGATTTTGTCATTTTTTAATGCAGAGTAATACTCCATTGTGTATAAATGCCACATTTTTTTTTTATCCATTTGTCTATTGAAGGGCATCTAGGTTGGTTCCACAGTCTTGCTATTGTGAATTGTGCTGCTATGAACATCGATGTAGCAGTGTCCCTGTAGCATGCTCTTTTTAGGTCTTTAGGGAATAGACCTAGAAGGGGAATAGCTGGGTGAAATGGTGGTTCCATTCCCAGCTTTCCAAAAAATCTCCATACTGCTTTCCAAATTGGCTGCACCAATTTGCAGTCCCACCAGCAATGTACAAGTGTACCCTTTTCCCCACATCCTCGCCAGCACTTGTTGTTGTTTGACTTCATAAAGGCTGCCAATCTTACTGGAGTAAGATGGTATCTTAGGGTGGTTTTGATTTGCATTTCTCTGACAGCTAGAGATGGTGAGCATTTTTTCATGTACTTGTTGATTGGTTGTATGTCCTCCTCTGAGAAGTGTCTGTTCAGGTCCTTGGCCCATTTGTTGATTGGGTTATTTGTTATCTTATTGTCTAATTTTTTGAGTTCTTTGTATACTCTGGATATTAGGGCTCTATCTGAAGTGTGAGGAGTAAAGATTTGTTCCCAGGGTGTAGGCTCCCTATTTACCTCTCTTATTGTTTCTTTTGCTGAGAAAAAAACTTTTTAGTTTGAGTAAGTCCCATTTGTTGATTCTAGTTATTAACTCTTGTGCTATGGGTGTCCTATTGAGGAATTTGGAGCCCGACCCCACAGTATGTAGATCGTAGCCAACTTTTTCTTCTATCAGACGGCGTGTCTCTGATTTGATATCAAGCTCCTTGATCCATTTTGAGTTAACTTTTGTGCATGGCGAGAGAAAGGGATTCAGTTTCATTTTGTTGCATATGGATTTCCAGTTTTCCCAGCACCATTTGTTGAAGATGCTATCCTTCCTCCATTGCATGCTTTTAGCCCCTTTATCAAATATAAGATAGTCATACATGTACTTTGAATAGTAATGATCATCACATTCCACCATCATTAATTACCCCATGCCTCCTCCCTTCCCCTCCAACCCCTCTGCCCTATCTAGAGTTCGTCTATTCCTCCCATGCTCCCGTTCCCTATCCCACCATGAATCAGCCTCCTTATATCAAAGAAAACATTCGGCATTTGGGTTTTTGGATAAAAATATGGAATGCTTCACAAATTTGTGTGTCATCCTTGTGCAGGGGCTATGTTAATCTTCTCTGTATCATTCCAATTTTAGTATATGCTGCCGAAGCGAGCACTTTCTCATTCTTTCTAAATTCTAAATTGTGTTCTATTAAGTGGATCCTCTATAATTTAGTTAATGTTGATGGTTTTTTTGGTATTAGAGATAAGTACTACAAAATCTATGTGTGTGTGTGTGTGTATGTGCCTTATGCATACACACTAGTATTTCTTCAGCATAAATCACTTTGAGTGGAATTACTGTGTAATTCTCTTTTAAATTTTTAATAAATGCGAATACCCACTTCAAAAAGCTTATGGCCAATTTATACTTCCATAGAAGTAAATGAAAGGGTCCAATTTTCAGCTGGATATTGTTATTTTGAATTTATAAATATAATAGAAAAAAATGGAATCTCATTATTGTTTTAATTTCTCATTTCCATAATTGTTGGCAAGCTGAATATTACATATATATTTATTGGCTATTATGTATTTATTCTTTAAATTGCCATTTATATTGTTTTGCCTAGACTTCTCTTACTACAAAGGCTATTATATGTTTAAAAACAATCTGAGCATTAGTCTAAGAATATACATTTGAAAAATATTTTCTGTTATCCTTTAAAGAATATTTGATGGTAATATTATCTACAATTGTATAATGTTTTCCTTTTTTTTTTTTTTGTAGTATTAGGGATTAAACCCAGAACCCCTGCATGTTAGATGTTAGGTGCTATGCCACTGAACTATATCACCAGCCTCTTTTTGCCCCAAGGTGGGGTGGGGGAATGGTCTTGCTAAGTTGTCTAGACTGGCTTCAAACTTGTGGTCCTCCTGCCTCACCTTCCATAGTAAATGGGTGCAGGCATGTGCCACTGCACCCTGCTTTGTTTTTCAGTTTTATAAAATAATTGCTCATGCATTAGAGCACTTTCTTTATAAAAGAAAAATTGCATTGAAGTTAGTCTTTCAGTGGCCACTTAAACTGTAGTAGTCCCCTATCACAACCCCAACAAATGTTAATTGAATTTATTCTGTCCTTGTGCAGGTTGTTTCATTTCTATCCTTTTGTTTACTTATTTTTAAAATGAGGATGATTTGCTTGTCCTGCCAGCTTTATAGACTGGTGAGGATTTAATGAGATTATGAATGTGAAAATAATTTGAAATGAATCGAGCTAAGTAAGGGAAGGTGGTAAATTTATTATTCACATTTGGAGTGGGGATAAGATATGTCCATATAGGAACAATGCAAGTACTAATAGCCATACCTTCCTGTGGTAAATTGTCAATAAAGAGCACTTGTGGTATCACATCTGAGAGTTCTCCAATTGACAGTATCTGTTTGCTTCTTTCTTCTTTTAGCCCTTGTTTTGGTTTCTTGCAGGCCCTTTTCTGCGATTCTTTATTCTTCCTTAAAGGTAGTTCTTTATTCTTCCTTAAAGGTAGTTCTTAAAGGTATTCTTCCTTAAAGGGCTGAACTGCATACTATGTTTTTCATGATTTGCATGATAATTTGTATTCATATGTTTTTGTTTTAAGTTTTGAAACTGGCTTGCCTCATTGAGAAATGTGCCTGTGTATGTATTATGTTTTGAATGACTGTGTACATAGGGGAACAAATTTGAATGTTGGGGAAATAATTTGTATTATTTTTCCTGTTGGTAAACAGGTTAACTACAGTCATCTCTTGATTTTAATAGCCAGTGAGTGCTACAGCTCACCTACTTTCCAGTTCCTTTGACTTTTAGTTTGCAGACATTGATGCATTTCTTCAACATACATTTATTGAGTACTTAACTATATACTAAGCCTAAAGCTATAAGAGACACAAAGGGACTTTGAAACACATAGGCTATTTAATAGATACCAGTACATGCACACTCCATGATTCCACTCACATTTACCTTTGGTTTGGCCCTATAGTCAATGAGCTATGGAGAGAGAAGCCCAGGATTGTTGTTGATTGAGTTGCTTCTTTGAGACTCAAAGCCTTATGAGCATTCACTGAAAAGATAAGTATGGCTAATATGCTAGGCACCCTGCAGCAGGACACTGGGACAATAAGCAGAATGTTAGATTGGAAACCAGGCTCTTGGAATTGAACATTGTCTCTTCTGCTGTAAGCTATGCAATAAGACAAGTCCTTTAATTCCAGTGAGATAGCAAATGAGGGTGTCACACAGAATTAGTATTCAGATCAGTGTTACTTCCATTTTAACAGATTATCAGGAGGTGACTGTAAGTTAAATTGTGCACGACTGATTTCCTGACCTTGTAAAATGCTTGTTTATGTTTTATTCTTTTTTGCTTGCATTTTTATGTTTATGAAATATTTCTGCATGATCTTTATCAGATACTGGCAAAAGTAAAGATAATAATCACTTAGTGGACCTTTGAAATGAACTCGAAGAGTAGATGTAATAGAAAAAGGGCTTGTGTTGATAGTAGTAAAATACTTAGCTTTCACCACTAATCTTTTGACAAGTCAATTCACCAATCTGAGTTTCAGTTTATTTATATGTTCAGATAATTATATTGAATGATTCATATATCCTTCTTCTCCCAGTTCCAAAACTTTCTGAGTAACTAAAAAGTTATAGTATAATTACTTTATTAAAATTTTAATATTACATATTTGGATCTGATGGAGCTTGTTTAAATTCCTTATCCTCTGTTACAAATAATGATATTCTGAACATTTAAAACTTAAGAAGCCATTAGCCACAAATACTACGACAACAGTACAGTTAAAAGTAATCTCTAATATCATTCTTCTCACTGCTCTGTAGTTACTGTCAAATATTATTCCTCCATGATTTGAAGATATCATTAAAACCAAGAGTAAGTTAAATAAATTAATACTAAGTCTTGGGACATCATGAAACAGATACTTAGTAGACTAGTTTAAAGATAATTGATACAGAACTATTTTACATTTAGGTAAAACAAATTTAAATATTTTCTTTGTATCCCAAAATAGCATGTAAACTTCAAAGGTCTTTTATGTGATCACTTCTGAAATAATAATTTTGTATTTCATTTTTTATAATAGATAATTAAGATAAAATTCTGAGTGTTGTGCTTTTTGCTATAGTGTTTTTACAATATAGTTATTAATAATGATGAGAAATTGCCATAACATTGCACTTTGGTACTAACTCACTGAAACTATGTTTTGTCTCATCGAATTGGGTTGATAGCTAAAACAGAAGACCATGGAACTAACACGAGCATGTCAGAAGCAGTATGAGCTCGAACAGGAATTGGCTTTTTATAAAATTGATGCTAAATTTGAGCCACTAAATTATTATCCATCAGAGGTGAGCTATTTATAATTCTTTAGTAATCCACAATTAAAGCCAGCATGAAGTGAGGTGGAAGGGGACAGATGGTAGGGAAATTTAAGGGACTATTTTTTTACTAATCATTCCACTCTCTTATTATGAGCAATCAGCAGAGTAAACTGTTTTGGTTGTATCTGTGAATTATTTGGCTCCTGTAGTTAGAGCAATATCCTAAAGAGGTAAAAGCCCCAAGAGAATTTTGCCCACAACCAATTCCCTAAGCAAAAACAGCTTCCTTAACTCTCAGTTACCTCACTTAAATCCAGACTTTTGGAAAAAGTGCCATGGGATAGTCATCTCCCTACAAGATTTGTTCAGTACTTACTAGGTTCAGAATTAGTCAACCATTATTGGCACAGATGCCATAAATGCATTGGAAATAGGGGAATTACCTAACTTCTAAAAACCAATGATTTTTAATAATATCACATGTTGTTTAAATTTTAAAGCCCAATTATTAAAATTGATTACATTGAGATTTTACTGTGTCAGTCAGTCAAGAAACCAAAATGAAACATCCAGATTTCTGATTGGGAGATTAAGAGATTAAGCAGTGCTACAAATCACATAAGTGTGGGCAGTTCTTTAATTAGCTAATCCAAACTGTCACAGTTTGGTAGTAGGAGGAAGAATCCTTTTGAGACCATTTTTAGGTCTAATTCCTTTTTTTAGTATATTAAGAATAAAAGAATAATATTTTTAGCTTCTAAGATTTAGGGTTAGCAAAACTTTGGTGATTGTGTGACATGTTTACCACTAATAAAATGAATAATGTCATTTGTTATTAAACCATAAATCTATTATTTTGCTTTTAGTATGCTGAAATTGATAAAGTTCCAGATGAAAGCCCTTACATTGGCAAATCCAGATACAAGAGAAATATGTTTGCCACAGAAACTTTCATTATCAGTAATGCCCAGGCAGTACAGATCAAGAAGATAGGACCAAATGAAGGAGAACAACTTAGAAATGCACAAGAGAACTTGAGAGCCCATGCACCACTGGACACACAACTGGAAGATAAAGAAAGAAAAATAAATGCAGGTTAAACAAAGTTATTTTAAATTCTTTAGAAATATAAAAAGATTGAATATGTAGGCCAATTTTATTTTATAACTCTTTTAATTAAACATTCTGATGGTATTTATTATATGTCATTAAAATGAAAAGTCTAAAACAAAAGTAGTGACTTATTGAACAGATTTTAAAAAAATTATTCCTTTTATGGTTGAGAGTGGTATTTTTGACCAGAATTTAATGGGAACATGTCCAGGGGATCCAAGAATGCATAAATCCCATCCTGCCAATAAGCATAGAAGTATGCATTAAAAGACGTAATTAATAATAACTAAAACAGGTAAAGAATCACTTTTATTGATGATTATACATGTAGCCAAAACCTGAAGCTGTGCTTTGGATAGGCTGAAACAGATCACTCTCCTTAGGCCTGGGTCTAAGGTTGGCCTATGACTTCCTGATGGGCCCCACATACTGCCTTACCACCATCCCTCCATACCCCAATCTAATTCGAGGGATCTTAAACCTCTGGCAAGTCACATAGAGGAAGAAGTCAAGCCAAGAGGCACTGTAGAAGCCCCTCCAGTGTCATACATAGCTATCCACTTAGCTGTGTAGATATTGAAGAAAGAGAAAGCCAACCCAAATTTATATATCCCGCTAGTAATTGTGGCCCATTGAACCATCAAATTAGCAGTTCATCTTCCTTTGACTGTCAGCTGAAAATATGGATGACTAGTAAAGACTGACTTTGCAAGGGGAGATAAGAAGCTGAGTTCTCCTTGTCTGCCTTTATTATATGTAAAGCTCTAAAAGGTAAAGGAAAAATAAATCAAGATACGTGTGCATACTAACTTCTGGGGACTCATGGTTTCATTGGAGGGAGAGAGAGAGAGGGAGAAAGAAATCTAAAATTCGGGGTAAAAAGTGATTGATTTGAAGTCACCTCCAGTATTGGATTTTTTAATAAATTTGGATTCGTTTTTGAGTCCTATCATAAAGTATTTGCCTCTAACACAGGGTTGTTGTGTTTCAATACACTGATCCTAATTATGACTTAGTGGCATACAAAGTGTATATTTCTCAATAAAATCCTCTTTCTCTCAAAATGGTTCACTAACATTGGGAATCTCAAGTATTGTCCCTTTTATGTTAAGATTAATTATAGTTCTATAGCATATCACAAAACAATTTTTTCTTAAAATATTTAATAGAGATGAAAGCTATCATAAGTAAGTTTTAAAATGTCTATGATCAATAATGACAGAATTTAATTGAGAGAGAAGAGATTATTGCAAAGAAAAAATCTGGTAGAAATTTCAGAATTTGCTTGTGTGTATATGGTTTTTAAATTCACAGCACAAACTCGACTGTCAGAACTACATGATGAAATAGAAGAGGCAGAACAAAAAATTTTAAGAGCTACTGAAGAATTTAAACAACTGGAAGAAGCTATACAACGGAAAAAAGTATGTAAAAGCAAAGCAGCCATGCTAAGAGGAAATGAAAAAGTGAAAATGAAACATGTTTCCCTTTATAACAATATGTTTATTTTAAAGTCAGTACAGTCTAATTAATCACAGAATAATGAATTTCAAATTCAAATGTGATTCTAGAATTTCTCAATTATCCTTTCATTCATGATGATGTCTTCAACATTTTATAAAGCATATAGAAGTAAATGACTGAAAATTCATGTGAAAAGATGTATTTGGTCTACTACATTGTGAAAGTGACTACTTTCCCCAAGAGAGTCTTCTAACTAATTAAGCACCCTCCACCTTTAAGATAATGGGACCCAGATTAAATGCTATAGAAAACTATAGCATGAACATTATCAAATAAAAAACAAACCAAAAAGATATATTATATACAAAAAAGATGAAAGTAGCTTATTCTGAGAAATAACCAAAGCATTTCATGCAGAAGTGAGTAGTTAAGTCCATGATGTAATTTGATGGTGTGGGAGATTCACAAAGGGAAGTATTTTGAAATTTTCATTTTTAAATGCGTACTTATTTACAACTTGTAAGAATCAATATTTTAAAATTATAATGATAACTATAATCATAATAGGTTGAAAAAATGTGAAGTCCAAACCATAGGTTCTTTTAAAAGATATACTATAGTGTTATTTTTAGATTATACAGAAACTAGAAATTGGCTGGATTGTACTGGAAACTTACTATATGCCTGACTAGACTGGCTCCTGAGTAATGTACAAAATAGACATGAATCTCTCCTTTGTGAACAGACTTGTAGGAGAAATAGATAATAAACAAGTTTAAAAAGTAAAAAGAAAATTCATAGTTAAACAGCATCAGTATTATAGGAAAAATACTGAAAAAAATTTAGATTGTAGGGCTCTTGAAGGTTTCTCTGAGGAGGTGGTGTTTAGATTTTTTTTTTTAGACCAGGGTCTCACCATGTTGCCCAGACTAGTCTAACAGTTCCTGGATATAAGTGATCCTTCTGCCCAGTCTCCTGAGTAGCTGGGTCTATGGGCAGGTTCCATTGTGCTGGGATTGGAGGTGACACAAAGAATGAGAAGGAACTAGAGAGACAAGAGTTAGAAGAAAGAGTATTCCAGGCAGAGATGGCAGTGTTTGCAAAAGGCTTCATAGTAAAAATTCCTCAGCTGAGTGAAGGAAAGTGTACTGGACGATGAATTTGAAGTCATGAGGTTAAAGACCATGCCAGGTTTCATTGGCCATTTTAAGAATCTTGGATTTTATTCTGTATGCAGTGGGAAACTTTGCAGGGCTTAAGTAGAATGGCTGATCTATTTGTCTATATAAGCGGTCACTTTGGCTACTGCTTAATGGTGAAATGGGATGAGAGAGAGAATGAAGATCTGTGGATTGGTTAAGAGGCTGGTATTTAGTTCAAGCAAGAAACAGTAACAGGATGAATGAATCAGGAAGATGGCGGTGGCTAGGGAGAGAAAGCCAACCAAACTGCAGGTCAAATAGGCAGGAGAACTGTCAGGGCTTCCAGATGAATTGAAAGTGGGAAGCCAGGTGGATGGAGCATCAAGATTTTTTTTTTGTCTTTAATATTTTTTAAATGTCAATGGGTCTTTATTTTGTTTATTTATATGTGGTGCTGAGACTTGAACCCAGTATCTCACATGCTAGGCAACTAAGCCACAACCCCAGTCCCTCAAGATGGTTTTAATAGTTAAATATTTTACAGTAAACTGACTATACAGGTAGATGTTAATAATATACATGATTTGAAAATAAATGGATGCTTATAAATAGGATTGGAAAAATAATTATTTATTTAAATGAGTAAATGTAACCCTGAATTGTTCTTTACACTGCTTATTTACTTGACCTGCTAAGGTAAGTTTCAGCCTCGTTTTTACCAGTAAAATAAAAATTTCAATTTAATTAGTGGGACAGACATGTGTCCCTCCTTGGTGGATAGACTGGTAGACAATAAACACGTTTAAAAAGTAAAAATGAAATATGTAGTTAAACAGCATCAGTATTATAGGAAAAGCACTGAAAAATATTTAGACTGTGTGTGTGTGTGTGTGTGTGTGTGTGTGTGTTTGTTTATTTGTTGTACTGGGGATTGAACCCAGGGTGCTCTATGAGCTACGTTCCCAGCCCTTTTAATTTTTTTATTTTTGAGACAGGGTCTCTCTAAGTTGCTAAGGCTGGCCTTGAACTTGCTATCCTCCTGCTTAGGCTCCTGAGTAACTTGGATTAAAGGTGTGTACTGTCACACCTGGCTTTAACAAGAGCTTTTTATGTTTTATAATTCTGTGGTTGAGATGATCTTATCTAGGTAACACAGAATTTTAAATTCTTTTCCTAACTATGAAAGTATTGTGATTAGGGGGAATTGTATAATCATCACAATATTTAGTCTTATTTCCTTCTAAGCTTCTATTTGCATGTTTTTTCACACATCTAATCTCCTAGTGTGACCTTGGGCAATATATCTAAATTTTCCATAATTCAGTTTCCCTATCTGTAAAATTACAATAAATATGCTTTCTACTTTATATGCTTTGAGAAGTAAATTGAAGTATATAAAGAGTTCAGAACAGTACCAGGCACATAGTAAGTGCTATGTAAAATCAGCTATCTGTAATATTAGGTTTATGATTAATATTTTACAAGTTGCTTATACTAGAATGACAACTGTACCTATTAAATTATCAGTTTTTACAAACTAGTAAAATAATAAGGTTTTCTACTTAATAAGATATATTTGGGGAGTGCCTAGATAACTACCACATTTTAATTTGTAGAGAAATCTGAAAACTGTGCGTGGTGGTACACAACTGTAATCCTAGTCATTCAGGAGGCTGAGGCAGGAGGATTGCAAGTTTGAGGCCAGTCTCAGCAACTTAGTGAGACCTTGTCTCTAAATAAATAAATAAGGGCTGGGGATGTAGCTCAGGGGTACAGTGTCCCTGGGTTCAATCCACAGGACCAAAAAAAAGGTGGGTGGAACCTGATAGAACATAAAATATTTTTTACATTGTGGAAGTTGTCTTTATAAATCAGTGTTGCTATCCTTTGTTAATTGTTGGGGTGTGGGGGAATTAGATTTCAGAAGCAGAAAAAGACCTTCTTTTCAAGCAGTTGAGTGGTAGAATACAACTTCTAAATAAATTACGCCAGGAAACTCTGGATCTAGAAATGCAGATGGAAAAGCAGCGACAAGAAATTGCTGAAAAGGAGAAGGAGATCAAGGACCTGCAAATAGCCATAGATACCCTGGATTCCAAAGACCCAAAACATGTAAGTAAATTAAGAAATTTAGACTTGTTCTATGGACATTTGAATATTATTCTCTCTAGATAGTACTTGTCTCACTATTTTTAGCAGTAGAGTCCTTTCTGCATGTCTCTTTTTGGTTTGATGTATAATTTAAGTGATGTGCATATATGTATGTATAATTTATATACATTATATGTATATATGTATGTACGTATGTGTCATATATATTTATACATATACATAAATACATGTGAATATACATAGGGAATGTGTGAATGTGTTCAGAACAAAACTAGTCTTCAAGAAAGTACCTTTCAGTAAATGGCAGCCGCAGAGTACACTTAACAGTTTCGTTTTATTTCAGAACTAAAGAAACTTGCTCCAAGATGCTCTCCAAACTTAACTCCTTCTCTTTCCTTGCTGAAGGGGGTCAAAGTTCTTTTTCTGCCTCTTTAACCCTTTATGCAAATATTCTGCTAAAGCTTTTTTGTTGTTTTAATATTATTTTGTCCTTAAAAAGAAACTTTTCTCAGGAGTATGTCTTCCTAAGATGTGGTCAGGTGACTGACTGATAGGGTCAGGCTCAAGTCTTTCTTTCAGTACTCTGAGAAATCTTACTAATGGCTTGTATGTGAACTAGTATTCCTAAAGTAAGTGAAAATATTTCCTAAACATTTTCCTGACATATTTTGAATAGTAAGGATATCTTTTTTAAAAACTTTGAAGATCTTTCAATTAACTGTTATCACAGAATCTAACATGCAATTGTAATTGCTTTAAGTACTTGACAGGTTATGTAATATTCTTTGAAATGTTTTAGTAAACTATTATGCCATATTTGTACATGCACATAATGTAATTTGATCAATCTCATTCCCCAGTACTTTCCCTTTCCTTTCCCCCCATTCACTTGCTCTACTAATCTCCCTTCTATTATCATTATTTTAATTTAGTGCATTATGATTATATATACAATCAAGTGGGATTCATTGTAATATATTTGTAGATGGACATAGCATAATTTGGTACATTTTGTACCCCAGTACTTTCCCATGTCTTCTCTTCCTCCCTCCTCCCTATCTACTCTATTACCTCTCTTCTATTCTGTGAGATACCTTTATTTTGTTCCTTTTTTTTTCTCTCTCTAGCTTCCACATTTATGAAGTCCTTTCTAATAAAAGCCTGAGACTTTATTAAAATTGAAACCAAAATTAATCTTATTTTAAAGAATTTTTATTAGATGAAAAATTGCTTATTTAAAGTTCTGCATGTGTAATGAGGTTGATAATATCTGATTGCATTTATTTGTTTTAGAAAGCTACCATCTAAGTAAGGTTATCTGTGTCTCTAGGGACCAGCCCTCTGTTTAAAAATGTTTGCCTTCTGGGGGGTAGGAAGGAACAGCCCACAGGCTCATGTGCTGCCCCTTCCAGTTCCGTAATCTGAGTCTAATTAAAAGCCAGGTTGTGTGTTTGGCAGATGGAGAGTTTAATTTTCACTGAATCTCTGTGAAGAATTACATATAGAAAGGGGCACAGTGAGACATAGGAATGTTGTCCAAGTTTTGAAGGTAGCCAGAATCAGTCTGTGCTAGTAGGGGTGGAACATACAAACCAGGTTTAAGTTTCCCATTTGGTTTTGTTTAAAACTACTAAAAGTTAGTTCTTAGTTCTTGGTCCCCACACCAGAGGGCATCTCTTTTAATTTGTTCACCTAGAAGGAATATCTTTTTCTAATTTACTTGAAGTTGCTACACATATTGGCTAGTGGTAGGCACCCCTTTTAGGCTACAAAATGTGAGCCGTTTAGCAAAAGAGAAAGAATCAAGAGTGTGATTTATGTATATTTTTCTTTAGACTTAGATAGACTTTTATTTAATTGACCTGTATTATCTAGTTAGATAAAAGTATCTTTCTGAATAGTAAATAGAATTTGAAAGTAAAAGTTGGACTGTAATTAAAGATATTATAGAAAACAAACATATTAAGCACCCACATGTCTTGCATTGTGCCAGTATTTTGCATATGCTGCAACCTCTTTTTTTTTTTTTTTTTTTTTAATCATCCCATCCATGTCAGGTTTGTGTCAGTTTTTTTTTTTTTTTCCTTCAATTTGAAGAGAATGAAAATGTGATTTGGAAAGTAAGTGATTTGCCCCCAGATCACCCTTTTAGGAAGAGGTAGAGTCCTTACTTATGCCAACTCCTCACAAAGGGATTAGAGATCTAAAGAAATTAATTATTTTAAAATTAACTCGGTGGGCTCAGTGGTAGAGCGCTTGCCCAGCATTCTTGAGGCCCTGGTTCAATCCTCAGCACTCCCCCCCACACACCCCCCAAAAGGGAGCATTCTAACATTAATTCAGTCAGGTTTTAAATATATATATTAATTAAATTAAGTTTCAAAAGGAAAAGGTACCACTTAAAAATCAGGTCACATGTTAGTTATTCGTAGCCAGAAGCAAAATATCACATTAGCAAATATGATTAAGAAGATTGTGTTGATCTCTCCCGTCGGGAAATGCCTAATGGAAGCAAAAGGTAGCAGTTCTCTGGAGGGAATTCCATTGTGGCAATCTCTGCGATCTCTGTGGTGTTGGGGCGTGATTGGCCCTGGGGAGCTTCCTGTGTTATGATTTAAAGCTAGGAGGGTGGGGCCTGCCAGCAGAGGCTCTAGTGACTGGACAGGCTGGGCTGCCACTCACTTTTGGCCAGGAATGTGGTTTGAGGCGCTGGGAAGTTACTGAGGTTCGTGAAACTTGCAAAAATGTGGCTGTCAGAGAGGGAAGTGCACATGAGTTTGAAGATAGCATTAGAAAGCGTTCCGCTCAGTTTCTCTGTGCTCAACGGCTCAGTTTTAACAGGACAAATTCTAAGTTAAGGTACGGATCATTTTCTCTCTCTGTGTACAAAGGATTTAGAGGAGGAGGAGGAGTCAGATGTAAGTTCCTGTTTTTACAATAACTCTTTTGTGAGCTCCATGGGGGTGAACATTGCAGGATCTACTGTTGCTCCATGTGTTTTATGCACATGGTATTTTGAACCAAATTTTTGTCCTGCATATGAAGTGGTTTCAGTGGACTTTTAAATGGTGAATTTTAAAGACTTACTCATTTAGATATGAGTGCAATTTTTTTTTTTCCTTGAGTCATACAAATTCGTGGTTAGGATGTAAGCTGATATCTGCAGTTAACCTTTTCAGAACGATTTCAGATGGGTATTTTGGGAATGTGAGGAAAGACAAGATTTGAAAATTCCAAGTTTTACCAGTAGTAAAATAAAAACCTCCCAGTCAAGTTGCCACTTTGTTCTTCAAAAAATGAAGAGACATTTCTTTCAAGTATTTGGGGGAAGCAGATGCCTAAAATTGAGAAGTGTTCTTTTTTTGATCTAATGGGTCGTTTGTTGTTCAGACTCTGATACAGGTTTCTCTCCTGATAGCTTTTTCATTAGGTGTTGTGTTCCTCTGATCTTGTGGAGGCAAATTTAGAGTCATGGGGCTGGGGGTGGGGTAAATGGGAAGGCAAAAGTTCTCTGGGGAATTGTTTCCATATGAACAGTTGCCTAAGGAGACATGGACAAGTCATTTGATGGATCTGAGATTCATTTTTCTTATTTGTGAAATTAAAGGTTTGAAAAGATCAGTAGTTCTCAATCCCCCGCCCCCAGCACATCTGAGAAATAATACAATCCACTCCTCTTGGTTAACAGTGGCTCTCCAATGTGGTGATTATTAGGGTGTGTGTGTGTGTGTGTGTGTGTGTGTGTGTGTAAGATGTTTTTTCCACCAGAGGCCTATGTGGTGGGTAGAGGCATGTGTCTTCCCAACGTCTTTGAAGTCCCTCGCAGCTCCCAGATTATTGAATCTAAAAGCAAAATGTTTGTTTGCAGAACAAATTGAAAATAAACTTGAATCCCAAGTAAGTATTTATTTATCTCATATCTTTTATTTTCCCTAAGAAACTTTAAGGTACATTTGAATATAGGGTTTTATTTTGTTTTGTTTTAAGGTTAAAAAAGGCATTACTTTATAGAATTTATATCAGAATTTTCTAAATATTAAAACAACTCATGAATAAAGAAACAATATTTTCTGTAATCTTCTCATCCAAATATAATTCCTTTTAACATTTTGGAATGTACTTTTAAGTCTTTTTCTATAAACATAATGTATTTCAGTATAATAAATTAACTGTCTGAAAATTCCTTTTAAAGACACCTTTTAATGCCCAATAGATAATATTGGACTTGGCTATGTTACCTTCTAGCTGTGTGCTTGGAAAAGTCATCTATCCTTCCTGATCCTCAGTTTTCTTATCTATAGAACAAATATGATTCCCATATCAAGTTATGCTGAAATTTAAATGAAAACTGTTCACATGAAAGTAATACAGGGCCTGACACAAAATAAATGCAAATCCCTATATTTTCTAGTCTTCCTTTAAAAATGTTTTTAAGGATTATTATTTTTTAAAGCCTTAAGAATTTTTTTTTTTAACTCAGTCCCATATGAAGGCTCAGAAAAGGGGTAAAGAACAACAGCTTGACATTATGAACAAGCAGTACAAACAGCTTGAAAGCCGTTTGGATGAAATACTTTCTAGAATTGCTAAGGAGACTGAAGAGATTAAGGACCTTGAAGAGCAACTTACTGAAGGTGAGAATTTAAGGTTGAGGTAAGGTCAGTCAGTTTCAATATTAAAAGAACGATGATATGCAAACACATTAATCTAGATATTAGCTTAGTTCAGCTTTTGGTGCTAGTAATTGATAGGGAAATGTTTATAGGGTACCCAAAAGTGTTTAGAAAAAATTTTTAAATTTTGCTTTAGTATGTTTTGTTGCATTGCTGCCAAGTGAGTCAGGTCAGTCCACTCAGTGAGCCAAAAGTCAGTAGACGATGACAATAAGTGCTGCCATGTGATTGTCTTCTATGGCATAAAACCCTTTCAGGAGCAAAGAGTCTTCTGTCATCTGGAAAGTCAGCGTCTCTGTATAGGAAGAGCATAAGAAGAACTTTAGGGTCTACTTTTGCAACATTAATTTAAATTGTGGCATTCCCATAATAGTGGAAAAGGAAGACAATAGGAACCTGGGCTCAGCTTAAAAAACAGCACAGTCCTTGTTTTGCTACTATCAACTGTGTCATCTTAGACAAGTTATTTCTCTCTTGATCATGAGTTGTTGAGAGAATTAAGAGAGTGTTCAGAAAGTGGTGACATAGTGGGTATCCAGTGTATACTGTGATTTTTTTTATTTGTTTGTTTTTTGGTTTTTGAGTCTTTAGGTTACGTGTTTATACTGCCAGTCTTCGAATAGTATATAGTCTTGTATATTGAGTGATTTTGTTTTGTGTTTTCAGCAACAAGAACTCAGTTTTAGTACATATTTTTATCATTTTTATTTAGAAATTATTTAAACATTTTGCAGCATGAATCAGCATTTTGTCAACATTTCCCACAAAATATACTCTTTTTATCCTGTACCTGCTTAATATTTCTGTACTGTGAATAATAAGAAGAAAAGTATCATTGCATCCTGAGAAAGAAAAGTAAGATAGGATATAATTAGAAGGTTAGAATTTCACTCTTGGTTTGCAACAAATCACTGAGTAGAAAAAGCAGTACTTTTTTTTTTTTATATTTACTTTTTTTTTTAGGTGGACACAATATCTTTATTTTTTATTTTTATGTGGTGCTGAGGATTGAACCCAGTGCCTCACACATGCCAGGCGTTACCACTTGAGCCACATCCCCAACCCCAAAAGCAGTACTTTTAAAATATACATTATTAACCTTTTTCCATCTTGCTCAGGCCAGATAGCAGCAAATGAAGCTCTGAAGAAGGATTTAGAAGGTGTCATCAGTGGATTGCAGGAATATCTGGGAACCATCAAAGACCAGGCAACTCAAGCCCAAAATGAATGTAGAAAGCTACAGGATGAGAAAGAGACATTGCTACAGAGGTTGACTGAAGTCAAGCAGGAGAGGGATGAACTGGAAGTAGTTGCTATGGATGCAGAAAATATGAGAAAGGTATGATTTGTTTCTTCCTTCCTGTTTTCCTTAACTTCAGAAATAGATGATGTTCAAATTAAGTTAGTTGAAGAAGTTAAAAATGGTAGTTATAAATAGCAAAAAGTAACAGTGTTTATTTAATGATTTTTTTTATAAATTGAAACCCATAACCCAGTTTAATAAATAAAACATTGCAGATAAATTTAAAAACCTCTATGTACTCCCTTCCAAAGGTAACATCCTGAATATTATTATTTCCCTGCATCTCTGTTCTTTTATTATATATGTAAACATTTATTTGTGATTTTAAAGATTTAAATGAAAGGTCAGTGTACTTATTCTTTGGCATTTCCTTTCATTTATGTTTTTGAGAATTATGCACATTGATAGTTGCAGCTCTATTTTTATTAATGTGAGTAGCATCCCATTGTGTATACATAATTATTATTTATTCATTGTCTTTTGGGGGGACAGTTGGGTATTATTCAGTCTTTTGCTATTACAGACAATGCTGACATTCTTAAACACGTCTTGACCCTGGGGACTGCTGGAATTGGGATAAAAATCTTTAAAAGCCCATATGTAAAAGTCTTGGCCACCGTCCTGTAGAGTTGTTGGGAGGTAGTGGAACCTTTAGGAGGTGTGGCCTAGTGGAAGAAAGTAAGGTCATTGGAGTCATAGCCTTGAAGAATATATGAAGACACCAGTCTCTCTCTCTCTCTCTCTCTGTTTTCTTCTTGGCCTCAATGAGGTGAACAGGCCTCTTCCGCCATGCATTCCCATTATGATGTCTTGTGCCACAACAGGTCCAGGGACCATGGAATGAAACCATGAACCAAAATAAATATTTTCTCCTTTTAAGTTGATTATCTCAGGTATTTTCTCATAGTAAGGGAAGTCTGACTAACATTAGAACTGTGATCAGAAGTGGATCAGGGAGAATGTGCATCTTTAATTAACTTCACTAAATATTGTCAAATTACTGTCCATAGTGATTCTGACAAGTCTACTACCACCAACAGTCTGAGGCATTTATTTTTTAAGCTTTAATGAGTTATTTTATTCTTATTTTTAATTCACTCAGCAATTAATATTTTGCCCCATTTGCTTTATCTCCATGTAATTTTACATGATTTTATGTATATTTTAAATAGATATTTTTCATTGACCATTTGAGAATTCATCTGCCTTTGCCCCTTATATTTCAGCCTGTGTTTCCTAAAACACTTTTTTCAAGGTAAAAACAGAATAACTCTTAGAGTCAGAAAATGTAATATTTTGTCAAACTTCATGTTTGCCACTCTGCTGAGTTTTAAATGATACCTCCCTCCCAGTCTTTGTGTTAAGAAAATTTTTACACATACAGGAAAGTTGAAGTGGCTTATCTGTGAGCCATTTAGATTTAATAAATATTTTGCTGAATTTATTTTCTGTCTCATAGATAATACCCTTTTCTATCCTGATCATTATAAAGTTGTAGATATAAGATCACCCTTTCATCATACATCTCTTAAAAGTTTTCTCATCACTATAGTACCATGATTACACCTAGGAAAGCTAGCGGTAATTCCCTAATGTCGTCAAAGACCTGAACCATATTCCAGTTTTTCCAATTATCCTAATATTTTTATAGCATGTGGGCATGTGGACATGTGTATAGAGGGTGTATGTTTGTGAGAATCAAAGTGAATAGTGCTATAGATTTTCACACATTCTGGATTTGCCTGATTATTTCTTGTGGTTTGTTTAATTTGTTCCTTTATACTCCATATAAAATAGTATCTTATTTTAACCATATTTTCCTATGATTACTGGAGAAGTTGAGCATATATTTGTTTATTTGCCATTCAGGGTTCCTCTTCAGCGAACTCCCTATTCATATTCTTTGCCTTTTGTTGTTGTTATTGTTGGATTGTCTTTCCTTAATGACTTATAGAAATTATTTTTTCTGGATATTAGTCCTTTGTTGATTATATGTGGTATCTGAATTCCACACAAGAAACTCAAGTGATTGAGATGCCCAGTGGTCTTTGCCCACTGAGAAATTTTTCTGTAAAAGTTCTTATCACAGGATCCTCCTCTTTAATCTGGAATAGTTCTAATTCTTCAAGATCCCAAATAGGTGAAAACTGTAACATTTAATTTCAAAAAACAAACTAAAGTTAATTAGAACTGTAGTATGCTAACCAATATGTATTTATATTTTTATTAGCACACATTTAACTTATTCTCTCATCCTTAATATTAGAGAGTGCCAATCCCATTTTCTTCAGTGAAAATACTGTGATTTTAATAGGAAGAGCTGTGGGCTTTGGAGTGAGAGGTCTAGGTCATATCTTGATTTCATCCTTTTTCTAGCTATACTTCATTATGTAATTTATTGAGATGTTCATTTTTCAATTCTTCATCTGTAAAAATTCAAGTTGCCTTACATAGTTATTTTGAAGATACAATAAAATAAATGTGAAAACATTTAATCCAATTTCTGATAGAAAATAGGCCTTAAATTTTACCCTCTTTATTTTTTTCTGACCTATCTTTCTTTGTGTGTTTTCAGATTCTCTTAAAGGATCACACAACTGGTTACTTTGGAAGCAATGGGTTGGTAGCTTCCTGACTTTTCTGATTACATTTAGTCAGGGTTCTGTTCTCCAATTAGGCTGCACAGCCTGAGGCTTCATCATGCTGTTATCAGTCAGGCAGCAACAGCTGGCTAGCCTCAGTTTACAGTGCACAAGTTACTTATAATGACTTGCAGATGCGTAAGTAACACAGTGAGGGTTCCACAGTTAAACACACTGAATCTTTTCAGGAGCTTGCAGAGCTAGAAAGTGCCCTCCAGGAACAGCATGAAGTGAATGCATCCTTGCAGCAGACTCAAGGAGATCTCAGTGCCTATGAAGCTGAGCTGGAGGCTCAGCTAAAACTAAGAGATGCTGAAGCCAACCAGCTCAAGGAAGAGTTGGAAAAACTCTCAAGGCTTACTCAGGTAAGTAAGAGCCATATGCCAATCAGAAACTAAGTTTTAAAAACCCGGGCCTTAAGATACCACCTTAAGGTGGCACAACACCTGTAATCACAGCAGCTCCGGAGGCTGAGGCAGGGAGGATCACAAGTTCAAAGGCAGCCTCAGCAACTTAGTGAGGCCCTAAGCAACTTAGTAAGACCCTGTTTCAAAATAAAAAAAGGGATGGGGATAGTTAAGTGCCCCTGGGTTCAATCCCTGGTGCCATCACCCCCCAAAAAAAAGGAAAAAAAAAAACCATCCTTCCTTTCTTTTATTTTAAGATTAAACGCTTTGTAATACATGTATATAGAGTGACAGGAAGGTCACATTTTCCAAGTCAGACATTCTGAGTACAAATACTAGCCCTGTGTGACCCTGGCAAATTACTTCATGGCTCTGAGCCTCCCAGCCTCTTATTATTCTGTGAAATGGCAAACAGTGAGGTTAAAGGAGATAATAGACATGCAAGCACCTGATAGTTGATGTTCAATAAATTCTGTTTTTTATTTCTCAGAATAGCTTTAAGGGATTTCTTTTAAGTTGCATGTAAAAGAACATTGGTATGATTAGAAGGGGAGCTAAGAGTAGGTCTGGTTTATTATAGTAGTTACTTTATTGTATTTCCTTATCAGATACCAATCACTTGGCATTTGTCAGGGTTATACAAAGAGCACGAAGTTTTATAAAACTATAGTTGACAGATGAGAGTCATGGAAAACAAGAGGTTGGGGAAAACAATGAAAATAACAGTAAATACATATTTTTAATAAAAGTAAAAAAAATTTCCAAATGGTATCCTTTAAAATTCTTTCCTTTTATTTTAAGACAGCCCTTACTAGTTTCAATTTACGTATACATACACATGTATGTATATGTGTATATACATGTGTGTGTGTATTTCTTTGTACTTTCATTGTCTTTTTTTTTTCTCCTAATTCTTGATAAAAAGGTTACAAGAGCCTGGCCTTTTTACTGATCACTTGGTATTGAAAGAGATACTCCCCCTCTTAGCACTAGGACTGCCAAGATTGGTCTTCACGTCATACTTTGAGAATATGGAACATGATCTGCAGATCTACAGATCTCTGATTGGTACACTTAAGTTACATGAAATCACTTATCAAGCTTGTTCAATGCCGATTCCTAGATTCCACCATAGAGATTTTAACCTATCAGTCCAGGATGGGTTCTGGGCATCTGCATTTTTATAGATACACCAAGGGATTTTGATACTTGTATTTGAGGACATAGTTTGCTTTTGAAATTAGGTGTTTGGGGCCACCTGAAATATTCTGATTTGATATATTCAGGTCTAGCTGATCCTGAAATTAACTCCTTTAAGAATTAATAGTTTAGGGCTGAGGTTGTGGCTCAGCGGTAGAGCACTCACCTAGCATGTGAGAGGCCCTGGGTTTGATCTTTACCACAATATAAAAAAATAAATTAATAAAGGTATTCTGTCCAAACTACAACTAAAAAATATCATGCACCATGATCAAGTGGGATTCATGCCCCAGATGCAAGGTTGGTTCAACATATGGAAATCAATAAATGTAATTCACCACATCAATAGACTTAAAGATAAGAACCATATGATAATCTCAATAGATGCAGAAAAAGCATTCGACAAAATATAGCACCGCTTTATGTTCAAAACACTAGAAAAACTAGGGATAACAGGAACTTATCTCAACATTGTAAAAGCTATCTATGCTAAGCCTCAGGCCAGCATCATCCTAAACGGAGAAAAATTAAAGGCACTCCCTCTAAAATCTGGAACAAGACAGGGATGCCCTCTCTCACCACTTCTATTCAACATAGTTCTTGAAGCACTGGCCAGAGCAATTAGACAGATGAAAGAAATTAAAGGAATAACTATAGGAAAAGAAGAGTTTAAACTAGCACTATTTGCTAATGATATAATTCTATACCCAGAAGACCCAAAAGGCTCTACCAAGAAACTTCTAGAACTAGTAAATGAATTCAGCATAGTGGCAGGATATAAAATCAACACTCAGAAATCAAAGGCATTTCTGTATATCAGTGACAAATCCTTTGAAATAATGAGGAAAACTACCCCATTCACAATATCCTCAAAAAATAAAAATAAAATACTTGGGAATCAACAAAAGAGGTGAAAGATCTATAGAATGAAAACTATAGAACCCTAAAGAGAGAAATAGAAGACCTTAGAAGATGGAAAGATATACCTTGCTCATGAATAGGCAGAATTAATATTATTAAAATGCCATATTACCAAAAACATTTTACAGACTCAGTGTGATCCAATCAAAATCCCCTCGGCATTCCTCACAGAAATAGAAAAAGCAATTATGAAATTCATCTGGAAAAATAAGAGACCCAGAATAGCTAAAGCAATTCTAAGCAGGGAGAGTGAAACAGGTGGTATTGCTATACCAGATCTTAAACTATACTACAAAGCAATAATAACAAAAACAGCATGGTACTGGCACCAAAACAGGCTGGTAGACCAATGGTACAGAATAGAGGACACAGAGACTAACCCACAAAATTACAACTACCTTATATTAGACAAAGGTGCTAAAAGCATACAATGGAGAAAGGATAGCATCTTCAAAAAATGGTGCTGGGAGAACTAGAAATCCATATGCAACAAAATGAAATTGAACCCCTATCTCTCACCATGCACAAAAGTTAACTCAAAATCGATCAAGGATCTAGGAATCAAACCAGAGACTCTGCGCCTAGTAGAAGAAAAAGTTGGCCCTAATTTCTATCATGTGGGGTTATGCCCCAATTTCCTTAATAAGACACCTATAGCACAAGAATTTAAACCAAGAATCAACAAATGGGACAAATTCAAACTAAAAAGTTTTTTCTCAGCAAGAGAAATAATAAGTGAGGTGAATAGGGAGCCTACATCCTGGGAACAAATTTTTACCCCTCACATATCAGATAGAGCTCTAATCTCTAGGGTATATAAAGAACTCAAAAAGCTAAACACCAAAAAAACAAATAACCCAATCAACAAATGGGCCAAGGACCCGAACAGACACTTCTCAGAAGAGGATATACAATCAATCAACAAATACATAAAAAAATGCTCACCATCTCTAGCAATCATAGAAATGCAAATTAAAACCACTCTAAGATACCATCTCACTCCAGTAAGAATGGCAGCCATTATGAAGTCAAACAACAACAAGTGCTGGCGAGGATGCGGAAAAAGGTACACTCATACATTGCTGGTGGGACTGCAAATTGGTGCAGCCAATTTGGAAAGCAGTATGGAGATTCCTTGGAAAGCTGGGAATGGAACCACCATTTGACCCAGCTATCCCTCTTTTCGGTCTATACTCAAAGGACCTAAAAACAGCATACTACAGGGACACAGCCACATCAATGTTTATAGCAGCACAATTCACCATAGCTAGACTGTGGAGCCAATCTAGATGCCCTTCAATGGATGAATGGATAAAAAGAATGTGGCATTTATACACAATGGAATATTACTCAGCACTAAAAAATAACAAGATCATGGCATTTTCAGGGAAATGGATGGCATTAGAGCAGATTATGCTAAGTGAAGTTAGCCAATCCCAAAAAAACAAATGCTGAATGTCTTCTCTGATATAAGGGGGGTGACTCAAAATGGGGGAGGAAGAGCATGGGAAGAAGATTACCTCTGGAAAGGGAAGAGAGGTGGGAGGGAAAGGGAGCGAAAAGGGGAACTGCACAGAAGATAGAAGGAGACCCTCATCGTTATACAAAATACATGTATGAAGATGTGAGGAAAAAAAAAAGAATAGCATCACCATAGAGGGGGTAGAGAAAAGTGAGGGGAGGGGAGGGGAGGGGATGGGGGAAAAGGAAGGATAGTAGAATGAAATAGACATTATTATTACTGTGTGTGTATATATGTGACTGCATGACCAATGTGATTCTGCAACCTGTACACTCAGAAAAATGAGAAATTATATCCCATCTGATTCAAATGTATGATATATCAAGGTCATTGAACTGATATGTGTAACTAATTAAAACAAAAAATTTAAAAAAAAATTTTTAAAGAATTAATGGTTTAAAAGACTTGCAGTAAATTATTGTGGGTTTTTAATTTTCAGAGTACAAATTAAACATTAAAATATAGCTAGAAAGGGCTTGTGTCTGTATGTGTATTTATGCCTTTTTGGATCATAAATTATTGCTATTTTACACTTTTATATCGTTGCTTCCTATGACATCAGTTAGAACAATCAACACTTCAAGCAGAACTTGAGAAGGAAAGACAATCTCTCAAGAATGCCCTTGGAAAAGCCCATTTCTCAGAAGAAAAGGAACGAGAGAACAGTGAACTTCGCACACAGCTTAAGCAGTTGCAGGTATAGATTTATTGCTTTGGAATGTATTTGTACATGGGGCATCCAAAGGTGATATCTTTAGTCAGGCATTTAACAACCTTTATAACATGTAATAAGCAACTCAAATTATTTTTTTTAAAATTCTGGGCAGGCAGTACCATAGCCTCTGTTCCCTTATGACCATGGTTTTAAGATTATTAATATGAATATTCCCTACATTGTTAATGATGATGTGAAGAGATGGAAACAATGTCAGTAGGAAACAATGTACTGTGTGAATTCATGGAGGAAATCAGTACTTTTGTATTTCTCTGAGAAGCTGACTTGTCACCAGACTGAGCTAAAATAATTAGATTTGTGCATTCCTCTTCAGCTGAAATCTTTGTAATTATCTATGAATTTAACTAGAGTGGGTTGCAGTAGAATTTCTTAATTATAAACAGTTTTCACAATCCTCAGGATGCTATTAAAAATATAATGATTTTACTTTTGTGAAGAATATATTACAGAATATTTTTATAGCTCTTCTCAAAATAATCTACCCAAAAAACTGCAGTTGGACAGGATTTTCTTGATAATTAAACTCTACCAAAGAAGACAGATATCTCAGCAAAAAGTACCTGAACCAGCAGGCAGATCTTCAGATCTGTGAGAGTAGGATTATGTGGCTGACTGAGAGGGCAGCTATTTACCATTTGGAATAAAGGAATGGAGAAGGGGAATTGCACAGAAGATAGAAGGAGACCCTCATTGTTACACAAAATACATGTATGAAGATGTGAGGAAAAAAAAAGAGAGAGAGAATAGCATCACCATAGATGGGTAGAGAGAAGTGAGGGGAGGGGAGGGGAGGGGATGAGGGGAAAGGACTTGATTTGGGGGAAGACTTCCAAAACACAGTGCAGGGAGGATTCTAATAAATTAAGACTATGCTCATGCAGATTTTCTCTTTTCAAAACCTCATACATGGTTTTCCTCAAAGTTTAAGGAAATCTGATAATGTAGAATTTTTAATTTTTACTGCTATCAGTTTAACTTCTGAAGCAAATACTATAAAAGATGTACATGTTTTCCATTCTTGTGTGAGAGGTGTGTGTGTAGTGAGTTTGTGTGGGTTGTCACTGGATTATTAGTGTTTATTTTTACTATGGGAATTTTGAAATAATCTAAAAAACACAGAAAATAGTCTTATGATCCTTTATTTGTCCGTGATCCAGTTTAAACAATTGTCTGTTCATTGTTCATTTAGTCCATCTCTTTTTGGCCAGGATATTTTAAAGAAAATCTCATACATCTTTGTTTCACCTATAAATACTTCAGTATACATCTCTTACAGGAAAGTACTAAAATATTCTTTGGGGGTCTTCTCCAAGGTAGAAGCTAAAATTACCTTTCCAAAAGAGTGGCCATGCCATAGGACTACCTTAATTAGAGCCAGGTCCTTGGTCACTTGGCCTACTAACCTCCCAATATAAAGAGCACAAGTTCACTTACTCTACATTTGTTTTTCTCAGAAATCATTTTGTTGCAAAGGACTGAAAACTGCTCATGTAAGCTCAAGAAAGGAGACAGCTTGCTGGGAACCAGAGGGTTCTATTAGTTTTTTAGGGGCTACATGATTCCCTCATTTTTCCTTCCCAGTTTCTCTGGGAATTGTATTTGGCCCAGCATGGACTCCAGCTCTGAGTGAACATATCTTTTCAGGCTCAGCACTTATTTGGACTTGCTGTACTGAATCTTGGTTCAGCTTCACAGAAGCTATTTTCTCACTAGTCAGTGGATTGGCTAGCCTTGTCACATCATCTGTGGCCAGGATTATATAATGCAGATGTTCCTTGATTTATAATAGGGTTTTGTAAGTTGAAAATACCATTAAGTTGAGTAGGGCACATCTGTATTTTAAGCATCTTAGGAGGTTGAGACAGGAGGATTGCAAGTTCAAAGCCAGCCCCCACAATTTAGCAAGACCCTCAGCAATTTAGCAAGACCCTGTCTCAAAAAATAAAAAGGACTGGGGATGTGGCTCACTGTTTGGGGGCCCAGAGGTTCAATCCCTTGTACCAAAAAAATAAAAAAGAAAAAAAGAAAAGAAAGAAAAAGAACTACTATTAAGTTGAAAAATGCTTTTAATATTCCTAATCTGATGAATAGCATAGCATAGCTTAGCCTACATTAAACAAACTTAGAGTACTCCCTTAGCCTGAAGTCAGGCAAAGTCATCTTAATTCAAAGCCAATTTTATGGTAAATGAATATCTCATGCAACTTATTGGAAATATGATGGGATACAAAAACTACAAAACAAAATCTGAAAAACACTGGCCACACAATACACTGTAGAGAATGGGCTGTTGCACCATCACAAGGGAATATCATAACACATATTACCTGCCTGGAAAAAAATCAAAATTCCAAGTATGGTTTCTTATTAAAGTAGGGAACTGTCTATGGTGTAAAAGAAAGGCTGCATCAGGGCACCGCGCAGGAACACTTTACAGGTGAAAGGACTCCAGATGGTACAGGTGTTTAAAACATGTTAATTGCAATTCTGGATTTTCCACTTTAGTTAACAGTGTTACGCTGAGTTTGAAGTAGGTTAGTCATCCAGTTATTAATACAAAAGAATACAATCAATGGTTTAGGATATGGAACTGTTTTGCTTTATAATTTAGGAAAATTAGCAACTTTTATTTGAAAGAAGCACTGTCTGAATTTAATTCCGTGATCTAGATATGTTGATTAATTTGTTAGAAGTGAAATGAAATATGCCATCATATAACAGACACTTCCCCTTGCATCCCGCTCCATAGGATGATAATAACCTCTTAAAACAGCAGCTTAAAGATTTCCAGAATCACCTTATCCATGTGGTTGATGGTTTGATTCATCCAGAAGAAGTGGCAGCTCGTGTGGATGAGCTAAGGAGAAAACTGAAATTAGGAGCTGGGGAAATGAGGTAAGGAGAAATCTAGACCTCCAAGAAGAGAGTGTGCCTCACAGCCTCAGAGTTGGAGTGTGAGTTTGAAAGATGAACTCATCTTCCTAGGTTCTGTTTATGGCCTGATTTCTTTTGCAAGGTTCTCCTTATGATGTTTCTGAGACTGAGATATGAGATCATTTAATTCTAATTGTAATGTTTTTTTTTTTTTTTTTTTTTTTTACATTTTAGATCTTTTAAATTTTTTGGTACTTTTAATTTTAAAAACGTTTAAAAATTTAAGACTCTTTAACAGTCTTTCATGAAAGACTTTCATTTCTAATTCATATGGTCAGGAATTAGAACTGCATTATACAGTTTAAACAACAAATATAAAAAAACTGATGGTTATTTCAAATATATGGACATTTATTCTTAGCCTGACATGAGCCTGTGTTTTCAGAGTGATTTCAACCTTTGGTAAAATGACAGCTTGCACTTGGCAAGTCTCAGTACATTTCTGTGGATTGCACAGCTCTTCCTATGTTAACAGCATGTTTTGCATGTAGCATCAAAAATGAAATGTCACATTTTTGCCATGTTGTTTCTTTTCTTACCAGAATCTATAGTTCTTCAGATGTGTTAGGGAAAAGTCTTGCTGATTTACAGAAAGAATTCAATGAAATTCTTGAACATTCCCAATGGGAAAGAGAGGAAGCACAAGTTAGAGAAAGAAAACTCCAGGAAGAAATGGTTCTGCAGCAGGAAAAACTGGTGAATGGACAAGAGGAGTTCAGGCTAGCCTGTGAAAGAGCCCTTGAAGCACGAGTAAGAAGGGGCAGGAGGCAGCTGGAGGGTAGTGTTGGACAAATGCTAATGTTTTTGACCAAATTACAATGCTTCTTTTATATAAATTCAGCATAACTGTTATTTTTACTCATAACAAATCTAGTTCAGTGCGACTAAAATTCAACCCGAATATAGTCTATTTGTGCCAGTTTTCCTTGTTTTGGAAGCAAGTGAGAGATGTTTTATAAGAGGCAAATAAGATCACATTGCTAGAGTACAGTGTGTTGCCAGAATCTGGATTGAGGTTTTTGGTTTTTGGTTTTATTTTTGGCTTTTTCAAACTAATGATATTGTGATAATGAAGCAAACATTCAAATGGATCCTAGAGAACATTCAAGATAAAACCATCCCAGTGAACTTTTTAGTACAAAATTTTGTTACATTCTATAGTAAAGAGAAAGATAATTCCGTAACAAGTTCTTATCTTGCTTAGACATATTTTGCTTAAAAATAATTCTTGAAATTTGATTTCCTTACAGATTAATTTTGATAAGCGACATCACAATGCAAGAATCCAACAGTTGGAGAACGAAATTCGGTATTTGCAAGAAAATCTAAAAAGTATGGAAGAAATCCAAGGCCTTACAGATCTCCAACTTCAGGAAGCTGATGAAGAGAAGGAGAGAATTCTGGCTCAACTCCAAGAATTAGAGAAAAAGGTGGGAAGGCTAGGAAAGTCAGACACATAAGTACCTGTTACTCAGATCCTGCCCACTGGTGATCCAGTCACCTGACTAGTGTGATTCATAGTTTCTGGCTGGCATTGCTGGCACAGAGCTAAACCTGACCTAATAGAAACCTGGACGCATGTCATTGAATCAAGGATCTAAGACCAAGGCATCATGATAGATGAAAACGAAAATTAGGAATTTAAGGACTAACTTTAGAGTCAGGTGATACTTAAATGATCATAGAATAAGTTTGCCTCCTTAGAAACCCCTTGACCAATTGGATACATCCATGGGACATAACTTTTAAATTCCTCATCTTGCTTTCTAGTACCCTGGCTTCTCTGATTGCTTTTTTCAAACATCTGTTCCCATGGTCTCAACATGGAACTTGTTAAATCCAGAAATTGTACCCACTATTTTTGAAGACACAAGCTGAAGTGTCCCACCCTAATTGGAACTTCTTATCTTGCTGACACCTCCATGCCAACAACTTGTCAACCTTATTGAGCTTGTAGTTCATTAGCCCCACCTTTCTATCTCTTAATAGATGTGGCACAATCATAGAGTGATTGCATGGTCTTTGTGAGGCTGTGGGTTTGATCCATAGCACCTTTTCTGTCTTTACTTTCTCTTATCTAATTTAAATTCCACAGTATACCACTAAGCCCTTTTTTTTATAAGGTACCCTCAAATCCTTTCCCCTTTTCTCCTGTCTCCTACTTTCTCTGGGCCTGCACCCATGCTAGGTATTCTGGAAGAAAGAAAATCCCCCATCCAGCATCGTCGTATCATTATAATCTTAGGTTGGCAGCCTCCCGTGGGCAGCATTCAGTAAGCTTCAGTAAGCTTACTCTCCCACACTGCACGATCTCATGCCTTTTTACTCACTCCTGCTATCTGCCTTCTCCCAGCCTCAGTGACTGATTTACTGTATACATCACTGGGAACCCATTAGTTCTCAAATTCTGTTGAGTCCACCCCCAAAATACATCTGGAGTATATGTGCTTTTTTCTTCTCTTATGTCACCACCCTTGTTTAGGCATCATCTCTCTTGTGGATAACTAGTGTGGCCACCTGACCACAATTCTACTCATGGTCTGCTCCACAGAGCAACCATTGTGCTCTTTCTAAAATGTGAATTGACTGTAGTCAGTCTCAAGCCTGTGAGACCCTGAATGGTTTGCCTCTATATAATTCTTCCCTTTTCTTATTATACTTCTCCTTTTGGTTCCTAATGCCAACTTCTTGGGGTTGGGGATGTGATACAATCATAGAGTGCTTGCCTGATCTGTGTGAGGCTGTGGGTTTGATCCACAGCACCACAAAGCAACAACAACAACAATAAAAATAGCCAACTTCTTTCTTCACCAGTATATGCCCAGAGCCTAATTCAGTGATTTTTGAAGACTGGTCCATCCATTTCTTGAATGAATGAAATTTATGATCACTGAGATTCTTAACTAAGAAAACTGATTCTTTAAAAAGTTTATGCTAATTTTGAGATTTTTAAGTTTTATTTATATGTTTAGTAGATACTTATAGAGTGCTAACCTGTCAGGACTGTTCTGACATGGTGCATGCAGTGGAGAACAGTTTCTGAAGCTTACATTTTAATTCATTGCTACCAAATGGTTCATCTAGTTAAGTAATTTTTTTTTTTTTTTAATTTTAGAAGAAACATGAAGATGCCAAATCTCAAGAGCAGTTTCTTGGTTTAGATAAAGAGTTGAAGAGTCTGAAGAAAGCTGTGGCTGCCTCTGATAAACTAGCTACAGCCGAGCTCACCATTGCCAAAGACCAGTTGAAGTCCCTTCATGGCACTGTTATGAAAATTAACCAGGAGAGGGCAGAGGTTAGTTCACATAATCAGAACTAGCTTATACCACTGCTGCTACTTCTGCAAAAAACATAGCAACTTTTATAGACTTTGGTGTTTGTCAACATGTATGAGGACAAAAGTTTTGAAGTTTTGTCACATAATCTGTCTTAACCTTAAATCTTGTGTATTTGTATGAAAATGTTACCTCATAGGGCTGTTATGACTCCTGAGGTAATGTTTGTTACAGTACTTTATAGGATACAGATACTAATGACAGTAAGATCAAAGGACCAAAAAGATATATTGATGGGACCCCAAAGAGAGACCAATTGTGGAAGACTGTAGAACAGTGAAGAAGAAGCCCTTGTTCCTTCTAATGCAGCACTCTGACCACTTGACCAGAGTGGATCAGGCTGCCCAGATGGGAACAACATCAGAGAAAGTGGGGTTTGACACCACATGTTCATGGGATAGCCCAGGCAGGCAATGTGACAAATACAGAATCAGTCTGAGAGAAAGAATGAAGATGACAACCTGTGATGGCCTCCTCATACTGTGTCCCAGTAGGAGTTGCAGGAAGTTGAGAGGTTCAGCAGAAAGGCAGCACGAGCCGCCAGGGACCTGACTCGAGCAGAAGCAGAGATCGAGCTCCTGCAGAATCTTCTCAGGGAGACAGAGGAGCAGGTCAGTGTTGGTCCCCAAGCCATTTTCTTCCTGGATCTTTCTCAGTTCCTAAAAGATGAAAGTACTTCAGGTGATATATCAAATCTGAAGTGCAATCATTAGTCTATCAGTACTCGAGTCTCTACTGTGTGCAGGGACAAAACACAGTGTAAATATAGGAGTCAGGTGATTTCCTCACTGGTAGGGACTAAATAAAAATTACAGAATTATGCTGGGCGCGTGGCACCTGCCTATAATTTCAGCGCCTCGGGAGGCTGAGACAGGAGAATCGCAAGTTCAAAGCCAGCTCAGCAAAAGCAACACGCTAAGCAACTCAGTGAGATCCTGTGTCTAAATAAAATACAAAATAGGGCTGGGATGTAGCTCAGTGGTCAAGTGCCCCTGAGTTCAATCCCCAGTACTCCCCCACAGAATTACAGAATTATAATCAAGTTGCAGGGATACACACATCTGAGAAAGGATTCATTCATGATACTTTGTATGATGAATTTTTTTAATAGTTTCGAACTGAAATGGAAAAAACAGATGTAGGTACTGGAGGAGCAAACTCAAAAGTGCTAGAAATCGAGAAGCTAAATGAGATGATGGAGAGGCAAAGGGCAGAGATCACAAGACTGCGGGATTTACTAGACCTCACTGGGGCTGGTAAGATATTATTGGGCTTTGATTTTTTATTTGTAGTCATAAAACTAAACTGTTTGTCAACATGTATGAGGACAAAAGTATTACAACGTATTTAACTGTTGTAAATAAATTCCATGCTTGACTTAGTTGCAAAAATTATTTAATAGGTTAAAGAATTTAAAAAAACATTTTGTGTCAAGTGTGGGTATTGAGGGACTTGATTAGAGATAAGGTGTTTGTATTTGTAATTTTCAAAGAAATAATGCTTATGAGTCTGTTTATTTGTTTTCCCTGAATTACTTTGGAATCAGAAAGAGAGATTAATGTACCTATCCTCTTAGTGTCAACAAAAACTAATTAAAAGGACAACTGAAAGTCGCCTTAAGGAACTGATGAAATTCACTGGCTCTCATGGAATCTCTTTTGTACATTGAGAAAGAAAGGAAGTAGATGATTTAATGCCAACTTCATAGAATGGCTTTCCTTTACAGATAACAAAGGAGGCTTTGAAAATGTTTTAGAAGAAATTGCTGAACTGCGCCGTGAAGTTTCTTCCCAGAATGATCACATCAGCGGCCTGGCAGGTCCTTTCAGAAGACGAGGCTGTTGGTACTTTATGCCACCACCACCATCATCAAAAGTAGGGGTTCTGTGGCACTGGAAGTGTATTCTAAATTTTTTTTTTTAAATTATGACATTGTCCTCTTCCCCAAACTTGTGTACAGGTGCCAAGAACTTGTCTGTATTGAGCTTCTTCAGTGTTTTTAATATTTGAGATGAAAACGGGGCTTTCCAACAGAAGGTAGTAGTTGCCTTTCGCAGTCAGGTGGTATGTTGTGGGGTTTCCTGGTTGAGGATGCTAGAAAATGATACTATGACTTGAGTCAGAGAGCCTGCTGAAAACATGTATAGAATTGTGCAGAGGCCCAGACAGAAAAATAGGTATCTGGATTTCATTTCTTTTTAACAAACATTTAGTACTTACTGAAGTCTAGACCAAGTGTCTGGCAGAGTTTGAGTACGATGACACCTGCTTTTGGGGCATGCTAGTAAAATTACAAAACAATGATATGCATGTTATAACAGACTGGGGGGGTTGTTTTGGGTACTGGGGAATTGAACAGGGGGTGGGGATACCACTGAGTTACCTACCCAGCCCTTTTTCTTTCTTTTGAGAGAGGGTCTCACTAAGTTGCTGACATATCTTGACCTTGAACTTGGAATCCTCCTGCCTCAGCCTCCTAGTTGCTGGATTACAAGGATGTGCTACTATGACTATTGTGATAACAGATTTGTTACAGAGAGATGTTAAGAAGTCATCTCATGAGAAAGTTCAGGAAGGAAGACTTCACCTCAGTGTCGTAAAGTCAGCACTTAGCAAGCAGCATGGGCTTTTGGGGAGAGAGAAAACAGCTTGTGTAGAAGGGGAAAGCTGGCTTAGCCATGGCAAGTACCCTTGTAGGACTCTGGAGGTTTATGGGAACAATGAAAGAGGGAGATAGAAAAGTAGATTTGGGTCATGCTTCTTTTAAAGGGGCTTTAGAATCCCTTTCACTGAATTATTTAGGTCATGGGGAACTGAGGTTGTATGTTAACATGATCAGGGTAGGAAGAGTATTCTGGCTGACTTTGGAGTATAAACTTAAGGCAAGGAGAACTTTTTGTGGGGCTGTTTGAACTCTTTCAAGTGAAGGACAAAAGAAACCAGAGCTATATCAGTGAAGCTGAAAAAGAAGAGATTAAGGAATGGTAAGGAGACCAAATAGTCAGGTACCTGAATGTGGAAAGTAAGGAATGGACTATGTAAGATGTACTCAACCAAAGCAGAGGAGCTAGGTGACATCCTTCTGACTAGCAACAGTAAGGGGAGAAGCAGCCTTCAACTTGCTAGGATCTCAGAAACCTACTTAAGTTTAACCAGAACCTGAAGAGCAGAATCTGAGATCCTCCCTTCCAGAAACCTAAAGGAAGCCTACACGCTGGGCACAACCAGAAGCACTGTATGTTAGAACAAAACATTATGGCCTGGAGTCTAGAACTTCGGGCTGGAAAGGGTGGAGAATAGCAGAGTCGAGCTTTAAAGACATGCCAGGCTCCCAGGGCGGCAGATGACTAGTGTCTTCAGATTCCACTGAAAGTTTGCTGCTGTCTGTTGCCGCAGTGCTAGACTATTAAGACAAGGCAAAAGAAGAGAAAGCACAGGAAAGATGAACACAGGTAGAAGAGAGCCTGAAACACAGGGACCTGCTCACTTATCGAGAGCTTGTTTTCATTTCTCTTATGGGGAATTATGGCATAAAACTAACCCAAACAGATAGGTAATGTGCTTTTACCATTTCAACATTGTCAAGGACTTGTTATTTCTAGAAAATGGTACCAAAAGACAGGAGAAAGCTTTCATTAAATAATTTCTGAAGAGATTAAATAAACATCAGTTTGGTTGCTTTCACACACTTCAAGCCTTTCCCTTTCACAGACTAGTCTGCCGTGACCCCAGCCATTGCTTACACAGTCCTTCTCTCTGCATGGCTTCCCTAATACTGCCTTGTTGATCAAGTCCAGATGCAAGTAAATAAACTGAATCATGTGTATGGAACCTTGTAATCACATCTCACTTCTGACTATGAAAAATAATAATTACTATAATGAAAAGAAACCAAGTGCTTTCTCAGCTTTGCTACATCTCAGCATTCCTGCAGACTTTGACATTTCTCAAAGTCAGCCTTTCCATTTGTAATACACGGTGTGCTGTCCTGTCATTTATTTTAGATTTCCAGCCATAGTTCCCAGGCTACCAAGGACTCTGGTGTGGGCCTCAAGTACATGGCCTCAACTCCTTTCAGAAAACCACGGTCTGGACAAGAGGGAAAGGACAGCAGTGGACCTCCACCTGCTTCAGGATACTGGGTCTATTCACCAATCAGGAGTGGGTTACATAAATCATTTTCAAATAGAGGTAAATCACATCACATAAGAGAAGTTGTACTTCTCTTGCCTGTTTAATATCTTTTTATTGTTTTCCTGAAATCCATAGACATTGTCCGAACTCTTTAGTTTACTCTGTGAGGCTTTCTGTGACCTGGTCTTGGCCAATGACTTCTCTTACCTCCCATACCATGCCTGACTGCTTAAGATACAGCACCAGTTTTCTCAAACCTCCAGAGTTTAAACACTCTACCACCAAGCCACATCCCCAGCCCCAAAGCTCCATATTTTAAACTTTCTATCTGGAATGTCTTCCTCCTTTCTTTCTTTCCCAAACCAATTCCTCCTCATTCTTCAGTAAGTCCTAGGTCCTAAAACAGCATTCCCTTCATGGAGCCTTCCTCCACCTGCTTCCTCCAGGCCAACCAAGTGGCTTCTTTGCCTGTGCTTCTGGAGTGTAGGGCCTTGATTCCTTGTATCATGGCAGTAAGGTAGCTCTACTAAAACAGAGTATTATAGGTGTGTCTTCCAAAGCACTCAGGGGAAGAATCAGACCTGGGTAAGTCCCAGCTCTTGCACTTAATAATTGTGATCATAGGCAAACTATTTATCTGCTCTGTGACTGTTAATCTTTAATATAGGAGTACTACCTTCTGAGGATATGTTCATTCAGCAACTATTTATTGAGCACATGCAATGTGTTAGGTTCTTTGTCAGTGATGAGCAAATTTAGCTCCTCCTTTTAGAGGCAACAAGTAAGTAAGCCATCATATTGGAGAGTATTAGGTGTCATAAGAGTGGTAAATGCTGGGTGATGCCATTGCTGTCCTATCTCATGGCACATCTCTGTTAATCTTTAATGTAGCATCAAACAGGCATCCAAATGATTGCTGGATCAATGAATAAACTAGTGAGTAAAGAAATAAACCAAGATAAGCTTAGGAAAAACTCAAGTATCCGCTGCTGAAAACACTTTAAATCTGTTTTGATCTCAGAATTGCTTTTGACCTTTCTCAGAGTGTTTTTTTGTTTTTGTTTGTTTTTTTCTTCAGTGTCACAGATGGAACCTGTGGCCTTGCCCATGCTAGGCAAGCCCTCTACCACTGAGCTACATCACCAGACTCTTTTTTGAGAATTTTATTCTCGTATTTCCAGGATCTCTGTCAAAATCTACTGTTCTCTACTAAACCCTGGGGTAACATACTCTTCTGTTTATTTTTTGAAGATGGAGACAGTGAAAGAGATAGCCAGGAAGAGAGCGGGATGGATGAACAAGAGGAGCCCCCATTTGTGCCTCCTTCTGGATACTTGATGTATACTGTGCTTCCTGATGGTTCTCCTGTACCCCAGGGGATGGCCCTGTATGCACCACCTCCTCCCTTGCCCAACAACAGCCGACCTCTCACCCCTGGCACTGTTGTTTATGGCCCACCTCCCGCTGGAGCCCCCACTGTTTATGGACCACCACCCCCAGGCTTCTCCATTCCCCTCATCCCTATGGGTGTTCTACATTGCAACGTGCCAGAACATCATAACTTAGTAAGTGGAAAGATACCCAGCTCTACCCACACCGCTTCCATGCATGCCTGATAAGGATGTACATTTAATGAGTTGACTTTTTATGAATAGGTTGTATTCCAAAAGTGTGATTGTGAGGCTGATGTTTAGAACTGAGTAAGAGTTCTCTTATTAAAATGCTATTTTGGATAGGACTTAAGGTCCCAGGCCAGTCTAAAACTTGGTTAGCCATTTTATTATAGAAATGCCTTCAGTTCAAAACTGAACCATTTTCATGTATCTTCTATTAACAAGTGCTGTATTAATGTGTATTTGTAGATATAGTCACATAATAGGGCCTATACCTGTGCATGTACACATATATGTATACACACTCATATAAAGAGCATACAGCAGGTTTTGATGGGAATTATCTCTGGGTGTAGTATTTATTGATCATTATTAATTTTATAGTTATTTTTGTACAGTTTTCCCACTTCATATTATAAGTATTTCCCTATGATTTTACTAGTATTTTTAGAAAGTATTTTAATAACTGTACATTTATTTGTAGGTCTTACAATTGACTGTGTGAGGAATCTAAGAACAGATAACTTCCTAACACTGAATTAATTTCTAACTTTTGGGTTCTAAAGCAATAAAACTTCATTCCAAGCTCCATTTCAAACTCAAAGCACCGGGAGACTGGTGGGTTTTTGTTTGTTTTTTTTTTTTTCCTTCCATTTTCAGCAGATTGGAGGGAAAGTAAAGGACTAGGACACCTGGTACCATGTCACAGTACTATCTTAATGGTTCAGACTGGCTTCAGGGGGCCTTTGTGCATTAACATGGTTACACTGGTAGTCACTCAGATTCTCTTGTGATTTTTTTTCATTGTACATTGTATCTGTAGCCATTCTTTCTACTCAGCATTTATTAATAAGCTCTTACACCAGTTCTTTTATTCTCTGAAAGTACTTAACTACTTATGTAGTTTCCAAAGTATACCTTTATGGTTTCTTACATTTTCACATATTATTTTTTTTAGCTCAGGTTTTCCCTTTTTCATTTTTTTTTTTAAATCCAGGCAAAACATCTCTTCCTCTGGGCAACCTTTTCAGATGACACCCCTCCTGTGTGTCCAGAGGAAGGAGAAACTTCCATCTGTCTCTTCTAGATTGTGAATGTCAGAAGCAGACATTTGGAAGAGTCTTGGTGGATGTTTTGCAACCATAGTCACACTGATAGAAAAGTTAGATCAGTCCATCTGTTTCACCTATGGCATGTGAAAAAATGGGCTCACCTTAAATTTTCTTTTTATACAAAGTCAAAATCTGCCATCACTTTTCAGCCTATAGAGTCACTTTAACTACAGTTAATTTCAGCTTCTGGGGGAAAAAGGGGAAATACATTCTCTGGTGTTTCAGTACTGCATTTTTTTCCCCTGTATTTCAGGAGAATGAAGTTTCTAGATTAGAGGACATAATGCAGCATTTAAAATCAAAGCGACAGGAGGAACGGTGGATGAGAGCATCCAGGCAGCAGTCTGAGAAAGAAATGGAAGAACTGCAACATAACATTGATGGTCTTTTGCAAGAGAAGAAAGAATTAGAATGTGAAGTAGAAGAATTACATAGAACCATCCAGAATCATCATCAACGAAAGTAATTATTATTAGCCATTATATTTTCATAATTTTTTCATTATATTTTCATAATTCAGATGGATATGGTATTTTGGAAATGTTCTATTTCTGAACTGTCTAAAACAGTATTACGAGTCACATGTTGGCTATTGTGCACTTGAAATGTGACTGCTGGAACCTAGAGGAACAGAACTAAATTTAATTTTAATTAATTAGTAGCCACATACTTTGGACAGTACAAATCTTGAGAACAGCACAGCCATTTCCCTTCCCCTTACTCCCCCCAGGCATCTAGTTGGCCTCTGAGTCCTGCTGATTACATACAAAAAGCTGTCAAACTGGCCCTTTGACCACTGCCGCTCTGGCCTTTCATCCTTCTCATCCTCAGCCACTGTAATAGATTCACACTGGCATTCCAGTGTCTTCTCTCTATATACTGGACACTGACTTTCTGTCCCATCATAGTGACAACACCTGCTACCATCTGAGCCCCGCCTCTCCTTTGTATCCCTCCCTCCCTCATACAGTGTTTGATCTCCACCCCTGGCTTTTCTGTGGCCTTCCAGACACCATGTTTTTCCCTGCTTCTTCCTTGATGTGAGCCATCCTCTGCTGAAATGCCTTCCCTTTCCTTGCCTGATTCTACTCTGTCTTTCAGACAAAGGTTACGGATCTGTTTTACACAAAGACTTTTTCCTCCTAGGCACCCCCTAATTCTGGGTTAGCAACCTTGGGTATAGCACTGTCCACAAAATATTGTGAGAAACCCAGGAGTTCCTTGAGAACAATGGCTGGGCCTCCATCTCTGAAAGAGATCGGGGAGGCTCCATTTCCCTGTGCCTGGCATAATAAAAGTTGTAGCATCTGTTGCTTCAATCCAGTAATATAAAAACCCATCTTCAGTAATATTCTGTGAATTGTGGCATGTCTCAAGTTTTTGTCACTTAAGGCAGACTAGCCCAGGTCCCAGGATAGGCGAGAGGCCTGCGGAGGATTCAGAGTAAATGAGTTGTGGTCACTGCCATCTAGGAATAGACATATGACTGACTAAAAGCCTAGAAGTGGAAAGCAAAGGCTACACCAGGAAGATTGGGACTGAGTGTTGGAGGATTGGAGAGGGTTGTATCTATTAGTAGTATATATTTTGAGGTCTTTTGAAGGGGATGTTAGGGTATAGGATATCCACTACTTTTTCCAGTTATAAAGGTGTATTAAAATGATCATTAGGAAATTTGGGTAACACAAAATTGATGAAAAAAGTTAAATATCATCTGTATACATTTATTTAAGGAGAAAAATATGTTGTATTTATTTTCATATTTTTCTGTCATGCAGTCATGGATAGTCCCATTGTCAAATAGTGTTATCAGGTTAAGCTTGGGTTTTTTAATCTTGTACCAAACCTTTTAACTTTTCAGTATTAACATTGTTTAACAGAATGAAATAAATCACAAAATCTGGGCTTTGAGGACAGTTTTGAGGGAATGGATGATTATTCTGTTAGTAAATTTTTATACTTCAATCTATTCAGAATATTTCAGTCATTCAGAAGCTTGGATGTGTCAACACTGTCTTAGCCAGATACTAACAACATGGAAATATTTGCTGTTATTTTTAAAAGGAGAAACCATTCCATAATAAGTTCTGTGTATATACATTTATTGCCAGTAGTATTCCATATTTAACAAAAAGGTGGACATTAATTTTGAATATAACCAAATGTAGCTGCTTCTCTTGTCCCTTCCCATATAAAATTAGAAAATCATTGTGCATCTTTTTCATAGGTTCTATTCATATTGTCTGCATTTAAAATCTTTTAATGTTTGTGAATGTAATTTTTTAGGGACTTCATTGATGGAAATGTTGAGAGTCTTATGACTGAACTAGAAATAGAAAAATCATTCAAACACCATGAAGATATTGTAGATGAAATTGAGTGCATAGAGAAGACCCTTCTGAAACGGCGCTCAGAACTCAGGGAAGCTGACCGACTCCTGGCAGAAGCTGAGAGTGAACTTGCCTGCACAAAAGAGAAGGTATGTCTTCTTGTGGTTTGTGGCGTGAACTCATTGTGAGTGGGGGGCAGCTTACTGTTATATGCCTGGATTGCAAAGAAAACAGGGGAAAAGAACACAGTTGTCCAAGCCAGATAGCCAGGTTCCAGATTGGAGTCTGCCAGAATTTGGGCAAGTCATTGAAGTCCTCAAGTTTTGCCTTTCTCATCTATAAATTCAGGCTAAGAATATGTAGGCTGTTCAGTATGAATGAAATGAAATAGCATATTTAAGATTTTTGAAGTTAATTTAGTTCTCAGCATATTCCACTATTTTATCATGTGTGTATGTGGTTGTGTTTGGGCTCTTCTGTGTTTCTTTTCTTTTTAGTTTTCGATAGACCTTTATTTTATTTACTTATATGTGGTGCTGAGAATAGAACCCAGTGCCTCACACATGCGAGGCAAGTGCTCTACCACTGAGCCACAAACCCAGCCCTCTGCTGTGTTTCTTAAGTAGGCCATTTAATTTTTTAGAAAGCCATAGGGACCTCACAAGTCTTACTTTTTCTTTAAGATGGTAATGGGAATAATAATATAATTTTGGTCCAAGATAGTATTCTTCAAAGACAACAACACAGAGGAAATTTGGAGTGGGGTGAGGGTGGCTTCCTTTTACTGAGCCCCTTCTGTTGTCAGATATGGTCCATTGATAAATACCACTTCATTTAACCCTCTTGGCAACTCAGTTTACAGATAGAGCCCAAAGAGGTTTATAACTGACCCAGAGTTACAAAGTTGTGCTACTGAAGAGCTTTTTTAGTTAAATGAGAATTTCAAGATGAAAAAAGTCCTTTACCCACATGATACACCACAGGAACTACTATTTTTACATTATTATTTCAACTTGGATCTATTTAAATTAATAGAAATCTGTTGCCAGGAACTAAAATGGTTTCAGTTATTAAAGATATTTTGTGAGTGTTGGTTTTAATAAGAATGGAAAAAGTTATCTCTTTTTAGAAGAGTCCTTGTCACATATTAGATCACTGTGAGAGAAAATAGGTGTTAGTAGTACAGAAAAAATTATCACTGGTATTTGAAAGGAAAGTGATGATACTTGTATACGAACAGGTGGTAAGTGAACCAGGGCTGAGAAGCTCTTTCCCCTTTAGCCCCCCACAAAAATTCTTTACAATTCATTTTGTAAAGAATGTGCGAGAGATGTTAAAACCTGACATGGGAGGGACAAAAGGCTACTTAGAAATGTGGCCTTCTGCAGTATGTAGTGATTTTTGTCCAGTGCTTTGTTGATAACTGACAGAGAGCAGCTCTCTGGAATAGAGAGAGGGTGGTAAATACCTAGCCCTTAGAGGGCTTGCTGGCATTTTGGCAGGCACGTGGGATACTTAATAGACAAATTTAATGTACAGACTCCCGTGACTTCAGTACAACTGCAGAAATTCAGGTTTTTGATTGATGTTGAATCAGTGCTTGACCAAAATACAAACCAAACTCTTATTTTTAGACCTTTTGATGTTATTATTAGCTTGTTTTAGGCAGAAAAACAGAGCTGATTTAAAAAAAAAAAAAAAAAAAAAAAGTGTTTTTTGCCAGATATTTTATAGGAAGATTTTCTTTTTGGGGGGTACCAGGGATAGAATCCATGGGCCCTTAACCTCAGTCACATCCCCAATGCTTTCTAATTTTGAGACAGGGTCTCACTAAGTTGCTGAGGCTTTGAACGTGGGATCCTCCTGCCTCCTGAACCACTTGGATTATAGGCGTGTGCCACCATACCCAGCAGGAAGAGTTTTTAACTACTTCAAAGGAATTCAGTATTTGTATTCTTAACCATAATTAAATCATCACAAAATGAGTTTTCACTTGATTTGATAATATCTACAGTACAGCAGGAGTCTCAATGTACATAGAATCTTGGTAAAATCACTTCATTGGCATTTAATTGGCAATTAATCAAATGACCTAATAGTATTACATATTGTTTTGAAATAAAAAGATCATCTACAGTTCACCATCTTCAAATGACTATTTTTGCAGAGGCTTTTTGTCTTTGTTGACATAGATTTTGTTTTATATAGTTGCTCTCAGAGTACTTATGAGATTTTAAATTTGTTTCTCTTGGCCAACATAATATGGTTAACATTCTTGCATATTGCTACACAGAGCTACATAGTATTCTATTGTGTTTAATGTACTGTCACTTAATCTTGTATTTCAAGTTTTATATCATTTTAATACATTTTTACATAGTAGTTCTTTGCTTCACAGTTCTTTTCTGAGAAGTATAGAGTCAAAGCAAATGAACATCTTTATGCCTTTCTGTTTTGTTTTCCAAGAGTTGTACCCGTTTACACTGCCAGTCACTATAAGTCAATATTGTAGGTGAGTTGCTTTTAATGGCAGTTTCTTTTCTAGACAAAAAATGCTGTTGAAAAGTTCACTGAGGCCAAGAGAAATTTATTGCAAATTGAATCAGATGCTGAGGAATTAGAAAGGAGAGCACAGGAAACTGCTGTTAACCTTGTGAAAGCCGATCAGCAGCTGAGGTAGGTGGAGTCCCTAAGCTTATATGAGGTGATGAGTGAAGTTTGGTTCTAAGAAGGTAATAATTGGTTTGTGATAAGTGGTGCATGTTAAGTCTTTGGGCCTGGGGGAATAACATGATGTATTTTAGATTGCTCCAAGCTGATACTGAGGATTTGGAGCAGCACAAAATTAAGCAAGAAGAAATCTTGAAAGAAGTAAACAAAGTTGTAGTAGCAAAAGATGCAGACTTCCAGTGTTTAAACAAGAAGAAGGAAAAGCTAACAGAAGAGTAAGTCAGGCCTCTGTTGGGCTGCAGGGGTGTGTGCAGGGGACAAGCTCTGTATCCCGATCTCTATCCATAGAGTCTGCTCAAGTACTGCTGGTGCTTTCTAGGCTTCAGAACCTTCAAAAAGACATTGAGGCAGCAGAACACAATGAGCATCACCACCTGCAGGTCCTTAAAGAATCTGAGACCCTCCTTGAAGCCAAGAGAGCCGAGCTGGAAAAGCTCAAAAGCCAGGTATGGCAGTAGACACCTGGAACAGAAAATTCATACTGCTTTAAAACCTACTTATGTTGTTTTATGATTATGAAAGTAATACAGATTTTTTAAGACCTTTGAAATATTTTTTAGTTGTAGATGGATACAATACTTTTCTTTTATTTGTTTTTATGTGGTGCTGAGGATTGAACCCAGTGCCTCACACGTACTAGGTGAGTGCTCTACCACTGAGCCATAATCCCAGCCCCAGTAATACATATTTGATTGTAGAAAACATTGGAAAATATGAAATAAAGTATAAAGAATAGGGGCTGGGGTTGTGGCTCAGTGGTAGAGTGCTTGCCTAGCATGTGTGAGGCACTAGGTTCGATTCTCAGCACCACATAAAAATAAATAAAGGTCCAATAACAACTAATAAAATATTTTTAAAAATAAATAAATAAATGAGGCTGTATGTCAGAAAAGTGTAGAGTCCAACATAAGTTTAAATCCCAACTCAGTACAGTGTATTATTGTGTCAGTTTTCTGTCACTATGACAAATACCCAATGCAATTAGCTTATAAATACAAAGGTTTGTGTGGTTCATAGTTTTAGAGGATTCAGCCCATGCTCACTTGGGCACATTGCTTTAGGCCTGTGGCAACACATCATCATGGGAGCGTTTGGCAGCATCTGGGGAGTGAACATAGGGAAGAGGAAGAGGTGGGATCCCTTTATTCCCTTCAAGGGCCCATCCCCATGACCCGAAGGTCTCCCACTTGGCCCACTTCCCAGTGACACATTCTGGGGACTAAACCTTTAACACTGGACCAATCACGTAAGAGCCCACCTATGGCCATTAGTGTGTAAAAGATATGAGTTTTAATACATGGCATACTTTTCTGTTAAGTATGTTTATGAACACTGGGGCATTTAAACCAAGCATGAAAGTGGTCATTTGATAAGGGCACATTATAAGTATTTTTCTCTTTTCTTCATTTCCATGTTTATGACTGCTTTTTCTGTAAACAAATATGTATTGCTCTTAAAATTATAAGTAATTTTTAAACTTAAAAAGGTGAATAAACTCTAAAAATTTCTGCCTAATTTACATTGCCAAGGTTGTTACCAAAATGGAATTAAGGTGTGTACACACATACACACACCTTATTTTATACATATATAAGAAAGTTATTTGAAAACCATAACCTGAGGGGTAATCACTATTATCATGTTTCTGTTCTTGTGATCCGAGTGATTTTAAATATGAGAGCTCAAGGTCTTCATTAGGTATTCCATGTTCACACCTCCAAGCTTGGCCCTCCTTGTTCTTGGGACTGGGGTTGAAGCTTTTGATTGCCCCCACATTCTTTAGCTGGCCTAAATAAATACTTAATCTCCAGGGTAGCACTGAAGGCTCTGTGGCCTTTGTCAGACTTTGCATTCTTCCCTTTTCAGGTGACAAGTCAGCAGCAGGAGATGGCTATCTTGGACAAGCAGTTAGGGCATAAAAAGGAGGAGCTGCAGCTACTCCAAGAAAGCATGGTCCAGGCAAAAGCTGATCTCCAAGAAGCCCTGAGTCTGGGAGAAACTGAAGTTGCTGAGAAGTGCAGTCACATCAGGGTATGATATTCAGTAGGTTTTCTTAAGAGTCCTAGACAATGCCATTGATTTATTTTGAGGTAGTTTCATTGGTTTTCTCTGAAGAAGATGTAAATTCCTGAAACCTTGCCTCCTCCCTAATGCTATTTGGTGTGTGTTGTGTGTCCAGGCTATGCTATGTCTGTGATGTGAAGTGCACCCATATTGTTGCCTGGATATGGCTAAGGTTCTCCTGTCTCTTGCCTTTCTCATTTCATTTCTTCTCTAGGAATAGCCTTTCTGCCCTGTTACTAGCCAGATCCCACCTGATTCTCATGGCCCGGCTACCTGCTGCCTTCTCAGAAGATACCCTTGACTTTTTGCTCTGGAAGGAGTTTCTTCCTCTCCTGAGTATGGCAACGTTCTTTGTGTTTCCTCGAGCACCTTGACTTTCTAAGAGTGTGCTTGTTTCCGGCCTTACCTCTGCACTAGGGCTGCTTTGCCCCTTGAGGTCAAAGACTATGTTGAAATCAGCCTTTTTTCCTCTACAACGTGTTGCCTTGCATATGGTCAGTGCTGTGTATATATGTAAAGATGTTACTTTCTTCCATTATTCAGAAATATATTAGTGAAAAATATCGTGCTGTTCTTGACATCAAAGGCAAAAATGAGCTTGTTTCTAAGTTAGAAATTCTGTGAAATGAGACAAGAACATAATTGATTTTAGAGGAATTTCAGTTCATATTTTCATAGGGGAGGGTAACTTTTTGTTTTAAACACAGGAAGTAAAATTGCTTCTGGAAGAACTGAGTGTTCAGAAAGGAGAACTGAATGTCCACATTAGTGAAAAAAAAACTCAACTTGCACTTATAAAGCAGGAAATTGAAAAAGAGGAAGAAAATCTTCAGGTAGTTTTAAGGCAAATGACTAAATACAAAACCGGTAAGTTTAAAGAACATATAAAGTTTGGTGTTGGAAATGTCTGTGTTATAGGTTATAGAAAAATACAAATGACCAAATAAGCCTCAATTAAAACTTAACCTTACTACTAATAAGCAAGTAAAGGCAGATTATAAAAGGAATATATTATATTCTGGCATTCAATTTAATATGGTTTATGTAAAAGTGAAATAATTATATTCATGGTTGACCAGCATATACTGACAGAAGGGCAAGTATATGCCTGTGATCCTTTGAAGTGTACACTGGAATACTCTTTCAAGGTTCAAGACTCTTAAAAAAGTCACATCTGTTGGGCCAGCAAGCCCATTTTTATTCATACACAAGTGGCATCTTTTTACATGCTTCACAGTAATGTTTATAATGACAAAAATTTAGAAACAAATAACCAATTTAAAATGATATTTTTGATATTTAATGACATTCAAAAGTGCTCAAGAGAATAGTGAAAAATAAATAAAAACTGAATATGGAGTATAGTCCAGTTTATTTTAGAATGTGTGTGTGTGTGTGTGTGTGTGTGTGTATGTGTATGTGTGTGTGTTTTCCTGGAAGGAAATACTACAAAATGCTATTGTAATGATTATCATCTTTGTATGTTGGGATAATGATATATTTTCAGTTTTTTCTTTTAATACTTTTTTGTATTTTTTCAAATTTTCTCCATGAGCAAATATTATTATAATCAGAAAAAATTTAATATTTAAATGTCTATATTTCAAAGGGCAAAACTATAATCATTTCAATCTTTACATAAAGTTTTTCCTATTTTGATTAAGTTTTATTTGTATAAAATGTTTTTAGTTCATTCTATTGTGGGGATATAAATGCTTTTCAAAGTAGTTCTTTGTTAAATATTTTTTTAATGTTTCTAACAAATTAAATAATTAACAATACGTTTAAAAGTTCTTTCTGTTAAATATGTAATTAGCACCATTTATTCAGCTGAACAAAATTTTTTTGATCATCTGTTATTTCTTCCAGTCAGTAGCATTATTTTTTGTTTCATTTTATAAACGTTTCCAAGTTTATATGGGCTATGCTTTGTTTCTGTCCATTAGAACTAAAGAACATTTTGGACATGTTGCAACTTGAAAACAATGAACTACAAGATTTGAAGCTACAGCACGACCAGAAGGTGACTGAGTTAGAGAAGACTCAGGTCGAAGTGCTAGAGGTAATGAACAGAGATGTTGTCCCCTTAGCAAACTGAAGTCTTTCTCTTTTAGGATGTTGAGTCCTCTTTTATCTGATTTAGGAGAAAATGGAGTTAGAGAATTTGCAGCAGGCAGCCCAGCAACAGAAAGAGGAAATAGAGTGGCAGAAACAGCTCCTTGAGAGGAACAAACGGGAAGTAGATCGAATGACTGCTGAGATCCAGGCATTACAGTCATGTGTTGAGTGTTTGAGCAAAGAAAAGGAAGATCTCCAAGAGAAATGTGACAGCTGGGAAAAGAAGTTGTCACAAACCAAAAGGTGAGAGCAAGAACAAATAAGATTTGGGGACTGGGCATATGGCTCAGTATAGAGCACTTGCCTCACATGTACAAGCCCTTGGGTTCAGTCCCTAGTCTTGCAAATAAATAAAATAAAAATAACTGAGAAGGTATTTTAAAAAACAAAATTAGAACTTACAGAAAAGGAAAAAAAATATTCAAACATGGTAGCATAATTCTGCAGTAGTGTTTTTTGGTGAATTTACTTCTAGCTTTTCTTCCCTCCTCAAAAAGACTTTTTAAAATAATCTGTTGTTGTCTTTGAAGTGAAATAACACATGCTGGAAATAAATGGAGAGAAGTACCTAATTCATTGGCTAGGAAGACAATATTGTTAAGATTTAGTTCTCCTCAAATTGCTCTATAAATTCAAAACACTGCAATAAAAAAATCCCAGTAGCCATTCTTGTTTTTTGTAGAAATTGACACATTGGTTCTAAAGTTCAAATAGAAATGCAAAGGATCTAGAATAGAATTTTTGCAATTTTTTAGGCATAACACCAAAACAACTTTGAAAAAGAAACACAAAAGTTTTGGGCTAACACTACCTGATTTCAAGACTTCAGTATAAAACTGTAATAAGCAACACTGTGGTATTGGTATAAAGTAGACAAATATATCATTGGAACAGAATAGAAAGTCAGAGATAAATTCTCACATATATGGACAACTGATTTTGGCCAAGATACAGAAGTATTGTTTCAGTAAAGAAAAGATAATCTCTTTAAAAAATGTTGTTAACCCAATTGGATATCCAAAATTAAAACAATGAAACCTTGACTGGTATGTCACATTGTATACAAAAATTAACTCAAACCCGACCATAAAGAGAAATGCAAAACCTAAATATAAAACCTCTAAAGAGAAAATTTTTTGTGATCTTGGGTTAAGCAAAATGTTCTTAGGTTTGGCAACTAAAAACATGATCCATAAAAAAGTAAATTGTTTTGTTTTGATACTGGGAATTACCAGGGCACTTTACCACTTAGCTACATCCTCAGCCCTTTTTATTTTTTATTTTGAGATAGTCAGGGTCTCAGTAAGTTATGGAGGATCTTGCTAAGATGCTGAGGCTGGCCTCAAATCTGCAAGCCTCCTGCCTCAGCTTCCTGAGTTGCTGAGATTACAGGTGTGCACTGCCAAGCCCAGCTATAAGGACAGTTTTTTAAATGAATACAAGATTTGAACAGACATTTCACTTCAGAATATATATGATGGCAAATAAACGTGATACGATGCTCAGCAACATTGCTCATTAAGGAAATACAAATTGAAACCATAAGGTAATATTCACTACACATTTATCAACATGACCATACCATATGTTATTGAAGTACTTTCATGTACATCTGATGGGAATGTAAAATGCTACGAGTATTTTGGAAAACAGTTTGGCAGTTACTTAAAAATCAGAAGTACACCTACCCAGAGATTCAGTCATTCTGCCCCTAGGTTTTGTTTTGGTTTTCTTCTTGCAGTACTGGGGATTGAACCTAGAGCCTTATGCATGCTACACTCCCAGGTATTTACTCAAGAGAATGAAAGCATATTTCTACACATAGTATGACAAGTGTTCATAGCATCTTTATTTGTAATTGCCTGCATGTCTATAAACTGGCAGATGAGTAAACGAATTGTAGTATGTCTATCGTGGAATACTGTAGGAATGAAGGGTTGATACACAACATGGATGAATGTCAAAGTAATTGTGCTGAGTGAAAGAATCCAGACAAAAGCAAGTTTACACTTTTGGCCTCCCTTGATATGTAGAATACCCCTCAGGCATGTCTATGATATGGAAAAACCGTATGATACATACCATTGTGTTTCCTGCTTTTTCACCTATCACAAGTTAGCAGTACAATTTTGATCATCAGATATTTGGAATTCTGAATATTATCCATTTTTTATCCATGATTTTTATAAAACCTGAATTTAGTCAGTAACTTTCGAGGTTGGGGGGAATCTCCTATTTAGAAACCTGATAAGATTTCATTTAAAAAAAATGAGTTCAACAATCTTGAATTTTAAGATTTATATTTATTCAGACCTTCCATAACTGTACATTGTGAAAAGGTAACACTATTCCTTAGTCATATCTTATGTGTGCTTAACTATTTCGTATTGACCATCTGATTTATTTTGTGTGATAGGGTTTTAGCAACTACAGAAGAAAATAGCAAAATGGAGCAATCAAACTTAGAAAACTTGGAATTGAATGTCATAAAACTACAGCAGGAGGTGAACCAGCTAAACAAAGACAAGCTGTCACTACTTAAGGACGTTTCAGCAGTGCAGCCACAGCTCCACGGTAGGAGGCAGCAGAGCAGGAGAGATGTGATTTTCCCTGTTTGTTAAATTCTTTGTGTGATTTTTCTTATTACAGAAGTCTTCATGCAAATGGGCAAGGAGTTTCTTTCTAAAATTAGATTGTGGTAATGGTTGCCCAACTCTGAATATACTAGAAGCATTTGAATTGTATACTTTAAATAGGACATACATGATATGTAAATTATATCTCAGCTGATCTATTTGTCTAAAAACTCGAATTCATGTTCCTTAGAGAACAATTTTAAAACATAACAAAAAATATGAAAAAAAATATTTTTTATAAAAATAAAAAAAAAGTAACTCCTATTAACAGTTTGGTAAATATTCTTCCAGGTTTTCCCTAGGAGTGTATGTGTGTACTTTAATGCAAATGAAAACATGTCTTTTATTACCAAATCTTTATAATTTTTTAGGAGAAATTGCTATGTCATTCTAGCTAATAATAACTTGTTGAGCATTTATTATGCCCTAGACCTGATGATACATTTTCTCATTTAATCCTCATAACATTTTTAGGAGATAGAAACTATTGTTTACCCATTTACAGATGAGGAAACCTAAGCTTAGTGTTCTTGTAATTTGTTCAGTCACATAACTAGTAATTGACAAAGACAGTATAGATATAAATTTAGTTCCTAAATTGTCTTCCTGGAAAGTACTAACTTTACATTTCTACCAGAAATGTAGAAGGTACATATTTTTACGTCATGCATCTCAACATTAAATATTATCTGTAAATTTTTTTCAGTACTTCAGGTTGAATCTCTACCATTGAGCTATGTGCTTAGCCCTTTTTATTTTTTTATTTTTTGAGATAGAGTCTAAGTTAACCCAGTCTGGTCTCAAACTTGTGATCCTCCTGCCTCCACTCCCAAGTTGCTGGAATTACAAGTGTACGCCACTGGTGCAGCTATTTTCTGTAAAGTTTTTAATGTAAGATTTTGAATATGAAAGTCTTTAAAAACCTAGGCTCCTAGCCAAGATATGGGTTGTGTATTTATCCCTGTCTTTTGGCTTTTAATAAGTGAGTGTGACATTGTAATTCATTCTACAGAAATATGTTTGAATTCACTTTTGCTGTACTTTTTTTGGGAAGGTGGTTGATGAAAATCTGTCATGTATACATAACACGTATATTATTTTATTAAAATGTTTCTGTAGAAAAACGAGAAGCAGTGAAGTCACTACAGGAGGAACTAGCTAATGTCCAAAACCATTTGAACCTAGCAAAACAGGTAAGGCTAACAAGTAGAATCTTCTGTTAGTATCCCAAAGGCACGCAGACAATTGGGTAATATAACAAAAAAGTCAAGTAAGCTGGTTTCCATTCACACCAATAGATCATAGGGCCATTTATATAATGCAACCCTCAAATAATATTTTGGTACAGAGCAGTGGTTTTCTAATTTATTTGGGCCCTAGAACTCTTGATTCAAATGAAGTTTTACTCAAAACAAATACGTAGAGTGGTGGCTAGACCAAAGTCGTGCATTTCCTCTGCAGCTCCTCCAGGGCCAAAGGGAACAGGCAAGACTTCCAGATAAAGCTTAGAACTGATTACTTATTGAACAACAGAGCAGGATGTTGGATAGGGGAGATTCTTGAGCCTGTAAATTCTCATCATCTTCCTTAAGGTAACTTAGTGTTGTCCTGTGAGAATAGTGCTAAAATCAGATTTTCAAAGAACTTCAAGCAAATTCTGGGTCTTATTTTCTTCTACATAAATTAGAAGTTAGATTTAACATCTAAATTCTTTTCCTTATACCTTTAATATTGTGCTTCTGAGAAGTATAAAACTTAAAATAGTCTACTTTTAAAAAATCCCACAAAGGTTCTTGTGAATATTATTGTGAGAAATATGCTTTAAAATGCTTAATTTGTGTTCCTTCAAGAGGTATTTAATTTTCTGAACAATGCTGTGAGGTAGCTTGTTGTTTTTTGTTTTCCTCCTACCCACCTCAGTGACAAGGCAGATAAGCTGAGAGGAGCTGAGTATTTTGCTGGTTTTTTGACTCCTTATTTTTTAGGCACTAAAAAAGAGGAAAGCCAGCAATTAGTTTGATTCCTGAATCCTTCTGTAAGTTCGTTGAGATAAAGGCTATGGAAACTATGCTTCTCATTTCATCAAATTTGGTAGATGGTGGATTGGCACTGGCCACTCCCGGAAGCTTTGTGAGTCCTTTCAGTTTGTTCTTCTACCTGCAGGACCTACTTCATACCACCAGTCGTCAGGATTCACTGCTTGGTGAGCAGACCCGGCTGCAGAAGGACATCAATGAGTGGGTAGAGAGGTTCGAGAACTGTCAAAAAGAAGCAGAAGCTAAACAACAACAACTCCAAGCGCTTCAGAGTGAGATCGAAGAAAACAAGCTGAAGCTAGACCAGCAAGAAATGGTACTACACATTCACGATTATACATGAAAGGAGCCTTCTATTACTTGTATGAGCTTTCTCCTGTGACAGAAAGCTGCTGGGAAGCCCCTCCCCGTGGCCTTTGTGTCTCTCTAACGTACAACTAGGTGTGACTTTTACACCAGCTCTATGACTCTGTTGTGATAAATATACATGATGGTCCCTTAAAGTCATAGGACATTGATCCTGTAAAGAATCTTAATGCCACGTGCCCTTTGCTGCTTAATCTCCTCACGCTGCCCAGGTGACTTTCCAGCCCTTGCGTCATCACTTTTGCAAAGGATTTTTCTGGCCTGTGGGCCAGAGTACTGGAATCTGTACTAGGACAGAGCTATTTTTTATTATGAGTATTTATAATGACTAAGATTTTTCTCCATTAAGATGTTTCAGAGACTCCATAAAGAGAGAGAGAATGAAGAAAGTAAATTAGAAGCCAGTAAAGTAACACTGAAGGAGCAGCAGCACCAGCTGGAAAAAGAATTAATGGACCAGAAAAGCAAACTGAACCAGGTGCTCATGCAGATGTCGGTGGCAGAAGAGCGCGTGAGGACTCTGCAAGAAGAGGAGCGGTGGGGGGAGACCCTGGAGAAGACGCTCTCCCAGACCAGTGTGTACCCTGAAATGAATCAGGGGCAGGGATGGGGCAAGGGCAGGGAAGGTGGAAGGGTAGCTCTGCTGGTTGTCTTGTAAAGTGTGTGAAGGACCCAGGGCCCAGGAAGGGGCAGGAGAAGCAAAGCAGGAGAATGGCACCCCTGGGAGAGATGCAGAGACAGGAGCAGAGACACAAAGGGAACGTGTACCTTGCTGGAGAAGTTTGATCCTAAGACTGCCTCCTTTGTTATCACAAGAAAGTGGAATATTGAGGCAAAGAAGTGTGGAAGACACTCTCAAGTACACTTTGAGCTTTAGGAATAATGATCCGTTTTGCTCAGCCAGTCGAACAATATTAACAATTCTTCTGTCCTCAGTTGACATAGTAAATGGTAAAGAATACAGATATTTGCCTTTGAGTCAGTTTACTCCTGCTTGAACCTTATGTAAATGAAGTTGGTTTGAAAATCCAGGACACATGGTCATCAATAAATAATTTTTATCTTTCTTAGGCCACAGGGTTTAATAGTGCTCAGAAAATGTTATGGTTCTGGTGCCTGAAAGGATTGTCACTCATTTTCCCCTAGCAACTTACGATACACCCAGACCCAGTCATTTCATAATGAAAATGAGACTAAACAAATATGCTGAATTCTGACTGTAGCAGAGGTGTTGAAAAGTGAAGTCTGGGTAGGGTGCTACTCTAAATAGGGTGATAAGAAAAATCTTTTTTTTTTAAATATTACTCTTATTTGTAAGCATTTTTATTTGTAAGCTTACTCTGTCCCCAATATTTGCATATGTGATTCTAGCAGAATACAAGGCAGTGTGCTCCTCACAGTGTGCTCCTCATCTGTAACACGGGGCTCAGGCCACTGTAAGAACCAGCTCCAAATCCTGTGCCTTTTCTACTGCACCACCTCCTGTGTAGGAGGAAGTACTGATGTGCTTCCCTTTAATCAAATCAAAGTCCACAAGCCAGGCGCAGTCAAGCACTCCTATTCTCCAAGCTACTTGGAGGCTGAGGTAGGAGGATAGAAAGTTTGAGGTCAACCTCAGTAACTTAGACCCTGTCTCAAAAAAAAAAAAAAAAAAAAGGTTGGGGGAGACTGGGATGTAGCTCAAGGGTAAAACACCCATAGGTTCAATCCCCAGTACCAAATCAAGTTGTTTTTTTTTTTAAATAACTTTATTTGTTTATTCTTTTTATTTTTTATGTGGTGCTGAGGATCGAACCCAGGGCCTCACACATGCTAGGCAAGCACTCTACCACTGAGCCACAATCCCACCCCAAATCAAGTTTTATTAAAAAAAAAAAAAAAAAAAAAATCAGCAGTCTGTTGCATGTTTCCTGCACCTCAGTATGGGACTGTATTTATTCTCATTTGTCTCGGAGACTCAAAGGAAGGATAGTTTTTATCACTTTGGGATCAGGCCTCCAAGAACCAGTTACTTCAGGATGTGCCTTACCTGGATCTTTCCTGGTCTTTGGAGTGGTCAGGGCAAACTGGTGAGGTATGGTAATGGAGGGAAGCTCCAAGTGGACAGCCTGTCACCTTGTGAGGAAAGGAAAGTTCTGCCTGCAGCTGCCTCAGGGCCTCCTGCTGAACTTTGTAAAATGCTTATTTCAGAGCTGCAGCTTTCAGAACGGGAGCAGCAATTAATGGAAAAGTCGAATGAGCTACGGGCTCTACAGAAAGAGACAGATGCTATGAGGGCAGACTTCAGTCTCCTGCGGAACCAGTTTTTAACAGAGAGAAAGAAAGCTGAGAAGCAGGTGGCCAGCCTGAAGGATGCACTCCAGGTCCAGCGGAGCCAGCTGGAGAAAAACCTCCTTGTGAGTAGCTGCTGCCCTGGCAGTGTATGAGGTTATGATGCAGTTAAGCCCTCAGCCTGCAGCACCAGTGCAGAGAACGTTAATAGCCCACCAACCACCCCCTACCCAGCTACGGGTATTGCTGTGTTCATGGAGATTGACTCTTGAAGCTCGTGGTAAGTTTTGCCTGAGACTCCACTGCTGCCCCAGAGTAGCTTTGGCTGCTGGCTGGAGAGCATCCCATGAACTAGTGTCAGCACAAAGTTGAGACAGCTTCTGCTGTGGCCCACTGTGGGGGATGAGGGCGTTGGAGAGGGCTTGGAAGACATTTGTACCCAGCTGCAGTCATTGCTTAAAAATTATTCTCATCCTGGCCTTTTCAGTCAGCATTAACATTAATCATTATCCTAAACCAGGAAGCTCAATCTACTATGCTTTTATCCCTGAAATAAATTCAGGTGGTGATAATCAAATAGTTTGGAGCCATTTGTGATAGGTGGGGGCAGGTGAACTCAGTGGTTTCACACATAATCCTCTGGTTGGATTGAGGGAGCCCTGTTATATGAAAGGAACTTCTAAACGGTATGTGTTTCCAGAGGGTGATATTCTTACAACTATCGATAGACAAGGTAACTGTAAAGATAGAATATAGATGTTTAAAATTTAATACTCCCAGTAACACTGATGATTGGTACTGTTGTTCCCATTTTACAGACAATTAATGGAGACTCAGAGAAAGTAACTTATCAAAGATGCAGCAGATCTGGGGTTCAGACTTTGGTGTAATAGATTGACATATGTGTACTCCCAGCTATACTCTGCCTACCCCAAAGAAGTAAATAGACTTATCCCCATTTTACAGCCTGAGAAGCTGAGGCCAGGAGGAGATGAAGTTATAGAGCTAGTGAGTATATGAGCCAATAGCAGCAACACCGCCATGTTTGGACCACAGAGTCATTTTCCTCCTGTTCTAGGAGCAAAAACAGGAGAAGAGTTGCATGCAGAAGGAGATGGCGACGATGGAGCTGGTAGCCCAGGACAACCACGAGAGGGCCCGGCGCCTGATGAAGGAGCTCACCCAAATGCAGCAGGAATACCTGGAGCTCAAGAAACAGGTGTGTGACCAGGACCTTCTGCTGGCCAGCCTGGGCAGGAGGGGTCAGTAAACACTCCTTGCCCTCAGGACTCCAATAGGTTGTAACAGATTTGGTATCTTTTAAGAGGATTATTTCTTTATGGAAATCATGAAAGGCTGGTTATAAGAAGATTCTGTAAAAACAGATTTGACTTAAAATTTTGAAATGTAACTCCCCAAGGGAAAAAAGTATTTGTTAAAAATGTGCTTTTAAAACTCTCTTAAAGGGGCTGGGTTGTGGCTCAGGGGTAGAGTGCTTGCTGGGTGTGAGGCATTGGGCTCAATCCTCAGCACCACAGAAAAATAAATAAATAAAGCTATTTTGTCCATCTACAACTAAAAAAAAAAATAGATTCTCAGCACATCTGTAATCCCAGAAGCTGAGGCAGGAAGATCACAAGTTCAAAGCCATCCTCAGCAAAAGCAAGGCACTATGCAACTCAGTGAAACCCTGTCTCTAAATAAAATGCAAAATAGGGCTAGGGATATGGCTCAGTAGTCGAGTGCCCTTGAGTTCAATCCCTGGTCCCCCCTGCCAAACACAGACAAAAAATCTCTTAAAGCTGGATGCACACCTATAATCTTGTAATCTGAGCTACTTAGGAGGCTGAGGCTGGAGGCTTACAAGTTTGAGGCCAGCCTGAACAACTGAGATGTCTCAAAGTAAAAAATAAAAAGGGCTGGGAATGTAGTTCAGTGGTAGCGCATCCATGGGTTCAACCCTCAGTACTTAAAAAAACAAACAAACAAAAAAAAAACCTAATACTAAAATTCTCCAAGCTTTTTATGTTAGTTATTGAAAGGGAAAAAATGGTAATTCTTTAACATAAAACTTTATCATGGCCCAAAGAAATACGTTAAAATGTTAGTTTTTATGCCAGAAACAAGTCTAGTAACATAATCCCCAAACAAGAAAAAATGATCCAGGGGAAAACTTTGATAACATGTAACCAGGTGGAAAGCACAAAACCAGTTCATGCTTGGAGTTGTCAGCCTGGGCAACACGGGAGACCCATCTCAAACACACACATCTTTAAGTTGAACCATCATAAGACAGGGATTGTCTGCAGTTGATATCTACAGATCTTTATAAATACTAGACGCATTCAATAGCTGACCTCTAAGTAAGTCCCAAACCTTACTCAGTATATTTAACTCTGTTTAGATGGCAAACCAAAAAGATCTGGAGAGAAGACAAATAGAAATCAGTGATGCAATGAGGACACTTAAGTCTGAGGTTAAAGACGAAATAAGAACCAGTTTGAAGAATCTCAACCAGTTTCTTCCAGAACTACCAGAAGATATAACAGCTATTTTGGAAAGAAATGGAAACCTAGAAGGAGAGTTGGAAAGCTTAAAAGAGAACTTTCCATTCACTGTGAATGAGAGACCATTTGAAGAAAAACCAAATTTTTCCCAAGTTCACATAACGGTAAGAGTGTATCCTGCTATTCCCTCAGCTTCATAGAAGGATAGTTTATTTCCACCTTCTCCATCCTCCAGTTAAGCTAAAAACAGGTTTGGAGGTGCGGGGGTAGGAAAGGCTGGTTGTCTCCCACCCATGATACTGGGTGACTCATGGATGTCTCCCTTTTCCTTTTGCAAAAGGATGAGCACTGGCGCGGGGAGGCACTCCGAGAGAGACTGCGGCACCGTGAAGATCGACTCAAGGTTACCCTTTTAAAAAAAAATAAGAACCAGTCTGGAGGCATGGCTCAGTGGTAGAGCACTTGCCTAGGATACACAAGGCCCTGGGCTCACCCCCAGCATCACAAAACAAAACAAAATGGTTTGAGATACTTGGCACTTTGGGGAAAATGGGGGAAATTTCTCATTCACAAGCTGCTCTCACATCCACTATTTTGCAGCACTGAGAAGTTTATAGATGACATGGTTGAAGTTCAGAGAAGTAGATGTCACACAACAATGAATGACAGTCAGTGTTCAAGATTCTAGGGCTGGGGTGTAGCTAGTGATGAAACACTTACTTGCCTAGCAATAACCAAAATTCTGGGCTTGATCTCTAACACCCCACAAAACATGAATTCTGGTGTTAAGTCTAGTGTTCTTTAACTACATAACGCTGCTTTACTTCATCTAGAATTGACAGAAACTAAGTATTTGGAAGAGGAAATGGAGACATAGTGATGAACTGTAAGAACACCATAAGCCAGTGATTTGGGGAAACATTGAGAACACTGGAAAAGTAGGGTTGAGTGTCAGATAAGGAATTGTTTGACTCAGAATACATTGCTTTGGAGGCCCTGCGAGACATGCAGTTAAAGTCTATTAGTGGAGTCTAGAATTTAGTGTCCAGTGTTAACCTAAAGATTTGGGGGTTAAGTGTATGGGTGGAGTTGAAATGAGAGGGAGGTAGAATGAAAAGACAGGACTCACCTTTAGGGAATGGCTGCCCTACACAGCTGGCCTGCGAGGGAACAGTACTGCAGCATTGAGAGGAGCCCTGTGACTTCCAGTGACTTTCTCCCACCACACATGGCTGCTTTAATTTTAGTCAGTTATATAATTAAATCAAGTTAAAAATTCAATTCTTCAGTTGCTACATTTCAAGTGCTTAGTAGCCATGTGTGTCTAGTGGCTGCTCTAGATAGATACAACCAGAGATAGAACATTCCATCACTGCAGAAAGTGTGTGTGGAGGGTGCTGCTTCAGACTGAATCACTTCAAGATTAAAGCATAAGGAAAGGTCAAGAGGCACTGTGAATTAAATACCTAGTGAGGAGACACTGAAGATTCCAAGTATCAACTAATCATCTGATTCTTGGCAAACAAAGAGATGAGGTAGCAATTTAGTGGGAAGGCAGGAGAGGCAGAAATCCTAAGCATTGCTACAGTGGAAACAATGGGCTGGGTCAAAGATCCAGTTAATGACAACATAGATGGTAAAAGTTGTGCCCACAGGGGTGTCCATCCTTCCCTGGAAGCTCCTTCAGTTGTTTTTTAAGGACTCAGCATTTCCAGCAGTCACTCCTGCTCCACGAGGGTCAGGCTGGCCTCTCAGATGTGGAGCGTGAGAAGCTGTGACTTCTGCATAAAACCCTGTTTTGTCTAACCCTTTTCAGGCCCAGCTTCGACGCTGTATGTCCAAGCAAGCAGAAGTATTAATCAAAGGAAAGCGGCAGACGGAGGGCACTTTACATAGTCTGAGGAGGCAAGTGGATGCGTTAGGAGAATTGGTCACCAGCACCTCTATAGATTCAACATTGTCACCCAGTTTGTCTCACCTGGAGTCTTCGCTTGCAGATGACTCTCACCCTGGGCAAAGTCAGGTAAGAGGAAGCCGTTAGAGTTTAATATGTTACTTTGGAAGTACTTGAAACTTTGAGGCACACGCTGAATCTGCGGAGGATTCAGGGTCAGAGAACTCAGGATCTAAATGCCACCTTCTGATCTGGAAAATTTGTCTTAGCAGATTCAGTATTTTGTGGCCTGTGGGAGAACTGGAATTGCCTAGCTCATAGATATCCAAAAAAATAAGCTGATGGCTTAGCAAGTAGATTAGCACTGAAGAGTGCATGACCTGACAGCAATGCAATTAATTCTATTCTTCCTGTCCTCCATTTCCAGATTTCCTTATTTTCTACTTGGTCAATGTAAAGATCTTATACCTATGAGGCCAGTTTGAGTCTTAGTTTAGTTTGTCTGTTTCCCTGTGTCCTGGGGAAAGATGATTATTAATAATAGTGCCTAATATTATTTTGCAGTAAAAATTTTGAACTGTAACAAACTGAATTTCATAAAGGTTTTCTGTGGGAGACTTACACACCTATGTTAACACTTTACAGTGTTAACACTTTACAGATAACAGCCCATTTTATCCTTACATTCTGGGATGTCTTTTTATACTGAAAAGATAAATGACCTGATTAAGGATGTAGCAGAAGACAAAGGTCTGATTAAGGTTTGATCTGAGCTGTTTATTGTAATGGGCGAACCACAAGGAACATTCAAGGACAACTTCTTTATTAGGCCAAAGAGGAGCAAGTGACTTACCCAGGTCACAAAGCTAATTAGTAGCAGAACCAAGATTTGAATATGATTTCCTTAACTCTGCAGTGGGACCCTAGTGCAGAAAAGGCCAGAACCATCATGGCCTCAGGGCAGTGTTAAGGAAGAGTGTGATGCACTGGGCATGGAAACATAGGTGGGCTCTGTAGCAGCCCAGTTGTGAGAAGAGCACGTGGAGGTTTAGGGGCCAGGTTTAATTATCAGCTCAAGATTGCATCCAGAAGAACTCCGATGCTCTGAATGCCAGAAAATGAGAGATGTTGGAGCATGAGTAGGACAAAGCTGTTGGAATTGTTTAAAAATCTGGGGCTGAAATCCAGCCTTCTGTGGGATAAAGGTTTGAACTAGCTTGGAGTGGGGGGCTGGCCTTTGGGCCTGATGTTTTATACATTTCTTTTCAGGGCTCTTTCCAGGTTCTCCAAGGTCCATCAGAACTGCCAGTCAGTTACCAACACGGATGCCATTAACAGCTTCCTGCTCATAGGGTACATGTTAAAGAGTTCTTCTATTTCTTCCCCCCACCCCTTACGTACTGGGGACTGAACCTGGGGCCTTCAATGGTATCCAAGCACTTTTAATTGGAAAATCTTCAATTCCAGAGGTCTTAAAAAAAAAAAAAAAATTAATTTTTTCTCTCATAATCTTGAAGTGGTTCATCTTAAACTTTTGGGGCTGAAAATATATGAGTGGTAGTGCACTTGCCTAGCTTGCATGAGGCCGTGGATGAAAAAGAAACAGTCCAGAGGTACTCAAATTTGTGATTTTTTTTCCTGTCAGCCATTGTGCCATCGCCTATTAAGACAGTTTTCACTGTTAAAAGAATTTAATTCATCCTTTCCATCTTTTCGTCTTACAATGTAGGAAAAGGATGGCCCACCGGGACGAGGAGTGATGTCTTGTGTAAATGTATCTGAGGACACTTTCTCCACTACCTCACTAACTTCCAAATTGCATTGTTGTGTGGTTTTATCAAGATCCAGTGAATCAAGATGCTGAAAGTGCACTCTACTGTGCTTTTGTACCATTAATGCCAATGTTTTTGTAAACCACTTGTATATATGGGAATAGTTAGTTGTAAACAATTTAAACCAGTTTCCTAGGTGGCTAAAACCTTTGTTTTTAATCTTGTGGTGTGTTTTTATAAAGACAGTGCTGACCTTAATTGCATTATTTGAATCTATACACTGGTAAATCTAGTTGCAAAGAATGTACTTAACTTAAAAGCCCCTCTTCTTTTATATAGTTTCAAGTTATTTTTGGATTAACTTAAAATCTATTTTTCATATAAAAATAAAAGATACACTCAACTTGGGTCTGTCATCTAAATTTCACAGATCTGTGACATCTAAAAGCCATCAAATTTTGCCTTATTTCCAAGAAAATGACAATCTTCTAGTTGGTTTTACTATCCCTTACCTGGAAGTAGGTTCTATTTCCCAATGAATGTTTCTTGATTCAAAAATAATATAAAACCATTATGCTTCAGACATTTTTCCTTGGCCAATAATATTCTTTGGGGGGAAATTAGGAAAACTTTATTCTTTATAAACACTAACCCAGTCACATAAATTCATATTGTAGTCAGACTTTTATTAAACTTTTGAATTATAATTAACAGCTCAATTCCATGACCTATACATTTCTCTAAAAACAAGAATAACAGGTAGGCACACGCCTATAATCCCACCTATTTGGGAGGCAAAGGGATCCCAATTAGAGACCAGCCACAGCAACTTGGGGAGACCCTGTCTCAAAATTTAAAAAAAGAGCCAGGAATGTAGCTCGGTGGTAGAGCCCCCCTGGATTCAAACCCCAGTACTACAGGAAAAATAAAAATACCATCCCAGTTGTGTGACAATAGAATTATTCCCAAAGGGAAATATGTAATAGAGGTTTTAAAATATTCCCAAGAACTGTTTTCTAGACCACCAAATAACTTTTGAGCCAGAACTGGCATTATATCATGTTACTATGCAGAACAGCACAGTGTAATAATCCCTTGCCACCAAAGTTTTAGATTCCTATAGTGTGGCTAGAACTGGATCATTAAGATACTACACAAATTTAATTACAGTAAAGATAATGGAAGTCACATACAATTACTGATTTAGTATGGTCTAGAAGGCATGTTTCTAAAACAAAATTTGGTTTGTATTTTGTCGGGGTTTTTTTGTTTTTAATGTTTTTAGCTGTAGATGGACACAATACCTTTATTTTATTTATTTTTATGTGGTGCTGGGGATCAAATCCAGTGCCTCGTGCGTGCCAGGCAAGCGCTCTACCACTGAGCTACAACCCCAGCCCCTTGGTTTGTATTTTGTATTTACATTTTCCTTCATTTCACTTTTGCAACTCTTAGCAAAATGGTTTAAAGGCCTGGCCCATTCACAATTTTGGCATTCTTCAAGGGCAGTTTTCAGGCCTGTGTTGAATGTGGGTCAAAACTAGCTCAATTACTTATTGATGTGGTTTTATATGCTGCAGATGTAGATTAAATTAAATTTAAAGTGCCACACGAACCCTCTCCGTATTCCCAAATAGACAGAAATGGAAGATATTTGGTCTTCTGTTTAAGGTGAGTGGACCAGACAATTCTATTTTTATAAAGGTTACATGTAAAACAATGGATATATGGGGGAAAAAAAAAAGTCTAAGACATATGGCCTTATGGAATTAGAGAAGTGAAGTAATGAATATATGAAGTCAAATAAGTGGTTTCAATATACATCTTTCCCAAAAAATTGTTTACTACCACTAGTATTTTGTATATGACTCCAACAATCCCACCCCCACCAAAAATAAAATCAACATTACTGCATCAAACATTTTATTATCCATGAAAAATAACTTGAACATTGTACTGGAATGTCTAATGCATAAATAGTACTGAGTACCAATAACTAACTCAAGGGCTTCCTCAAGGGTGCAGGGCAATGAGTAATCCAAACAGGTGACTGCACAAGCAGGAAGCGCTTTTGGGTTAAAAATTAAAAGAATTGCATTCTCTCCAAAGTGTACTACCTACCCAGTGTCTGGCACCCTCATGTTACAACAGGACAATCTGCTCCTCACTTTTGAGCACCCAAGTTTATTATAGGGATTTACACATGCAAATAATAAAATTTGGCCCCAGGTACAGTAAAGGGAGAACATTACCAACCACCAAATATGCTGACCTCAAACTGAAGGTCAATGAAAATAATCCAAGGGTTATGTAAATATTAAGACAAAACTAGCTCAATTACTTATTGATGTGGTTTTATATGTAGACCTCTTCATACAATGAATAAGCACAGTTATGCAATAAAAACTGAACACTTAAACATCAAAAAACCATTGACCTGAAGAAAATAAATCCTATTATAGTTCAGAAAATAATGCAACCAATTTTAATTTAATCTAGATACAGGTACTTTATTTACAAATATTTAGATTAATAGCATTTTGTTACATCAAATGAAGAGTACAGCAGTCTGAATAAATCCTTCTGTCACAAAAACAATTAAGACCCACTGTAACTAACTTTGGGAATCAGGGTATTGCACCTAAACAAGGAGTCTTTAGTTTGTGATTGCTACCTTATATCCCAGTAGGTGGTTTGTTTTTTGTAAATATTTACACACACCAGCAGGTCATGGTCCCTGGGCAAATCCCTTGTGATGCAACAATGTAAGCAAAATGGACCACTGTAAGCCTAACAGAATATCCCAATCCACTCCAGGAATCTCCTTAAAAAAGTTTTAACAGAGACAAAAATAAAAATGAGTCCACAAATAAACCAAATCCTATTTTTCTGCACATTCCAGTTTTGGCTTTTATTTAACATTGACTATACAATACTCTGGAACTATGACAGGTTTATAGCCCAGAAAGATGTAACTTTACGTTAGTGTCTGTAAATAGGGATTTAAAATGTGTATTTAAAACACAGCAGTTGAGCTGAGCGCATTTTATATAATATGCTCAGGTTTACCTATCCTACACTTCCAGTAACTTCTCAATCCCCAGCCACTGAACCATAAACTCAATTAAAAAGCAATCAACAGAAGTGAAGAACTTAGGAAAACAGTTTTCTAAAGAAGGAAGATTGTTTCTCTTAAAATATGTATTCTTTCAGTGGCCAAACCACCTAGTGCAAAGTAATAACTTACTTTGTATCAGCACAAACACTGAAACACCATTAGAAACACTTTCCCTTTTACAAAATGATTTATGCCAACATGACATAAACTAGCCCCTCCCACTATGAACACAAGGGATAATCCCATTTCACTGTGGTGTTAAAAATGCACAATTTAAAATCCCTTAACAGCAGACCTATGGTTCTGGCTATTTGGTTCACAATCTCGACCATTCCAAGAAGATAAAGATATAAAAGCTTAAAATGTGCAATAATAAACCCAGCCTTTTTTCTTTTTCTATACAGTAAGGCAAGAATGCAGCCCGTAATGCAAAATGTTTACAAAAAGAGAAAAGCAGGTTAGCACATTGTCGATTGCACAAGAACAGTTAAGAAAATCAGCAGGTAAGCCACAGTGCAAAGATGGAACAGAATCTGCTAGTGTTAAATCTGCTGACGCTAGGAGCTCTTTCCAGCATAATGTCCCCAAACACTGCCAGCACCAAGGGATGGAGCCAGTATTACTTGTGAACTGCAGTTGTGTCTATTTCCTTGTGTGAAATGGCAGGGAGTAACATGGTCACATACAGGTCATACTGTACAAACTGGTATTTTATACTGTTCCAATGCCAGTAATCAATTTATTTTCTTCATTAAAATAATATACACAGGATGTATTGTTAGTTCGGTTCCTTCAAATTTTATACATATTTACTTTCTGTTAAAGAGAAAAGGATAAATGGTGTGTAAAAAAAAAAAGAGAGATAAAGCTATTAAGCATGAGAGAAAAGATAAATGGATATTTCTCCCTGTGCAAGGCTAAGACAGAAGCAAACCTCATCAAGAAAAATGCCACCTGACAACAGGGAATTTATCCAACAAAACAAAACAAAAGCAGTTGTAGAACCCCTTCTCTACCATCAGAAGTCATTTCACAGCAATGAACTTACTGGTTGCAACAGACAAACAGTCAAAGTGAGGGAGAAAGGCTGAAGATATCAGCAAATTAAACCGTACAGTGAGACAATGCCTTGCCAAAGAGGGAAGGTAAAAATCATCAAGTCCAGCATCAGTGCTCAGTTTAAATCATATATTGGTGACATATCTATCACAAAGACAATCGAGGAGGGAAAAAAAAGTCTAGATTTACCATGCAGGAGAGATTTATTACTCTACTTGCCTTTGATAACCTGATTACATCTAGTTGTTTAGCAGTTTAGTATTGTGTTAAACTGTTTTTACAACAGAGTTGTTTTTTTTCTTTGTTTTTTTTTTTTAATTAAACCCAGTAAGATGTACAGAAGACAACGTGGCAGTAAAAAGTACTGCTTCCAACAGAGGTGAAAGGTCAAATGAGGGGCCACAGCAAAGAGGTCACTAGCAGCCACAGCCTTCTCTCTGAGGTTGGGGCTCACTGGTTAGCCGGCCTCCCTGCGGGGCTGACGGTTTGTGTTGTACACCGGACTCGGCAGCATTCAGATCCAGGCTTCCATCCTGAATGTTCTGATAGATTTTCTTGGCAGCCTCAAGGAAAGCATCTTCTACGTTCTCTCCCCTAAGAGGCAATTAACAATTTTTATTCAAGAACCATAGATTTCTACAGGTAACACATTATACACTGACTTTTTTGCTACCCTTCAGTCAACTACCATGATATCTTCAACTTAGCCAGTGTCATTTAATAAGAGATCACTTGACTGGACTAAGAGAATGTGGGAAGATATTTCTGGTGGAAAGTGAAAAAACATACTAAAAGCTGTTTCTACAAACTGTATCAGGTCATTACACATGTTCTAATTATTACTAAAATGGTACACGTAACATAGAACATGATGGATGAGAGGCCATTTCTGTGACAACAGACAGGGTACTCCAAATAGAAATGGAAATTTCTCCAAACATGCTGAATAGGATTCCAAAATTTACACTGTCTGATCAAACAAGTGTAAGTATGGACTGTGTCCTGTTTTTATCATATGATGGTAACATGCTTAGCCATGTTCACATTTTTTAATCTTTTGAGACTAAAAGAATCAAATGTAAGACTAAACAAAAATAAGCTACCCTCTACTCATCACTTGAAAGACTTTTTGGCTTAATAAATAAAGAACTCTGATTGGGAGTACAAGGATTCATGGAAGAACAATTAGAAATGATCATTTTTAGACAATATTTCCAGTCTGGCACAATGGTGCAGGCCTGTAATCCCAATGCCTCAGGAGGCTGAGGCAAGAGAATTCCAAGTTCCAGGGCAGCCTGGTGGTGATGCTAGGGCTGTAGCCTAGTGTTAGAGCCCCCCAGGTTAAATCTCAGTACAACCCACATACACAGTATCATGCTTTTTAACATAATCATAAGTATTATA